TCGTTAACTAGAATTAAGAGGACGTACTGAGCAGCTACGGGAACCCTGTTTGGTTTTTTTTTATTTCCTCTTTGATGTGAAAATACCAGAAAATATGAAAATACCAAGGCATATCTCTGTTGTTTGTTTGCATTATCAGTTGTTTTGTCTCCACTCCAAGTTTTAGTCTCAGCTCTCCTGGGTTTTATCCTCCTTGGTTGACTATCCATCTGTATCAGTCCCCCATCTTTCTTTCTGCCTCTCTGATTCCAGTACAACTCCTCCTCACTTGGCTTTTGATGACGGTTACAGATAACAAGGTCTCTACTATTGTGACTCCTCTTATTTTCATTTTTTTTCCAAGCTGAGGAATGTCTGCTTTTCAAGTTCCAGTAGGTGAATTGTGGTGCAGAGCTATGAAAAACTAAATTATGTAACTACATGAATTTAATGGATGGCAAGAATAATGGTCCAGGCATATCTAAATGCTTGCAGGTGCAAATATTTTTAAAGAGTAATGATATAATATATTTCTTTGACAGAAGTTGGAAGTTGCTACCCACATACACCAATAAGCTGATTCAAACAAAAAACAGGGACCTTTCTTAGTCTATGTCACTCCTTGTGTATTTTCCACACTGTAGTAGAAAAATAGCTAGCTGCTGTAATATGCAGTCAATTATGGATCCATAGCCTAATGGCAGATGCCTCAGGTGTAGAATATCACTCAGTCTCTTAAAATATGAAAAGACTCCTTGCAACACAATTATTCATCCATTGCATAAGTTCTGCAGACAATTTATGTGTTGACAGGCTGAGCCAGTGTGCAGAGTCTGGGGCGCTAAGGGTTACTGTAATGAAGGCAGGCAAGGAGGGGGAAGGGAGAATGTGAGGGGTTAACTGGGGCAAGAGGGTCAGAAGTTGAAGCTGGGAATGTTTTCCCCAGCCTGGCCTTCCCTTGACATAAGCCTATGTGCCACATAGTCCCCATGCAGGAACAGATGTACCCACAGCCAGAGTTAGAAACACCTTCCTCCCTGTGGTGTCCCCAATACTGGTAAACACTGTTCCTGAAGCACGTTAGGACATAGACAGAAAGTGCTGGACATGGTATCGATGGGAACTCAGTTGCGTGCCTAAGAGTCCCACTGTTTCTGTTTTTGAGTTGAAAGCAGATCTTTAAATTTTTTATCATTCATTTAATTAACTACCTTCCATCATCATTCATCCCATTTTCTGCATATAAAGCTTATCTGTCACAAACAATCCAAAGGCACAGCTGGATGTTTCACAGTGGGAACTTCAGGTCAAGTGGTGCAGTAGTTAAAGGGCTCCACAGCAGCCCTATCCCATTACATGGGCCAACAGCCGTCAAACAGTCCTCTGTTCACTAACCCATAGCCTGAATCTCTGCTGGACCTAAACACACTGGGCTGGTGGCAGAGGGGGTGGTGGCAGGGCAAGATGAGGGTTAAGTTCAATGCTGGACACAGTGGGGAGGAAATCCTGTCTGAATCATAGGTGAGGGGTCACTGGGGGTCAGTTCCTATCCTAAATCCTTAGTTTGGGGTTGTCAGATAAACTCCGACCTTGGACCAGTCTTCTGAAGAGAAACTTGTGTAAATCACCAATGACGGAGCAGCTGTCTTGAGTAGACACAGAGTCTCTTTTTGATTCATTTCTATTTTTGCCTACAGACCACATTGGAAGCTCAGTTTCAGATAAAACCTCAAAAGCAGAAATCCCACAGTACTCCTCAAACACATCGAAAGATTTGATCAATCATCACCCAGAAAACGCTAAAAAGAAAAACATAACATACAGCCACCCAGCTGTGAACCATGCAGGGAGCTCCTTAGCAGACAAGATTTCACATATCTTTCTGTTGACAATCAATCTGGTTCACCAACATAAGAGTCTGGTTGTGATGCGGGCTGCAGTGAAACAGGATCCTGCCGGCAGAAACTCAAAGGGGAAAGAGTGAGAGAGAGCGAGAGAAACATAAAGAGGGAACAGTGCACTGCCCTGCTCTGTCTCTGATCAACTTGACATGTGCGACTTGTGTCTACTCTACGTCTCCGTTGGAAACCCCACAAGCCAATTTCAACAAACGGTGTTGTGGGGAGTGGCAGGCAGGAAGTGGGTGGTAGCAGCCATAAATAAAAAAGAGAAGATGAAGCACAAGTTTTATTAACACCACAGTTTGAGATATAGTATATCAAAAGCGAAAAAGTAATGTAAACGTATTTAATTTGCAAGAAATTTAACATTATCTCCACATTTTTCTTGTTGTCAAGCTCCATCTTCAGTAACTACTCTTTTATTCCAGATTCACACTACCCTCTCCTCTGGCTTAAGGCTAGCCAGCCTGGCCTGTCTTCATACTGGGAGCTCAACCAAATCATCTGCCCTTCTCCTGATCTGGTGCTCAACCTGACACACTGTATCAGGTTATCTTCCGTGTGTCCAAATGTGTGTGTGTGTGTGTGTGTATGCGTCTGTGTGTTAATGGAGAATCGCGTGTCATCTCCTGGAAGAGGGGAGGAGAGTGACAGAGAAGAAGGCAGAGGAAGACACTGAAAGAGAGAGGGGGGTGTTCATAAGATAAACTAGGAGAATATCATTGTAGTTTCTCTAGTTGTAATAAAAGATAATCACAGACAAAAAAGGCAAAGCTTCTACTGATATTTCAGAGTTGAGCTGATGTACTTTTCTGTACTGACTTCTACTCTTTCAGACCCCATTTATGGAAGGAGGGCTTTTCTCTTTTTTCACTTTACTAGCGTGGGCCGAGGGAGTGAGCTCTAAAAATAAAACACATGTTCCTCCAGGTCTGTGGGAGCAGGGGCCCCCAGCGTATTGTTTTGGGATATGGGGGAGGACAGGGAGGATATGGCCTAGAGAGAGATACTGCAGAGTGAATACAGACAGAAGGAGAGCAGAGGGGGCAGGGTTGCTGTACTTTTCAAGAAAAGAGTTGAGGAAATATTCTTTCTTGCATACGAGTGCAAGTTCTTTTGTAATGTACACTTACATGCTCAAAGAAAAAGAAATTTAAATGAAATCAGTTCTGTTCAGTTGAGCAAGAAGCCATCTCTCCTTCCCTGTAACCATTTCTCCTTTCCTGTAACCACTGGGGTTTGAAATGTGGGGCAGTATGTTTGTGTGTTTTACTTAAAAGTGTCTGTGTGTGTCTGAGATTGGGTGAGGGGTGGTTCAGGATAACTGCCCATAATGCTGAGTACACCCAGCTGAAAAGGTGCATCCATAAGCCTGTTTATTGATTTACAAAGCCCTCAGGGAACCAGTAAGGACAAGGGTTAAAAGTATCTGAAGGGCCAGCGTGTGTGTGTCTGTATGTGAGTGTATATGTGTGTGTTTTTTGTGGGGATAACTGAATCAAAGGAGTATATCCATCAAGCTAAAGCGGGTAGACCAGCGGCCAAGGGTTCTTCTTGGTGAGGAATGAGTTAAAGCCAGCTGACTGAGATGTGTAGGGGGAGTTTGCACAGAGCAGAGAAGGGGAAATGAAGGGATATTAAGGGAGAAATAAGCATGAGCGCCGAGGGGGCTGGATATATCACGTGTCTGGATTTAGCACCAGTCCTCCTACCTCCTACTGCTGTATCTTTGTAGACTGTTCAGCAAAGTGGAAGAGGGAAGAGTGGGGGAGGAGTGTGTGTGCATGTACGTGTGTGTGTGCAAGAGAAGCAAGAAAAAGAGGGTTAAGTAAGAGAAAGAATAAGATATTCAGAAAGAAAGAAATAGAGAGCGTGAAAGACCTGTAACCAAATGCTGAGGGTAATTAGTGATCTCATGACACTATCAAATCTGGTCTCCCTTCCAACAAAGCAAAGTTAGCAAGTCATGCTCAAATGTTCACTCACTACTAGTGGAGATTGTGTTCAACCTGATATCATGCATATTTATATGTTAAGCAACCTGAATAAAAAAAAACCAGCTACAATATTAAAGTACTGCTTAACTGTTAATGCATCAATAATAATGTCCCAGTAATATTGTAATACATAACACTGGCAGGAGTAATTTTACAAAACTTTTACTTGTAACGTGGTACTACAGACTTAATGTCAACAAACAATCTGGCCTGCAAGTTGATTTTTTTATTTATTATTTTTCTAGTTGTTTCATATCAATTTAAACTACCTATTCATATGCAATTAAAAAAGAACAAAATTCCACTTTAAAAATATATTTAGTTTGGTGCAAAATAGGGCCTAGATGTCTGCAAATGCATGCAAATGTTTGATAGGAAGAGAGCAGCTACCATGCCCTTATTTGTTGTTTGGTTAAGTATGATGTTAGTAATGGAAATGTTTTCAGAATATTGTGTTTGATTTCATGTTGTACTTGTATTGAAGTGGCACTCATATAAGATGACAATACTAGCAGTGGCCCGAAGCCAATTGGAGTTTGAGAACTCTGTGTAGTATTGCTGCTTTTACTTAAAAAAAATGATCTGGATACTTTTTTCATCACTGCAGAGACAATCATTTTAAACACCATAAAGTGCAGAACAAACTTATTTTTGAATTTTGAAAGTGTTTATTATAATTGCATAAAATGTATGAATTAATTACAGATATAAGCTATTCAGATGTGTTGTTGTCATGGTTGTAACTGTATTACAGCATAATAAGACAAGGCAGGAAATTTAAAGCATAATTTAAGTCTATTAACACTCACTATTGAGTATAATTAAGTGTGAATTCTACAAATATCACACAGTGATTATAAAAATACCCTTACTAATGAGTACTACAATGTCTACGACAGTCGTTTAAAGAGTATTGCCGGGACATGGTGTTTAGGATTATTTGATTATTATCTGCCAGAGGACGTGTGATGCTTTGTGAGTGTGGAGGCGCCTACGCATGTGGGCGTGTCATTCCGGGGAGTGTCTGTGTTCAGCCAATCAAACCTTAGAAGTGAGATCGGTGGGCGTGACCACTCCGCCCACACTACCCTGTCCCAGCTGCAGCATGCTTTTGTTCAAACTCAGAAGTGAGACAGTCGGTCCTCAACAGAGGTGCACTTTTACATTACTTACCCGATGAGTTCATAAAACGCTGACAACAACAGTGTCTCTCTTGTCGAGCGCATTGAATTTGATGTATTTTTAACCAGCAGGGTACCAGTTTTGGAAACCAAATTAGTTTCTGTTGGACTTTGGTCGCATGCCGTTGTTCAAACAGGCACAGCAAGGTGTCGCGAGCAACTGGAGTGCTGGAAGAGAAGAGAAGAGGAATTTTCCTTGAACTAGTTCTTTGTCGGTTTTGTTGGAGTGTGACTGCTGTCATGTACACTTAGACATTTTACATGTTCTTTGACCGAGAAGAGAGAGTAAGCTTATGCTACCCTTCATCCTCCTCGCTGGATATCTATGGAGAGGGTGTCCTCCTGTATGCTCTCTCGCAGCTCTTGGAGTTACTTGCGGCCGAAGCAACACCGTGAGTGTTGAATTCACCAACCTGGATAGCAGAAGACGACACACTTAACCTTATTTGAATGCCTTTGCAAGGAGTTTGCTGGTTTCTGTGCTGCAGGCAGGGCTTTAATTTGCTCGGACGGGACTATGGGGAGAAAGAGGAGGAAGAGTCTTTTGAATTGCGCAACAAGGAGGACTTAACTCCCAATGGACGGGTAAAAATTCTCCACCTGCACCAGACATAACTCATATGCATGAATACTGCTTCATATAATTCAGTACATACATTTAAATGTTTTGTAGGGACTGTAAAGTCTGCTGTACGTCTTGCACATTATAACATGAACATTTCATATAACAGGGTCAACTTCCAAGAGCATAATTTCAAATTTGTGCAAACAGATGTGGTTACAGTTCTTGATATGAAAATGAATTGGAATTTCAATGTATGATAAGAAATGCAACATGTGTTCATAAGATTGCCCATATTATTATGAAGTAGCAAGCTGCAGTGATAACGTTAGCTGTTATCACCTTGCTGTCTACAGGAATGAACAACTTGTTAAATGCAAGCATCTATTACAGATGCTGAATACAGAATGTGATGCTGCCGCTGGTCAGTTTGACGTTTAGGTTTGCATGGTCTTGGAGGTTTGGGCAACATTGAGCAATCTCTCTCTCACACACACACACACACACACACTCTGATGCAAGCTGTAAAACCCAGTGTGTTTAACTGATCTTGTGTGTTTGGCCTCCGTCTGCTCAATTGCAAATAATACTGCGGCCTTGTCTTCTCTGTAATGTTAGTCATCTGATCAGGCACAGAGAGTTCAGCATTGTCCACCCACTTGTGAGGGGGCATTGTTGACTTGAACTGAGGTAGGCTCTATCTGTATGGCTCAACGTACAGCTCTTTATGTACTGTCTCTTAGAAATATCCACCCTTAAATATTCTTTGGGATTGTGTGAGACTTGCTCTTCTTAAGGAGAATGTTCTCTGACAATTTTAGCCTTTTGACTCCAGTGCAAGCTTAATTTTCATTATGTATTATATGGTGTCTTATGCCTAGGTAGTCTGTGCTGCTAAGACATGACTTACACTAGCAGAGCCTTGTTGATGAAATGCCACCTGGAGCGACTAATAGCATAGCCGGCTTATCTATTTATTGTACCTTTTGTGTGCTTGCAACCAACCAGTGCAACACCACAGCAATTTGCATGAAAACGTTGAGAACAGATAAGTCTTACACAGTTATTGCCTCAACAGAAGTCTAACAGTACCAGCAGCCACCAGATAAGAGCAACATCTGTTGCTCAGGGGTATCCAGAGAGGTGTTTGTGTGCAGCACTCTTCTTCTTGGCAAACATCCCTGTCTTGGTCATAATGCACCATCTGCATGGCTAAAGGAACGCAACTGTGGTCTACTTTCCCGATCAATACAAGATCATAGTCACATGTCCCAGTGGAGACCCCTGATGGCCTTTTTTAAAGTGAGATGCAGTCACTTTCCCGGATCCCTCATTAAAATGCAACCTATACTCCATCTGCAGAATTGGGCTTCTCTGGGTGGCTTGGGTTTAATGTTGGTTTATTGAATTGCAGATGTATTGTTTGGAGAAGAATGTGGCCCTGAGAGATGAGGATGACCTTGATCTAAGGATTGGGTTCCGGCATATCTGTAGTCTCTCTACAAGATAAATTGTGTGTGATACTGCTGCATTTTAACTGTTGTACCTGGGGAAAGTTCAAATTTGAAACTGATGTAATTTTAACGCAATAATAGTTTCTAAAATAAAGCTGGCTCTATCATTTGTCAGTATAGGCTTATGTATGGCAGTGCAAAACTGAGTAATGTGAAGCTGATAAGGCTTCTCTGCCTTTAGAGCTGCTCTCTCCCCTACAGTGGTGTTACATCACTGATTAGAGTCTTGTTTCTATTGATTTCTTGCTTGTAAATATTCATGAATGTGGATTGACTTGTCTTGAGTCATAAAAATGATATTGTGTCTGTATTAATCTAAGTAATATACTTCCCTCTGAGGAACATTCGGTCTTAATCTATCATGTGGTTAGGCCTGTTCAGTTTATCAGATTACTTCTTAATGGGAGGAACCATTTATTGACTGATGTAACTGACAGTGTTTTACCTAGTGAACTGCAATTGGTTACTTACTTTTGCACTAAACAAACCTTTTTTGTTGGAATAAATCTGCCCAGATGTTTTGAAGTTTATTGATTATTGATTCCCAAATGCATGCAGGTAATCAACCTACTTGCACTGTTTTATGCTGGTTATTGTAACTGTGTCAATAGCTCATGCTGACCCACTCTTAGCCAACACAATTCGTTTTGCTCCCCAGAGCCCCTCCCCTCAGAATACACAGATCTGTCTAGTACTGTTTGGCTTTCCATGGTGTCAATGGAGGGGGTGGGGCAAAGAGCGTTGAAGATGGTCTACAGTGATTCCCAGGGAAAGTCCCTTAGGGCTACGTTCCATTGTTTACCCTAAGAGCTCCATTTCGTCCAGATCTTGACAAGCCACATTTTCAGACAGCAGGTCAGACCTCCCTGGGTGTGTGTGTGTGTGTGTGTGTGTGTGTGTGTGTGTGTGTGTGTGTGTGTGTGTGTGTGTGTGTGTGTCTTTTGGGCTTCATAACACTGAAAAACTCCATTTAGTAGACCTCTGTCTAGCTCCTGCCAAGGAGGACCACAGTTACCCACAGGTGTGGTGGACTCGCTGAAGACATCCAAAACCTTCACCACGATCTCCTGCCTTGTTTTCCAACATGCTGCCAGAAGATGCCATGATCCGTAGCATTTACAGTACCAAAGCCATAGGCGACACACTGTTCCTTGCCAGGACTCTTCTCTGTGAGGTTGGAATCATGAGTCAGTGCTGATGCTTGTGTAGGCTTGGCCCTTAAGAGTACAGGGCCATGTCAAAACCCTTTCCCTGAATGTTTACCATCCTCATTCAAAGAAACTACTCTCAAACAGCTGCCCAAACAGTCACACTGAGCTGAATGCCTCCAGTGTTGGGACAGCAAGGCACTAATTTTAGGACAGGACATCCGTCATTCTCTCTTCTTTCCATGTTTCCACTGAAACTTTATTCATTTTTTATGTAACGTGAAGTCACGTTTACCAATAAACTACCACCACAGAGTGTTTAGGCCTGCACAGTTGTAAGTGTGGGCTGGAGTACCGCAGTGCATCCTGTTACTTGGAACAAATGGGCACAGTCCGGCTATGCTGAAAGCGGGTCCCATTAACCGTCACTACTGCCCTCTGTCTTCAGAGGTGTCACGGTTCGCTAGTTTATATTTGGTTTCCGTTGCGTCTCTGCCTCACCACCTCCAGGCCACACATCTGGTCTTCAGGCCGACACTGGCTGAGCCCAAGCATTTCCTCCTGGTTACTCAGCCTCCCAGGAGAGCTAGAGAGAGAGAGAGAGAGAGAGGGAGAGAGAGAAGACTGGGGGAGTGAGAGCGGAAGTCAGCCACGGAACGAACACATCACGGCATCTTTCCCTCTTTCCCTCCATGCTCTGCTCTAGTCTGGAGTGATTCATCCTCTGCCCTTCCAAAGGGAGAGCTTTTGCCAGCGCTCTGCATCGCACGCTATCCTTGTTTCTCATCCCACAACCCATTAACTCTATTGGAAAGCTATTTTTCTGTTAATTGTCACGTTTTGTGGAGAATTACTCAAATTATTCTAACTTGCTCTACCTGACCAATTAGTTTATTGATCCTCTGATTAGTTTATATTATGGAATTACAGCTTTGCAATCAGTTCATGGGATTTGTATTGATTTGTCGTTTTCAGTCATGGCTGTCTGTCTGAATTGGTTACATCATTTATAGTTAACACACAGGGGTAGGGAATTACTGTGCATACACTCATTCACAAGTTGCTTTCTGACACTGTTCAGTTATTATTGCCTGCCTGGTTTGACATTTACAGTACCTCTCCCTAAGTTAAACATTAATCAAATCTCATTATCCACACCCTCATCTTTTCCTCATTTGCCTCAGAGTCCATCTGCCTTACAAATATAACACAGACGCCATACTAACCTATAAATTTGCAGTTCATGTTTTCTTTGTTATTTTTGAGCAGCCAAAAAGAAGCAGTAGACGTTTTTTGCAGGGCAAGGGCTATACTTAGGCTAGTTTGCCCAGTAGTAAAGTGTGGTGTGTGAACTGTGAGGGGCCCAGAGCTGACCTGGATAGTGTTTCAGGTAGGCCAACACCCCAGAGTTAGGCCCGGGCAGCCACAGGAGCTGACTCAAGGCTGTGGCGCACAGAGACAACAAGTCAGGCCGCTGGGACACACAGTGTTGCCCTGCACACCAGGGAATCAGTCCAAATTGCACACAGGCAAGCTCTGATGTCTGATGGGGTTTTCCAAGGTCAGGTTGGGAATCTAGGGGCCTGAACACTGTGAAAGGAAACATCCTCTCCCATCTTCTCCTTAACAGGGGAGTCCTGGAATGAAGAGTTCATTGTTCCACCCATGAAATTTGATTTTACGTGTCTGCCAGTGGCAGCCCCATTTGTAGTCAGTAGAAGCACTAACCCCAGTTTCCATACAAAACGGATGTCCAAGACAGAGGGAATACAATTTGATATGAGTAGCTGGCTTGCAGTCGAGATAATTTCTCTAACATTTAGCTAGTAATTTGTGTAAGATCTGTGGCTGTGTTCATCAGATAATCATCATAAGTACACCATAATTTTGCTACATAAAGGTTGTTTTTTTTTTATAATACAATTCCCCCTAGAGGTCTCTTTATCTTTCTTACTTGTTTTCATCAAGCTAACAGCCTTTTACCACCAACTTGTGACACTATAAACATGTGGATAGAAAAGATGAAGGCAGCTATTCCTGTTATAAGTGCAAGACAGGGTTATTTTAAGTTTAACAACCTTCTCAGAGAAATGACTGATCTGAATAAAAGCATTTCGGGGTTTGCTGGTTGGGGTGCATGCAGCCATTGCACAAAAGCTTCCTCTGTTCCCCACTCCTATATTAAATGAGCCCGTTTTGCATGCCATACTTCTCTCCACCAGCTCACTCCTTGCAAGTGAAAGCCAAGCATTACAGGAACAGAGCAGCTATGTGCTTAGACTGCCAGGAACGACTGCATGCTCTACTATAATATGGCCACTGAAGGCAAACTATTGAGGGATCACTCCAACCTGTGGACTAGTTCTAAGGACAGACTACTGTTTGTGTTGCATTATCATCTATTTACCCTATTCTCTCTCTTCTGTTGACAGAGTCCAGCTGAGGTGACTGTTTCTCAACCAACTCGAACAGCCAATGGAACAAATGGGTAAGAGAGAGAAACAGATTTTTTTTTTTTTACTTAAATATTAGGAAGTAATAGTTCCTTATTTGACTCTTATACTTCCACTTAGTGCTGGGAATATCTGTATTTCTTTTCAAGCAGGCACATGTTTAAGTGCAGGCCAGTCACTTGATTTTTCACCTCATCTGCTGCCCCATGTTATCTCATGGGGCTCTCCTCATGTGCGTGGCCATGACACATATGCCTTACCTCATATCCACACATATGCTTACATGTGTATATACAAGTGGTACAGACTTGTATAAATTGACAGATGATCTGACATTTCCAAGTTTCTTTGTTGCTGACCGCTTATAGATAATCCTGCTGTCAGTTTTTACTCAATAACCTCTTGAGTATTTGAGTTTTGCCATTCAAAGGTTGGCTTGGCCGCTGTTAGGGGCCGCATTGGCCAAAAATATGTCACTTTATTACCTAGGTAATCGTGACCAATCACAGTTGTGATATCAGGTTAACTCAATCCAGCTTCCAGATCAACAAATCCAATCACTTTTTTAGTTTGAAGGCCATACACTCAAACTGCAGCTTACAAGGAACCACTATGCGTCAAGAATAATGAAATTCAAATGGTCATGTGGTTGACAAGTGAATGCTAGTGCCAATAAAAAGGAGTGATTCATGGAAGGCTTGATCCAGACTATTAGTACAGGGCTGTGATCTCAGACAGTGATGTAGCCAGGCTCTGCTCCTCACTGTCTCTGGCATCGTGCCCTTATCATCCCCCCCCCGCCTTCTGCCCTTGTCCACAATCTCTACTGTACATCTGCCGACTCACAGGCAATGAGTCACAAAGCTCGACATGTAGGACTATCATGCACCACAAATTAATAGATGAGGGTAGGCAACAACTCTAGACAAGAAGAGAGCTTTCTCAGGAAGTGGTTAAGGGACCTGAAGCTGATACATTTTGCTGCAGTCATATAGGACATGCTGTCTCCTGAAGCTTGAGGGAAAGAAGGACGGGAAGACGGGAGGAGGGACGCAGGCTAACTGGACTGTGTGACTCAGTCCTACCTCAGCAGCACTCCCAGAATAGGTGTGGCTCGGATGTGTGTGTGCGTGTGTGTGCGTGTGTGTGTCACTTCTACAATACAGTGGAGGTGGCCTCAGGCCATATGGCATAATTAAATACTGGTTTTGAAGGGAGTGTGTTAAAAGCTTGGCTGTAATCATCACACTTATTGCAGAGATTAGAGAGCGTACTGCTTGGTCATTACCTGGCCATTGACTGAACACGCCTAGAAGTTGAACTGTAGGGAAAGCTAAGCCAGGCTCTGATAAGTCAGTGCATTGTGATGTAGCAAATGGTGCCATATTCATTTATCTTCAGTCTCATGTTACAAGCAGGGCAGCTGTGGTTTACTTTGTACTTTTACTGAGCTATTGAATTGAACTGTCCAGAAGGAGACATTAATATCAACTATTAGTTGAATAATTGCCCAGATTTAATGGTGACAAATTGGGGGGGATTTATGTTTGTCCTACCAGACTGAGGTTAATATGGTAATGTTCAGATAATTTGTTATGCTGCAGGCATGATGTGGATAGGGAGGGAGAAAGGCCCACTTCTGTCAAAACAGAGTGATGGGTACAGACACAAATCTGAGCCATTTAAGGGGTTTCCCAGAATTCCTGGTTATAATGGAGTATTACCTATGTATTTTGTATATAGCATGCTAAAATTGCATGTGAATATACATTTCACAATACAATTTGTGTCTATTATGCAATTTTAGTCTTCTGACAGGATTTAGATACACATAGACACCATGTGATCACAACATCTTTCTATTACTCAAAAAATGTGACACATAAGCTAGTGTACATTCTCAGCTTCGCTCAATATAGATTGAGGAGTTAAAACTGTATATAAACATGTGACATGCCGGTGACATGCAGAAGTTCTGTACTTGTAAACTGTGTCATATCATATAACATTGCTTGGGACATCCATTTTTTATTTTTTTTATTTATTTATTTATTTTTTTAAAGCTCTCTCTGGGTTACAAAGTTATTTGCCATATCTCCAGTTTGTCCCACTGTGGGGGAGAATGGGTGGAGAACGTTGTTTCAGGTGAGCAAGTTCTTGAAGTCACAGGTGTACGTTTGTAAGCGACCTCTGTTCAAGCAATTACTTTTACATTTAGAAATCCCCAGACGATTGGTAGGCACTGAGATCATTTGTTATCGCGAGACTTCAAAGTGCCAAGCAGCTCCCCTACTATGCTCACACTAAAATCTGTCTTACATCATAACTATTTTTTCATTCCCACTTTCCTCGACTCTTAAGTTCCTTCTTATAGCTGGAGCAGAGCAGAGTACAAACTGTACCAGAAGGAAAGTGGACACTTGAGGACTTCTCCATCTCCCATTTTCACCATTTGTTCCGTCTGCTTTCTCATTAGCCCCCTTCTTCTTTGCTGGCTTTAGAAGTCAAAAACTTGACATTTTCTGGTGCGGTTTGCCAGGCTTTAATAGCTGAAAGAGACCAATGTTTCAGAATGTATTTCATGTGTGTGTATGAGTGTGTGTATGCATGAAACATGAAAAGCTTAGAAGTGGGCCCCACGATAATTGCCTGTCTGAGTGTCTGTGTCAGGTTGTCTGTCAACCATCCAACCATCACAAACTGGCCCTGTTTACAACATCAGCAAATATAGAACGTTTCAATTCACATCACATCAAGCTTCACCATCAGAATAACTTAATTTAAACTAAGAAGTCACTTACACTCTCTATCATAAAATGTCTTGCTGATCAACACTCCCCTTCAGTCACAAACTCAGACTTCCTGTCACCCCACCACCCCCCCACCCCCCTCCTTTCTCAAAACATGACTTTTTTCCTCTCCCCTCTGCCTAGTCCAGAGTTTCTTGGCAGTGGTCTTGAGTAAACAGCGTATTTTTAGCTGGGAGGTCATATAGGCCCAGTCTTAATCACCACATTCCCATTTTCCCACCAGCCCAGCTTCAGCCAGAGGCCCTTGCAGCCAGTCCATGCACTGTGGGGGAGGGGATAGAGACTTAAGAGAGAGAAATGGATTTCTACAAAGGGAAACTGATTATTTATTGCTACAGTATGACCCATAATGTTTTAATGAAGGTCGTCTCAGATAGTGTTATTTATCCTTGGTGCTTATTCGGATGTCGAATAAACAGTGTAACTTGATGTATGGCTGTCATTTGTGTACAGTATATGAACATAGACATCAGTAAAAAGGCAGCTGGTTTGAAGTCATTTGTTTGAATTACTTTTCGGACCCATCCAGGCATTTCCTCCATCAGATAAATCTCTCTGTATTTCTGTGACACAGCCGCACAAGGGTCATTTCTGCAACTGTGCATGTTTCTTGTGGCCACAAGGACTCGCTTTGTATGCTGGAACATGTCTCCACTGTTTCCACTGCGGTCATCCAAGCCCAAGAGCAAGGACACTACTTTTCTAACTTTAATTAGCGTCTCGCCGTTTTGATTAGACCCCAGACTGAAATCAATTACTCATTGCTCCAGCAGCTACGACCAGACAGACAAACTAATCAACTCATTGTGCTGCTCGTAGTCTTAGTGGATTTAAGTGTGTCACCATCATTGTCACCATGAAAGGACTGCAGACAATATGCTCATCACTTATTATGACCTTATCTCAGTATGTGGGACTAGCAAACACGCTGTTGATTTGAGTAAATCTGTAGCTTTTATAGTGTAAACAATGCAAAAATATTGTCCCCCCCCCCCCTTAGTTTTGAGCCCTTTACTATAACACTCATGCATCCTTGCCTAAATTTCGGCAGCCACCAATGTCTTTCCTGAATGTTAACATGTTTCTCCATCCTAATTCACATAAAATCAAATCTAAAACCATTCCTGGCTAGCATTGAATATATACTGGGTTATAATGTATAGAATCATGCAGTTGAATGACGTCACTCTTGACATACTATACCCCGCTCTCCCTTAAATACTAGTCACACTCTGAAAACAACAGCATTACACAATGTATTTATCTGTTTCATTAATTAGTAAGAATTCCGTTTAAAACAACAACATGCTACTGGCTAAGATAACCATGTACATTAGATTGTTATGTGCATGAAATAATGAAATAATACATGACTTTTCCTTGTTTTGATATCAACGTTATATATGAGCCTTTGGCCACCTTGCTCTTCTAAACAGCATCAGCCATTGAAAAACCCATATTGGTCAACCACTAATCGTTATTGCTCGTAATCACTACTCAAAGACTGACGTGAAGAGTTTGCCAACTCGATTGGTTGTAATTGCGGTTTAAACAATCTCAAGTGAACAGTGGGCATGGCCACTGATGCCTGAACTATTTTTGATAATTGAGAATTGTACTTTCAATAATAACTACAGTTATTACTCATAATCACTATGGAAGACAGAATAAGGTCAAGTCTGGCATGATGGACAAGATTCACAGGTAGTGATGTTGCAGTGAGGTAGCTAAAACCTCAACACCCTTGAGTACAATGTCATTAAAATTAATTGGTTTCATGTTGATAAAAAGCTTAGTACCTAACCTCACAGCCACACAGGGGTTTTCACTACTGTAGCTGATTATACCTCCTGTCAGGACTGTGTGGGCGTGTACACACTGTACACAATTGACAATTTCTTGACTCTCCTGTTAGCTTTGTTGCACCTGTTAGGGCGGAACAAAATACAACTTTATTATTCTTAGTATGTGGAGTTTAGTGGCCACATGTAATTCCTAGTCTTAACTCAACTGATCCTGAACAATGGCATTTTTTATAGGGTCTTTTTAAAATAACATTATTTAATGATACCTTTTTAAAGAATTATGTCAATGTTGTAATTTTAGCAGATTCATATTATTCAAGTTTGCAAGATAAAGAAAAGGTGATGAGTAAAATGGTTTTATTATTAGAAGGAAATGGCAATTTAACTTACAAAACTGTCAACATGTGTTATGCTTGACAGTGCCAATTGATTGGGCTTTTGCTAAAGCTGTTTCCAAATGCATGTAAACGAGAAAGTAGGGCACACACAGACTTGTTGTGGGGATAATTAGTAATGGATAGATGAGCATTGAACAGCTCATCTCATTATCAGTCGCATATCGCACAATATCTGCGGGCCCAGTTTGCTTTACACTAAAGACTCAAAGAATGCAAATTTGTGTTTTAGATTGATTATAGAATCAGATATGTGTGGTTATACATACAGTGTAGGGAAGTATTTCTCTTCCTCTTTCAAATTGTGGTTCTTCTTTTCTGACTCTTATTTTCCTGTGACTTCCCCTCTCCTACCTTGTGGGGCAGCTAGCAGTTTATTTGCTTGACTGAGCTGACCTATGTGATCTAGGCTGCTGACATTTGCACCCCATGTACTGGGTCCTTGCTGCAGCGGCCCAGGTTCAAGTCCGGCCTGTGGCCCTTTGCTGATGCTTTGCAGAAGCTGATGTTTAGTCCGCGAGGGGAGGGTAAGAGAGAGAGAGAGAGAAAGAGAGAGAGGTGCTGTCTGTAGATGCACTCGCTCTTTTCTCTGTGCTGTCTAATCCCCATGTCAAATTGTTTCCCGCACTCCACAGGAAGTTGCCCACTAAAGGCCCCACCGTCACGGCCTCTGCTGGGACTTCTGGGAATATGGGGGCGGTAGCATAGAGGGATGGGGTGTTTGAGTGAAGGTGGGGGTTTTAGGGCTGCTGGACAGCTGTGGAGAACCAAAGCCCCCACATCAACAGTGCTCAAATGTTTGCCCCAAGCTCTATCAGATGTAGTTTTCTTTGCCAACCATCTTGTTATTTTGTTACACCACAGATAGGAGTGGGAATGGAAGGGAAGTATATATTAATTGAAAATGTCATGACCATGTTAACTTACAAATTTCCAAGTATGTGTAAAGTTTACACAAGAAGACTAAAAAGAAAGCGTTTCCTGGACATGTATGGAATCTTGTTATTGTGTTTGTTGTGTTGTGTTTCACTTTTACGCTTTACTCTTTTTCTCTTTAACTTTACAAAAGTTCCTTATTGAAAACTTAGCGAATTATAATAAATAGGAAGAGCAGTTTGTTGTCACAGTGAGATTTGGGACATTAGTCTGGCTTTTTGGACACAATGGTCAAACGGACTTTGCTAAGGGAGCATTTAAATTGAAGGTCACAGCTGCTAAAGGTCAAAACCTGGGTTTGGACAATGTTTGGATCTGTGCTTCTGTCCACTTTCAATCCCTTCTCCAGCTCTACATGGCCTGAAAGGAGCACTGAAGTTGACTTATGAAGTATTTCAGGTTAAAGATGGGGGCAGAAAAACAGATTTCTGTCTGTGCTAGCAGTATGGCAAAGTACACACATTTCTCAAAAATCTGCAGACATGAGAGCCAAGTTGATTTTGAACTCCAAGAATATTCCTCCAAGATGTGCGTGTTATATGTAGAACATAATCTCTTCAATAAACTGTACAATTAAAAGTCACCATTTTAATTTATATAAGACTGCTGGTTCAAATCCTACAGCAGGTTACATTAGTTTGTAAGTTAAATTCACCATTGGCCTAATTATTAGTGTATACTCATTTAGAAAGTGATTTGGAAACTAAACGTAGTGTAGTAATTGTCTTTTTATTGCTATTGACATTTTGGACGCAAGCCCATCACAGACAATAACACACAATAACCCAAGGTATTGAACATAAACACCCCGGCTGTGCACAGCAGGCTATATTTCCCATCATGGTGTAGTTTTTCTATAAATCTAATCCCTCTCTCATTTGGGCTACATATAGACTAACTCTGCCTGTCTGCGTGTATGTCTCCGTTATGTAGCAGGGGTTATTAACAACCTCAAATAAGAGACGTCGTCAAATTTCTGTGTTTATTTTAATGCCTATAAGTGGGGTCTGTGGATGCAGAGACTGTCAGAGGTCCCCGAAGGCTGCTGCTGTAGCAGGCGAGCTGGCTTAGTTATAGAGCCTGACTGAATATAATGTGTCAGGATCCTCCTGACTCTCTCCCTCTCACTTCTGCTTTCTGGTGATGCCCTGAACACACATACAGAAAAACAGGCCAACAATATAGAGTTTCCCTGCGTCTGAACATTAGTTTAAATTAGAGACTCATGTCAGTCAGTTGGGATCTACAACTGCAAAAACATTTCAAAAAGGAAACAGTTCTTTGAATTTAAGCATAAATAGGCACTGTTTGAAAGCAATGTCACAAAGGTCAGCATGATAAACCCTGGTATAGACAGGTTCAGGTCAGTGCACACAAAAAGAACGGAAATGGCTTCTGCAGTCATGTAAGCTGAGTCAAAGCAGATAAGGCTATATTCAGACTCATTGATTATTTCTTCCTTCCGTGAGGAGGAAACCTCCAGAATTATCAGATCAATAAGACATAAATCAGCTGGCGAAGGGGTATGTAACAAGAGGCCAGCTAGCCATGGGAGGGAGGGCTTGATTCATTTCCTGAGCAATAATCCTAGGAGGAGGAGGAGGACAGGAAGGAAGGAGGGGTTTGTCACTCTTACTTCACATGCTAGTTAGACCTAGGAAACAGAGAAAATAAACAAGTAATGAGACAACTAAATGAGCAGAGATAAAACCTCTAAACAATCTAATAGACTGGAAATGGACCTTGGCCTAAGATAACAAGGTCTGAATTTGTCCACAACATTGCCTGACCAGATGTTGAAGCGTCATGTATGTGGAGCTGCAAACATGATCATGAGGCATTAAAGAGAGAAAGAAAGAACAGCGGTTTAGCAGATTTATAGATGTTTTTGATCTTTCTGGTTTTAACTATCCTAGGCTGTGACCTCTTGAACCTTCTGCCTTCCTCTGACCAGCGTAAGCTGGCTGGCTTGGAGTCAGGCCGGCGTCGCTCTGTCACGTTTATTTTCAGTTGCTCACTCGGCTCGGCGGGCCAAAGTGATAAAAGAGAGACGAGCTGTCCACAGTGGCGTGGTATGCATCAGTATGTTTGTGTGCTTGCGTGCTGCTAGGGAGGGAAAGTGGGAGAATGCTGGAGGACAGATATTCGTGGCACTTCTTCCAGTCCCCCCTGTGTGACCCACACCTAAGAGTATCAGAGAGACTTGTAGCTGGCAGTGTCACATGGTGTGGTTCACAGCCAACTGCGTGTGTCTGAGCCAATTAGCTATCCAATGGGAGGGAGTAGTCAGGGGAAGACTTGAGTTGAGAAGGAAGCAGAGTTATTTACATTCTCTTTCTGCTCCTCTACACAGGCACACTGTGTCAGAGTTGTCTGATGAGATGAAGAGCCTGATCATTGAGAAGAATAAGATGGGCCTGGAGGAAGACCCTGAGCTGCTGGTCAAAGGTAAGTTCGACTCATACAACAAACACAGCACATAACACCAACATTACTCTGGTATTCCTTCAACTGAGTGAATATACCTGCTATGTTCAGTTGTGGTGAACATTGTTATCCAGCTGAAACAATAGGTCAGTTGGCCAAAAAATTTGATCAGCAATTTATTACTTAAGCAAAAATGCTAACTCATTCACTAGTTCAGCTTCTTAAATGCAAGAGTTTTCTGGTTTTTTTTTTTTGTTTTCTATTAATGCAAATTGAATATCTTTGTATTTTGGACTGTTGGTTAGACAAAACATGCAATTAGTAGACGTCACCAAAGGGCTCTTATAGACTAAAAATGTAATAGATTCATTAGAAACTATCCATAGACGAATCAATAATGAAAATAATCTTGAGTTGCAGCACTACTTCCTTCAGTTAATGAATGAGGTCCTTGTGGGCCTTGGTTGGTGGTGGTCATTTTATTAAGTATAGTATATATTTCATTACCCTAATTGTCTCCTAATAAGTACTGTCGCAGCTCCATGCTGCGCGATCGCCCCGTAGTGAACCCCTCTCTGACCACATGTGGCCCACAGCTGCTCCCACTCGCCCACTCCTGCTCTGTGTGTTCATGTAAGGATAGCTACTGGCATCAGGAGCGCCGTCTTGGGTGTCTGATGCTTTTGAGGAATGATCTCATAAGATATTTCTGTGTGTTTTTTTTTTTTTTCTTCTTTTTTTTCTTCTTGGCCTGCTACTGAAAGGGAGCAGTAAAATGCCAGCACTTGGATAAGTTACGTCCTGTTTGGAATGGCGGCAGTCAGATTGCCTAATTCTGACAGCAGTTACTATGCACCCTTGGCTAGTGCCCCTCCCTCACTGCTGTCCCCCTCTCCTTCCCTGTCTCACTGTTGGAGGAGCTACTTTTTCTGGGGGGGCCATTGATTACACTGTTATTTGGGATTTCAGCTTTTGCACCACGCCCCCATCCTTCAACCAATCACAATATTATAGCCACCATAACAGCAGGACACCTCAGGGCCTTTTATAATCCCTCTCATTTCTCTCTGTTTGTTGCACAAGGATATGTTTTCAACAGTTCCTCCATTAGGGCCTTTCTACTTGTTCTGTATGTTTGTTTGTTTTTTTCAGCAGGACATGTTGAGGCTATATGGGGTTAATATTGCCCCAGTATCTACAATAGGCCACCAACATTGTAGATATAGACTGGTAATGGAAGGATGACTTGTAAAAGCCATGGGGCGGCGGCGACAGAAAGAGATGTTAAAACATTGGTTTCCTGACATACCTTTGTTGATTTACTGTTAAAATTAATTTCTCCTCATGTGATGCACAGCCTCTCATGTTCTGTTTGATCCGAAAGGAGGAAGAAAGTGCAGTTGAGTTTCTTGTACATAAATGTAGAGTTCAGGTCCAGTTTATGCTTCTGTCTTCTTTTAAAGTGCTTTTTCATTATTTAAGTCCATTTGCATTTTTAAAATTCTGAAGTATAAATTCATGAACAGCCAACTGACAACATTAGAGCAAGGTGAAAAAATATCTTTTAAAAAAACCCCTAAAATTTTAGTTTAAGCCAATGTTTTTTGTTTTTTCATGTTTTGACCTTTTTTTGTGAAATGCCAGCATGCATATGCCTGCAGAACAGTTTTTTGAAACATGTGCAGTACTCTGGGATTGACAGGAGGCTTGCAGTGAAGAGAAAGAAATACACAGAGAGAGATTGTTTGCTCAATCTGTGTTTGAGGGGGCAGGGCGTTTGGGGTCAGGGGTCACAAATGAAACAAATTAAGGGCGAGCCGTGGCCCCCAGGGGAGACATTAGCAGGCCACAGAGATGGGATCCAGATGGGGGACCATGGGAGGGGTATAGAGGAGGTCCCGGGACTCTTTCTCTCTCTTTCTGTCTCTCTCCTTTTTTGACTTTTCTTATTGCACTGTTTAAAATTCCTAAAAAGAGCAGCATCTGTGGGGCGTCCTGTGTCTGTGGCAGAGGCGTCAAGGTAGCAGGCATGCCCTTCTCTCCATGTCTCTCACCCAGTCAGCATGTCTGCCTCCCCCGTCCCACATCCAGTCTGTCAGCAAGCTCAGCCAGACTTACCTCATGGTTTTTATTTATCCGTTTCATGTTGGGTTTTGATGCTGCCCCCTCTGATGTGGTGTTAAGTACCTCAAGGGTTTTTGCTTTGGGCTATATTGGGTGGGTTTATGGTGGGTTCAGACCTTCCACTTATATCATATAGAAGCATTCTCAAACAGGAAACATAGCCTGAGAGGCTGAGCCTTCACCCCCCTCCTCTCTCTTTATTTTTATTTTGGAGTAGAAGTGAGGCAGTTGAAGCCTGCACTGCATGGGAAAACCACTTTGAGGCAAGGACGAAAACAGGGAGAGAAGAGAAATGGGGGAGATGAAAGTAAATAGGAAGAGAGTGAGAGCAGAGGGAAGAAAGATGCAGGCGAAATGAGTGCTGGCTAACAGGTGGCATGCAGCTTGCTAACCACAGAGGAAGTTGTGATGCTGGTGTGGCGTCATTGCCGTTTTCACAGGGTAGGAAGCTGAAGGTACATTGCCTAATTGTTCCTTTAAAACCACTCTCATATATGCATGCACAGCCAACCCACAAGTGGCACTCTGCCAGTGTATAGCAGTGCCCTGGCCCCACTGCCAGCCTCTCCATCAGCCTTCTGGATGAACTATGACCCCTTACAGGACTCTTCAATCCTACGGTCTATTTCTCTCCAGGCAGCATCTGGACAGAGCTCTGCCAAACTAGTTTATTTATCTACTTTGAGATTAAATATTTATTAGAAACAATTTGCACACATAGCTGAGGGGGGTGAAGAAGTTCACTGCTGTTTGGGAACAGTGGACCTGGGTTGTTACAGTATTTCCAAACCCTCAGGACTTTGGGAATACAACAGTCTTGCAGAGTAGTAGTAGTAGTAGAGTCAGGCCTGGCAATACCAGTGGGTATGCCTATGAGCTGGCTGAAGGCATGTCTGCTTTACTCTCTTTGTCTCTGTCTGTCACACTGTTCCAGTACATCTCACTCTCTCTCTCCTTTTCTCACTCTGTCAACCTCTAAAGCGGTAATTATGTTGGCTGCATGCAGGCTTTAATGCCTATGCTATTAGCTGGCTGTATTTTTATCCCCTAGTATTTACCCCAACAAGGCAGTCACATACAGACTGCACCAAACTTTATGGACAATTACATGCCTTAGGGATTATTCTTAGTGAAGACATGGTGCAGTAGCATTGGTTTAGTAGCTTTATGACTAGCCCACCTAGTGTCCCTCAGAGTGAAATGCTTGTGTTTCTGTGTAGGTACTGTGCACATAAGGATTCGTCTGATAGCATAATAAAAGCCGATAAGTATTGGTAAAGTCAAATTAAAATGCATTTTCACGATTTACTAGTTACTAGGTGCTAGCAAAATTCCCCCAAGACTCAACAAAGGTGAAGGCAAAGGCTATAAATTGCTATAACTTAATTTTGTTTAACTTTGTATTTCTTTCTATTTCTATGCAGTACCCAGCCCCAGTGATATATGGGGCTTCTGCTAGCATGTAGAGCTGCAAATCAGTTGATCTTGTTATTTTCTCAATTAATTGTTTTGTCCATGAAAGATAACAATGAAAAATGTCTATTATGATGTCCGATGTCTCGAGACCACGGTGACATCTTCAAATTTCTTGTTACAGTCCAAATTTGAATAATTGTTGCAGTTCTGCTGGCAAGAGCCACTGTGTTATTTAATTTTGAAGTTGAACTGTCATATGACACGTGTTTATCTTATTTAAAGGGTGGCTGTTGCGGGAGGTGCGAGGCAACTGGATCAAGCAGCGTCGGTACTGGTTTGTGCTGAGCCAGGACTCCCTCGACTACTACAGCGGACCAGAGAAAGGAGCCCGCAGACTGGGCACGCTGGTCCTCACCAACCTTTGCTCTGTCATCTGGCCAGACAAGCAGACATACAAGGAGACGGGTGAGGGGCACATAGACAGGCTGATGTATAGCTGACTCATGCTCGTGTATGCTTGCCCGTAATCTCTGTAGAGTCCAGTAAGATCTGTGTTAATTCCCTATGTGGTGTAGTGATCGTAGATATTTTTTTGAAATTCCTAAGAAGTTGTTCTGGGTTTTTTGATATTGTGGTCCCCTTTCCCTTCCCATGAGTGCTGTAACTCTGAGTAAGTTGGGGAAACCCCAGCTGTGTTTGATCCAAAACGTGGCTCAAGATTGGTCTAGAAAACTCGCATCTGAGTAATCAGCGGGGCATCTCCCTTCCTTTTCTGAAAAAAAAAACAAAAGCCATAGAATATAAAGAGGAAGGTCTTGGCTATACGGGAAGAGACACAGGGATGACTTGCCCTTCTCAAGTCTCTGTATTACTCAAGCATGTCGCCCTGTGTCTACTCTGTCTGCCTGTCCATCAATGGAGGGGATTATGTCCTGATGACTTCACCAAACCACTTAAAATATCCAAACCATTGTATAAACCAAAACACAAACATAGGTCTTACTAACTCATATGCCATGGGACTTTTCTGGACAGAAGTGTGATTTCAACAGTGGCTTTAACACAAGCTCTATTGGCTGTTTCACTACTGAATAACTCTGTGTTCCTCCTAAGCCACTGAGAAATCTGTCACAAAAGAGAGCATGAAATATGTACTTCCTCTGTGCATTTTCTGGTTGTTACCATGAAATATTAGTTCCCTTTAAGGGTTCCATTTTTGGCATTGACCCTTTACAACATAGTTAATGTAAGGGAAACAAATTGGTTCAAAGTAGGCAATGACAGTATCTCCTTGTCATAATCTCAGTTGTAAAAGTTCATTTATTTTGGGTTTGTACAAAAATCTAAACAAAGAAGGACGTGGTGCCAAGTCACGTAGCAGGAAAGCCTGATAACAGCCGTGGGTCTGCAGATCAGGCCAAGCTGCCTGGGGTATGTCTAATACTTCCTCAGGAGGAAGCACGCCTTTTTTCACTTTTATTACAGGTTGTCCAAGAGGAGACTCACTGAGGGCTTTAACACTTGTGTCCTAACTGATCTGTAGAATAACTGTTCTTGTTTGGTTTTGGTGTGATCTGAGGTTCCTCTCAGGCTGACCTTTGATCCTCTGTGAAACTGAGAGAGGAAGTCAGGGAGAGGGAGTCATGCCAGATATGCGGGGTGTCCCGTGCAGAGAAAATTTCAATGTTCTCTTCCCCATCTACTTAAATTACAGTGTCATATGAGGTGCAGTTTGAATTCCAAGTGCCAGTCATATAAAAAGTTTTTTGTGTGTTTCTTTCAGGGTACTGGAGCATCACAGTATATGGGCGAAAGCACTGCTACAGGCTGTACACAAAGCACTTCAACGAGGCTGTGCACTGGGCATGTGCCATCCAGAAAATCATTGATACCAAAGCACCCGTGGAAACACCAACACAGCTCTTGATTCGAGATATTGAGGTGGGCCACAAAGCACACACACACACACACACACACACACACACACACACACACACACACACAAAAAACATATACACACAGTTGCTGTTGCTCCCCCTGCTCTGTTACCATGGAGACCACACAGCCTCATTGGGCCTAGAGTCCAAAGTTTCTCCTGCTTGCCTTTCTCTTTTGAATTACCTAATCTTATTCCACTGGGACAGGACATAATAACATTAGGTCTTCTCAAAATAAAGGTATTTTCAGTTCTAGGATGCTCAGAAAGTTTGTATTTGAAAGGATGTTTTTTGCTTTACCTTCTCACATGGAAGGAGATTGAAGTGTATTCAGGGACAGCATATTTTTAGACGAGGGGTAGCTACAGAGCACAGTGTGCTGGAATCTCATTGAGCAGACAGATGACTCGTCTTGCATCAGTCTGCCCCTGGGGTGAAGAGAGGGACAGTTTTGGCAGACAAGGTTGAGGAGGGCTTGGCGTGGAGCAGCAGGGCCAGATAAGCAGTCCTTTGCCTGGCCTCCTGTCTCCGTAATCTCCCAAAGAGTCTCTAATCTCAAAGAAAGTGGTTAATCTGCATGCCTCCGTCTGCCCCTGTCTGCTTCACCAGGAGGGGCCAAGCTTATATTTTGGTGACATAGAGGGGGCCTGCTTTTAAAGAGCGCCTTATTTATTGTTTTGCTTTTTCACCATGAAGACTTGTCCTCAGTCTTTCTCTCCTACAGTCTCTCTCAGTCTATTGCTTTTTCTCTCCCACACCTTTACACACAGGCACACTTTCTCAAATAGACGAGGTATTTTCCTTCTCGACTGTGAGATTAGGACTGCTGCTGCAAAAATCAAAGAGAGAATGAACAGAAGAGGCTTTGTGTTAACAGGCCTGCTAGTTTATCATTAAAGCATAGATTCATGTTCCAGCTACAGACACAAGAGAAAGCAGGAAATGCCGTTTTAGCCTTGGACCTACAACCAGGGGCCGTGTGTGAGAGAGAGAGAAAAAAGGAGAGAAGATCTGAAGAACAGATTGGATGGGTGCAATTGTCTATCTTAAATGTGTCACACATTATATTTAATTGTCAGATTATCATTCCTGTCTGTAATGACACAATTCACCAAGTTAGTGTAATTGCTAAGATCTGGGAACGGTGCAACGTAACTAAAATGAGATGTGAAGAGCAGGAAACACAAGCAGTCAGATGATCTTACAGTTTAACTAAATTTATTTGGAACAGAAAACAACAACTAAGTGTGAAAATAATAACTAAACTCTGCCTTGTTTACAACCTGTCTACAGGTATACAACCATCTAACTGCTTCTGTGTCTTTCCATCACTAACCTTGTTGTAAAATAGGCAATGTTGCAGAATTACCATATCTTAACAATTTTTATCAATTATTTTGGTGAGCTTAATATTAAAAATCATGGCCAAGTTATAATAAATGAGAATTATTCAATAAAGTTCAACATTTTGTGAAATATGCTTATTCACTTTCATGCCGAGAGTTAGATGAGAAGATTGATACTACTCTCACGTCTGCATGCTAAGTATGAAGCTATTGCCAGTATCCAGCTTATTTAGCTTAGCATGGAAACAGGGGGAACCGCAAGCCCCCAGGAAGAGCGCCGGGCTTTGAAGCCAGTTTGACATAGTGGCCAAACCGTGTATTTACAGCAATGGCATCTGTCACATGATGCACACTGGTCCAAAAAATACTTTCCCCCATAATCTAACGTTGTAAAAGAAGTGGCTGTGAAAGGGTGGATACATTTTTTTTAAGCATCACAACCCCCAACAAATGAGCCGTTTCACTGTCAGAATTTGATCAGTCCGATAACATTTGTGGCCCGTAGAGCATGTGCAGTATGTATTCATCTGGGTCATTTCTTTGCAGCGGGAAGTGGCTTTTTTGGCGTCATGTGCCACGGAGCAACTTTCATAGGAATGTACAGAGCACCGCCTTCAGCGCTGTATCCAGATCTCCTTTATACATCCATGGGAAACAGCTAACCTGGCTCTGTCCAAATGTGACAAAATTGGCCTAGCAGCACCTCTAACGTTCACAAATTAACATGTCATACCTCATTTGTTTAATCGGTTCAAAGAAAGATGTGTAAAAACGTCAACTCCCCATTTTATGGGAGGTTATATGCTGAACAATTTCTGGGCCAGGACCAGTTGCCAGGAGACCAGCGGAGAATCCAGGAAGTTACTCGCGTCAGCCAAGAAACAGTCTGGTACATAACCCCCTGTAAAACAGCAAATTGTTGTTTTTACTTTTGTTTTCTGGAATTTGTGGGCTTTAGAGGTACTGGTTGGATGGTTTGTTACTTTTGGAAAGAGCCAGGCTAGCTGTTACCATTGTTTTTTTTAGTCTTTGTGCTAGCTATAAGCATAGTTAGCCACCTGCTGGCTGTAATTTCATATCTACCACGCTGACTTGAGAGTGGTATCAATCTTCTCATCGAGCTTAAGGCAAGAAAGAGAAGTGTCTATCCCAAAATGCTGAACTTCTGCATTGGTCGGGGGAAGATCAAAGGGAATAAGAGACAGTCTATGGACCTTATCATGCATGTACAGTGTATGAATATCATGGATGATGATCCTGTATCATGCTGCATGTGGTCCACAGAGCAGCATCTCATTCCCACATTTCAAACAGACAAGCCTGTCACCAGTGTGCACCAAACACTTCAGAAGAATGTGTCAACTTTGCCCCACTAAGGAGGAGTGAAAGCGGGCTTGTATTTTAGCCAGAGAAAAAGGGTGGCTGGTTTGGGGCGGGGGCGGGGGGGTGGTATCAGAGGCCGGAGAGAGCCAGAGCAGTGGCAACATTACTAATGAGCAACAGGTGCTGGAGGGCAGTAGCATGGAAGCCATCTGTACCGCTGGAAGGCATCTATCCACATAGGCAGTGAAAGATACAAACACACACACACACTAAACTCATTGACACCAACAGATAAAATATAACGTGACCGTCATGCTAGTGTGGTGTGCTGGGTCATCACTTGACCTTCCTGCTGCTTTGAAACTTGCCAGAGCTGAAGTGTGACCCTGGTCAAATCGACCCTGGTCACCCCTGACAGACATACAGACACACTTAATCACCCACTCGCTGACTTGCCTCCAGGTTGGCTGCAGGCATACTGGAGGCATATGAGAGCTTGTTTTTTTACTTTGTTTTCTCATCGTCACAATTTTACTTTAGGAGAATAAGTTCCACCCTGAAGTAGTGGAGCACATCTACCAGCACAATCCCATCCTGAAGTACACCCAGGGCCCCTTGTACGCTCCTCTGCTGCCCTTCCCCTACGGCAGCCTGGAGCACACATGTAAGTAGTTAACATGTACACGTCATACATTACCATAACAACACTGTCTGAAGTTGCAGGTAGAAATGATAATAAGGATAAACATAATTTGTACAGACAGAAATTCATACCATTTTAAACTAGATCATAAAACAAGTAGTTTCAGGTCTCAAAGCTAATGCGAGCTAAAAGAGTCTTTCTTGGAGCTGTTCATACATTATATAACAAAATTTGTATGCAATATTCTTGACTATATTAACAGTTATGTAAGTTATCTAGCAGAAACTGACCACTCAAGCCTCTGTGTTTGTTCAGTTGTGTTTGGCAGTTACCATTTACTTTAACTACCGTTCAAGGTCTTTATTGCTAATTGTAATGAAGCAATGTAATCTCTTTGATTACTATTCTGTTCCAATTGCTCAGAGGCAGCATTTAACACAATGCAGGTCACTATAAGAACACCCTTTCTTGGCTTAGCTGTTTCATTAAAGTAAGTGCAAACGGACACACCACAAAACTAAAAGATAAAAAAAGACAATAAGAACAATATGTGTAATAAATGATGGTATTACAGCATAAATATCTACTGTAACTCAATATGCTTACATAACACAATGTTAGCATCATACAGATATCCTGAAGAGTTAAAAAACAGAGAAAACAAGGAGAAAATCCAAGTGTAACTAATATTGCACTGCTCGTCTTCCTCCCTCTTTCAGACCATAGCGGAAAAGGCTACGGCTCGGTGCGAGAGGAGGCCGTGAAGCTCTTCAACTGCCTGCAGCAGCTAGAATCGGCACGGGAACCGATTCCCATCATCCAGGGCGTGCTGCAGACTTGCTTGGACCTGCGGCCCCTCCGCGACGAGGTCTACTGCCAGCTAGTGAAGCAGACCAGCTACACACCTGCCCCGTCCACTGCTGCACACCTCCGCTACTGGCAGCTTCTCACCTGCATGAGCTGCACCTTCCTGCCAGGGCCCACCGTGCTCAAGTACCTGCGATTCCACCTTAAGAGGTGAGATAACACTAACAATTGTTAAAGAGTAGAAACTGTAGATTTGAATGTTTTCTAGTATGGATTCCACAAATGAAAAGAATTGTGAGAAGTGAGGTGCTGTCTTTGTTTTGTTTAGCTCAGCTGATATATACTCACTTGAAAGAGGGAATGATCTGTGTATATATTGCAATGTAGTTTGGAAAATTAGATACCACATTCAGGTTGGATTTACTCATGTTGTATTTAGCATAAATAAACAGGTTGGCTTAGATAAATCCTGCTGACTGAAGAAAGCTGATCACATCATTTCCTACTTGTAATTGCAAATGGAAAATATATTTCTCGGTTTTGCTGGCTCTGGTTTGTCTCAGTGGGAAATTGTGGAAGACAGGTGGCAAACGCAGTGAATCCATCTATGCTGACAGTTTAAGGTAATAGAAACAGTAACATTGCAGTGTTTATTTTATACTCATAACAATTAGTTTATGATTATGATCTAAGTCAAAAGTAAAGACAAAAAAAGTGTAGCAACAAGATGCCATGTCCCATAAGAATGGGACATCAGACCAGTAGTCAGTTGTTGGATATGAGTGAGCGCATTAGAGAGAGCAGGTTGAATGCTGGGAAAAGGTGAACCAGTAGTGTGCAGTAGCAAGGAAAACATGGGGTCTAGACAGCGGGCAAAAAGCAGGCGCCAGCACCATTGACGACCAGTTTAGATATAGTAGCGTGATATGCCTTCACATTGTTAGCGTGTTCCACCAGACAGATCCAGTGTTTTAGGGCTGGATTTGCAGGTCTGAATTAGCCCTTCTGTCAAGCATGCTAATCTAAGTTTTTAGCTGTGCTAATCTCCTGCTCTAGCTTTTCTGTCTAACGACATGCCATCTAACCACTAGAGTTTTCTATCTATATGTCTGTGCTGGGAATCACCCTCTAGCTAATGGAACAGTTGCATGCAATGGCGATTCATAATAACGCTCTGGAACTTGCTGCCTGTGTGTTTTGATATGTCTTGCTGTCGCTCTCACGCACTCTCTCACTCTGTGGATCAGTGCTGAGGCTGCAGCTGGGCTGAGCTAAGACTGGAGCTGGGCAGTGGGCCCAGAAGCCCTCCTCCTCTCCCCCAGTGCCCTGAGAAACCCCCAGGGAATGTCTGCTGTCAGAGAGAATAGGCCAGCAGAAAGAAAGCAGCAGAGGAGGAGGAGGGGGCAAGAAAGGAGGAAAGAGCAGAGAGGGGTGAAGAGAGAGGAGAGTATAGGAAGGATCACATAGACTCAGTGGAACATTCCTAATTATGTTTCAGCAGGACAAATCCCACCCTGTGGCCATATAGTTATGAGAGACATCGGAGGGAATGAGAGGGCCTCTCTCTGTCTGGCAGAATGTTTGAGTCCCTCTTGTTCGCCTCTCTCTGTCCTCTGTTTTGTGTATTTTGGGACGAACATCGCAGTATAATTGTTTCCTTCCTATTTTTCCCTCTGTTGAGCTCATAACTCCATCAGGTTGTATTTCACACCTTTCACACTGCAAAGTGTGTGAGACTTAAGGCTCCACTTGTAGTGTGTTATCTACTACCTTTGTGTCCCCTCTTTTAAAACAACAGCACACACACACATACACACATACACACACACACACACACACACACACACACACACACACACACACACACACACACACACACACACACACACACACACACACACACACACACACACACACACACACTCACCTACCACTCCTGGACACTCCGCTGGGAGGAAGTGGCAGGTCACCCTGGTTCACAGGAGCGGAAACACCTTTTCCTGTTTCGTGCGCTATCCAAAGTCAAACATGTTTTCTTTGCCATTTTCCTTTTCTTTGAAGGATTGAGGGATGTTGAGCATTTTAAGTCCCTAAGAGCTAAAGTGAGAACATTTGTCATTCCTCGCCTCATTGACTTTTGAGTATTGCCAGCCCAAAGAAAATAAAGAACTCTGTTGAATCAAAAGGATGACGCAAAGTCCATAATCATAGCATTACACTTTTCAGACTTTGAGTCACTGTTAACATCAGGAGCATTAACAAGTTCTCCCTTTTATGTATTGAACATTTTCATTTTGCTGGCAGATATCTAGCAATTCTAAATGTGCTGCCACAAGCACAGGCACGCACACACGGTACGTATCCACCCACCTCACTCTCACTCTTTTTTGCAGGATCCAGAGCCAAAGTCCTGAGTCTGAGATGGATAACTATGCGTCATTTATCAGCGAGGCTCTGGAGAAAACCAAGTGTCGGGAGTGTGTGCCATCCTGGGAGGAGATCCAGATGCTGATGAGCCGACAGGAGATGCTGTGCACTGTGCACTATCCTGGCCCCGGGTCCTGCCAGCTCTACATCAGCTCACACACTACTGCCAATGAGGTTTGGGCACATTTGTCTGTATTCTACTTTATGGCATCGGATTTCTCAGTCTTTCAGCTTCTCATGCATTCCAATTTAAAACTTCCTATCCTAATCTGGAGTCTAGTGACATTACTAAGCCATGATAATCACAGGAATTGCATTTCTCCCTCTTCTGTTTGGGCTCTTAAAGTTTAACCATTGTGTGTCATTGTCTGTTCCCTTGCCCCTCACCAGGTGGTTCGAAGGATGCAGGAGAAGCTCAGCCTGCAAGACAGCAAGAACACGTTTGCACTGTACGAGCAGAATGCACTGTGGGAGCAGCCAGTTGCAGGGAGCGCTCTGATCGCAGACATCCTGACCAGGTTTGAAAATAAAATGTCAGTCTTCACCCTGTAAAACAGAACAGACTGACATCGTGAGGAAGTCAGACACAATAAAACCAAGCAGACAGACACACTATCAAAACTATGTCTGGCAGGAATCTGAGCTATTTGTCACTCGTTAGATGAATGCCAACAGAGCGGTGGATTGTATATTTATCTTCGCTAGTCTAACTCCCATGCTGAACGTTATCCAGTATCCTTGATAACTGGTGACCTTGTCTGGTCTTGTTGGTCAAACATGACACCCTGCTGGGAAACTGGACGTGTGTCACTATTTCTGTCAGCAGAGCCAGCTGCTGGATAGCCAAGGTGAAGCTGATGTCATTTGGTTGTACAAGGCAGAGTCTCGAATGAAACGATAAGGCATCCAGCTGGAATAAAAGGGACCTGTGTTTTTTTTTTTTTTTAACAAGCGTGGGCGTCCATGTCCTCACATTGATGAGTGACAGGGTAAACATGAAACTCCACAAACCGCCAAGTTACTCAACAACAATATTACACATTAAGGAGGCAATAACTTGTAACATATTAACATCTAGGCTTAGGATTCTTGGTATACCATTTATATATTTTTATATGTGTTACCTGTCTAAACTTTCTAACCCTTTCTGTCCCTCTTCTGTGCAGCCTCTCCACCAAAGAGTCAGAGTCTAAATCCCAGTGGAAACTGTGTTTCAAGCTCTACTGCCTGTTGGATGCTGACAGCATATCAGTGGACAGCATTGAATATCTCCTCCTCTTTGAGCAGGTAATGAAGCAGAACACAACTCCTCAAAGGGCAGAGTCCTCCTTTGAGAGTGTCTTTGTTATGAGTGACCATTTCAGTGCTGATAATGAGATATAATTTATTGTCCTGCAGTGATTCATTGCTCGTATTTCATTCGATTATTATGTTTTTTCTGAACAATCAGTAATGTCTTATGGGCGGTGATTGCAATAAAACACTGCATAAAAAGCATGACTAAGAGCACTGGCTGTAGTGCAGAGGGGGCAAAAGGCAGCCAGCACTGGCTTCATTAGAACATTTTCCTGAGGACTCTCATAAAAGAGTTATGGGACAAAATAAAACAGGGTGGGGTAGACGGGATTGATGGCAGGAATGGGGCTATTACTGACAAATTGTACCTTACCTCTTTTCGTTCCGTTCGTTCTTTCACTGTTTGTCCTGGTTTTGGCCTTTGCGCTACAGTGCCATGAGATGGTGGTGCGTGGCCAGCTGCCTGCCTGTGAAGAGGACCTACAGGCCTTGGCTGCGCTGAGGCTTCAGTGTCTGATGGGTGACTTCAGTACACATGCCCCCTGCCCACCTCTGGACGAGCTTTTCCCAGGTCACATGCTAGAAGCTCGAGTCCTCGTGTCCCTATCTGCATCCCAAGCCCTCCCGCCATGTCAGGTGGCGGCCCAGGGCTGCCCTGCAACGCAGCTCTTCCCCACAGGCCTCCTGGCAGGGACGCTGTGGAGCCACACAGCTACAGCAGCGCACAAGCAAAAAGTGGAGCAGGACATGCGTCTGCGGAGCCGACTGAAGGAGGAGGCAGCGGCTGTCATGGGATCCATTTTGGAGCATTGGAAAGGTCTGGCTGGCTACAGCCGGAGGGACAGTATTGCTGCCTACCTCACAATTGCACGCCAGTGGTCGGGCTTTGGATGCACTCTTTATGAAGTGGACTTTTATATTGTGAGTATTATGAGGTCACGTTTTTGTTTTATTGTTGTTTTAGTTGTAAGGTCGCGCTCCCTCTTTGCTCAAGAGTCAATTGACTCTTGAGGTAAAGTAAGGGATAACTGTGAGCTGCTCTGACATCTGCTTACCTCTTCCTCCCTCCAGAGTTCAACAGGAAGTTTTTCCCAGAAGTTGTGGTTGGGTGTAGCTGCTACATCCGTGTCTCTGTATCGGCAGGGAGAGGCAGAGGCCCTGGAGTCCTTTCCATATGGCCAGATCTGTTCCTACGGCATATCTGATAGCAACACCTTCAAAATCACAGCTGGGGATCGGGATCTGCTGTTTGAAACCACCAAGGTATAGTGGCTCACGTCATGAGTTAGCTGAGGGGTTGAAGGAAGTGAAATCTCTTATTATTGGGACTGTTTTTTCTTCCTAGCTTGGACACAATCTATCTCTCATGTATTCAGGATTCAGTTTGTGTACAGTGCAGGGCCAAGTGGCCTTATCACCATGCAGTGTTCTGCAGAGTAAGTGAAAGAAACACGTTGTCTGCTCATGATACCCCCCTCCCTCCAGCTCTCTGACCCACTTTAAAAACACTCATTAATTTGGTCTAAATGGAGAGCATACAACCTGCCCCTGCTCTCCAACCGTACTAACCACCAAAAGTTTAACTTCCTGGCATTAAATGGCAACTGGGGGTGAGTTTTATTGCAGTGGTTAGATTAAAATATTAGGCAACATTTCTCAGAAACATGGATGGTCTTCCAAACAGACTTTTTTTTTTCAGTAGAGAACAAATCTTGCCTTTCACTGGGTAGATTTGCTTGCATCTTCCCACACAGAACAAAAAATCCCTCTGTGATCTCTCATGAGGCACAAAAGTGGCTTTTATTTATTTATTGGACGTGCAAGCGAATTGAAGTACAACCCAAAAAGGCTTCTACTTTTAAGAATTTAAGGCCTTATATTGCACTGACAAGAATGTGCAGGGTTTTAAGCTACTGTGCAGGAAATAAGAGAGAGCGTGGATTTGCAGGGGGTGATTATGGTTAGACCTGGAGTTAATGTTGAAGGCAAGATTAGCCGCTGATTCAAGAGTTACAGTTAAAGTTGAAGAGTGGGTGCGGGTTGAAGCTTAGAGACTTTAGTTAATGTTCTCACAAACCAAGTTTAGCCAAGTATTAGCTGGACTGGAGGGAAGGTAATGGTCATGGTGGCTTATGGTGGTTTGGTGGTCATGTCCACCAAGGTCAGGGTAACGGAGGGACAGATGAACTCCTCCGCAGTGCCCTCCTTTTTTTTCTACAACAGCTGCCGAACAAAATATGTCAAAGTGATGAAATTTCCACACACATGTTTTTCTGGTTGAGGGGTGTGTGTGTCCTCAGAATCTGCCAAACATCATCATCCTCGGCTTCTGGAGGATCCAGTTTTTCTAGCAGCTGAATGACATCATCCTTCTCCACCCTCCTGTGACAGTGCCAGACAGACACTAAGACTGCCACCAATCTGACCTCTCTCTCTCTCTCTGTCACAGCTGACTGAGATCATGCAGCTGATGAATGCGTATTTCAGTGCCATCCGTCACCAGCGAGGGAAAGGGGAAGATGCGGACATCACCATAACAGAAAGCACAGAGCTGGGATTCCATCACCTGGCCTCCACGCTGACACCCACCTTCCTGGAGCTGCCCTCGCACCCCGTTTGAGAGGGACCCATACCCGGATACCCCCAACCCCCCACCGTCCTCCTCCACGTGGCCCCTATGAGGCCCAGCCCCAGTCCTCAGGACACCACGCCTCCTCCACTGGGAACGGCACGGCAGCCAAAACAAAGAGAGCGCTGTTTTCGCTCCCCATCCGTGAAAATAAACCCTTGCTGAGCTTTCCAGCTGAAGGAGCTGGCCGATATAGGAGGAGGGGGGACGGGAAGGCAAGGGGTTCTGTTTTGCAAGTGAGGCCAGAAACCCACAGAAACCAATGCGGTTGCTGATGAGCTGTCACACGCCCTCCACCCCATCCTGTCACGCAACCACCTCTGTTACCCTACATGGCAACACCCCCCACCTCACCCCAACCCCCCTCGACAATGTGAGATGTTGGCGTGAGGCTAACTACATCAGGGAGAGATAGCGTCAAGAGATAGGACTTAGAGCAACAATAAGCTGTGGTACTCCCCTCATGAAGGTATGGCTAAGAGTGAAAACACTACTCTTTCTCTTCTTTCTCTCTCTAAGTGTGCCATATTTTTTATTGCCTTTCCTAGAAGGCAGTCGTCCCTCATGCACTGCTGGAATAGTGTTGAGAACATTCAGTGACACACACGCAAACACACACACACACACACCTCCTCCCCTGTCTTTGGCTCTCTCTCTTTCACATACACACTCACTCACTCTCTCACGTGCCCTTATGCTGACATGTTCATCAGAGACGGTCAGTTTTCATAAGGTCCCCGCCAGGCTTGCATTACCTGGAACTGTTGATGCAGTGAGCCATGTGAACTTGGAACTGGAAACAGATGTTGAACTCTGTAGCTAAGTCACTTTGGCTGCCATGGCCATATAGACTCTTACCTTTGGGATTGTGTGTGTGTGTGTGTGTGTGTGTGTGTGTGTATGTGTGTATGTGTGTATGTGTGTATGTGTGTGTGTGTGTGTGTGTGTGTGTATGTGTAGGTGTATGTGTGTGTGTATGTGTGTGTGTGTGTGTGTGTGTGTGTGTGTGTTTGATCAAAAAAACCATTTCCTGGATGACATTCAGGATCTGAGTTAATTGTGTTTCACATAAACCAAAGGATTTTTGAGCTGTTTCTTCATTGTTTCCACCAGATGCTCTTATGTGTCCTTTGTTGTGCTGCTTGTCTTGGCTGTAATCCTTGACACGAAACTTGGTTAACACTTGACTGATTAAATCATTTTGCTTATGTCAGTTACTACCCTAATGCAGCTCTGCTCTGCTGAAAATAACAGGTGCTTCTTTGTTTATTATGTTATTTTCACAATGTATATGAAATACAAGAAATTAAACTTAGAGTACACATAAAACCCCTAGTCAAGAGTTCCCAGTCTGCTATTTAAATGGAAACCTTTTTAATCAGGCCATGGATGCTTTTGTAATATTATTTATGCAAACTTTGCTTCTTCTTTTTTTTTCTTTTTTTTTTACTGTTCTTCTTTATGTTTTAAATGCAGACCCAGATGTGTTTTGATATAAGGTTAACCAGAAGTCATAAATGCTTTTGGTTCTGCTTCAGATGTGTAAATCCTGTGTAGCTCCTTTGTGTTCACTGTTTGAATATTCTTGTGAAGCCAAAGTTTCGCCATGTCATGGGTTTGAGCATGGACCAAAGATGTGGGTTTTTTTGAAAATAAGCTTTCATTATAAGAAATTATCCCAAAGCAGACAGATCCCCCCCCCCCAATTTATATTTGACTCTCCTCACATTAACTAATTTCTCTTTAAACTTGAATGTCAGACACCTATGAAGACATCCTGTTGTATACATAGTACACCTTGTTTTAATGTAGATGACTTTTTAGGAATCTGAGACCATAGATAGGCTTTGTAAATATAATTTTAGAGTACTGTCTGCTACACAACCCCATGCAATAACCAGCCTCAAGACTTAAATCCTCTCACCGTGAAAGGCCTTGACGAGTCATTGCACAGTCAGCCCTGTCTCCTGCTCAGAAGCAGGTTTTTCTACTGCAGCTGCAGGCAGCTCCGAGCTACATGTATGAAAAGAAAAGAAAAAAATAAAATAAAACTACGGATGATGTTGCTTTGTATTAAGCTTGTTTGTATGCTGCATGGTACCTTTTTATGTAATGTGTGTATAGTTCATTGCACTATTGTTTGTTTTTAACTAACTTGGAAGTGCAATAAAAACTATAAATACTGTATGTAATTAATAAAAACGGCACCATTTTACCATATTTAGTCTCTGTTGTTGGGCCTCAGCCCTCATTTCCTTTGTTTCATTATCAGAAAATGTGCTACTTTGTGCCTCAATGAGTGAAGCATTGTAAGACTATTGTTTTCCACCAGGCACATTTTATAAAAGTCTGAAGTTTGGCGCCAGCAGCAGCGCTTAGAGCTTTACCTCCCCCAAAGCTTTTCTGGTTAAAAACAATGGCTGGTTGAGCAAGCGTTGCTAAGTGCCTTTTACGTTCCCCTGTGGTAATGAGCCTTAACTGAGTTAGATGAACGGCCACCAGTACACTGAAGCTCCAGGTGAGGGGAAAAAAATGGTGTTTTATCATTTTGTAGATAAGACTGTTTTGACTAATGGAAGTAAAATGACCTTCTACATAAAACCTACCAGATACAGGAAACATTCAAAGTAGCAAATACAATATAATAGAAAATAGGTTTATTCACCGTTTTAAACAGGTCCAACAAGCAAAGCAACATGAAACAGTATCTTCATTTCAGACAATACAGAGAATGCCTGAGAACCAGCTATCCTTTAAAGTTTATTTACAGGCATAGAGATGTTAAAATGAAATCCATCCTTGTACACCATGATCATCTTTGCAAACTGTTACTTTCTCTGTTCTAGGTGACAAATGCTGTTAAAATGTCAATGCAGTGTATATGGCAGGTATTTTAACATCATTTTTGGCTCACGCCCAACTTCAACTTCACATTCTTGTTGGTCATGTACAGTGGTTAGCAAATGAGCAATGTGTATCAGCAGCAAACAGAGGGTACAAAGCACCATGTCAGAAATGTCTGGGATTAACCATCATGGAGTCCAATCCTACTCCCATTGTTCAAGGCAATCATTTCATAGGCAGGTGGACGTTTTACTGTAAATCAACTGCACAAAAACTAAAGTACTGTACTCAGTATAAAAATAGACCAAAACAAGGCAACAGGTTGTCTCACATTGCTGAAAAAAATAGGCTACACTGGGTTAAAGCTGAGTCAAGGACAAAGGAAAAAAACAACTATTAACAGACATTTATAGATTGTTTTGTACAAGATATATTGATGCTCTCTGCAATGACTTGCAGGAAAGAAGTACTCTTACTTTCCCTTCACTGAACTGGACTATTAGGTAAGGATTGTTTTATTTAAACTGGGTTTGAGTATATATTTCTTATTTCTGGATGTGGTCCAGAAAAAAATTTATTTAACCATTTTACTTTTTTGGTTAATATAACAACAGTAGGTGTTAATACGTATCCTTTTTTCAAACACAAAATACTATTACATGCTATAACAAGCCAATAAATATTTTCAGAGAAGCAGCTATAGCCTGTCTATTTTGGGGCACCTATATGAAGGAGAAAATATTCTGAAAAGTGAAAAACGAGACATAAATTGAGTTACAATAAACAAGCTAACCATGTATGCTGTGTGGTTTGTAGTTGAGTTACAAGACAAAAAGTCCCTTCACTGTTCTTGTGTTCCCCAGGAAATGTAGTCAGGCCGCGTGGCTGCGCTGTACTCGTCTACCAGCTGCTGGACCACTTCGCGAGAATTGTCCAGCTCATCAAAGTTTTCCTTGAATATGTCCTCTTTGCGGAACTGCTCCAGGAAGGCTTCGCGCTTACGCAGTTTGTCGTACTGCCGGCACGTCCGCTCAAACAGCTGTGGGACAGCAACAGAAAGGACATCATAAACTGATCCCCTTTCAGACTTCCTTAAAACCACTGTGCTTTCCGTTTTGTTTTTAATTTCTATGGTGCGAGAAAGAAAAAGGAAAACTGTGACTTCACTTAAACTTCCTTGGATGACTGTAATTTCCCCCATACTTAAATTTAACAGCAAAATCAATGAGGAAAAAAAGTTCAATTTAGGCAATGTAGTATGACTGTAAATGCTTTTTCAATCATCTCAGATTAAGTAATTTTATGACATCACAGGAAGCATTTTCCCTCACTTCACAGCTCATACCAGTAAAAGGAGGAAAAAACATCTAGTTTCAAGGAATTGTAGTTTGGCAGGATGACGATCCAAAACCTAATTTTTGTGGACTTCCCCCTCGAACTGCTGCTGTGGTGGCTCAACTTCAGTTTTAGCACAATGCATATCATCAAGTATTGACTCAGAACAGACACTGGTCTCTGCTGTATAAATACACACTGGAGGAGAATGTAACTGAACAGGCTGAAGGGACTCTAAAGCCAGAGCCACACTGCCTGTATCTGCAGCGTGTGTTGGCGAACTTCTTGCTTTTTATTTTGGCGCGCAGGTTAGTGCAGCCACACTGCTTTTCTGAGCCACGCATCTTCGGTGTGGCCGCAGCAGCGCGTCACTAAAGAACGTACTTCTCACGTACATTTCCTGCGAGCCGCACAGTTCCCAGCAAAAATAAACAGCGAAAATGATATGTTCAAAGTCATATCGACATACCAGCAAAATATACATCTTTCACTACAGTTTCAGTGCCTGTATCTGTAGAATATGTCACAGACATGAAAAAATATATTTTTTTACTCAACACTTCCTGTATCCGTTTCAAATTAAAAGCTCTCTAGCGTTTCTGTGGACAGAATTCATTTATTTATTTATTAACAAGGCTTTTATTAAATTGTATTTATCGAAGAGAACCTCAATGTAGAAAGACAGGGCTGGCAGCAGCAGCAGAAACACACTGTTCACGCGTGCTGTGTGGACAAGAGGTGAGATAAGCACTTACAGAGGAGATACTTGTGTGGTTGGCCATCATCAATCCGCTGACTCGGTGTGCGGAGGGCAGGTATGGGGATTTCCTGGACAAAGCCACCTGGATGCTGGCAGGACCCCAAGGAATGAAGCTGGCCAGTTTACGCTCCCGGATCCTTTGGAGGCTTTTGTGCACCTAAAGTGGAATCGGTTGAAATAAGTTTGAATACTCTCCAGACACGTTAAGACATCTGGAATTTATAAGAGTAAACATACTGTGCGCTTGTACCTGTGTGGGGTCCACCTCTCCCTGGATGATGTTAAGGATGGCGATGTAGCAGTGGCTCGGCTGCCTCTCTCTTCCTGTGGACACCATCACGTTCTTGGGTTGCAGAAGCCTCCTCATCACATCCAGCACTGTCGTTTTCCTCACACTAGCAACCTGGAACACAGTGCATTTACTGAGTCAAACAGCAACCTCTTAAGAGACATTCAGTATTTTAAATATGAACTGCTAACTGCAAGAATACTTTCCATTACAACCCACAGTTTCTGGGTTAACAGGAAAACATTCTGCGTTTGTATTATGTGCTTTTTATTATGAAATAAATGTCTCTCAGTTTGACATCGCTTTGAACTCACCGACTGGTCCGTAGTAAGTGGTGTGTACCCAGTCATCAGGAAGTGGAGGCGGGGTGTGGGGATGAGGGACGCAATCAGGCCAATAAGGTCGTTGTTCATGTAGCCCGGGTAACGCAGGGTGGTTGTGCTTGCAGACATGATGGTGGAAACCTGTGTGTGAGAAGGTTCACTTACAACTATAATAAATAAAATCTGGTAAAACGAGTTAGGGCTGGGTGATTAAATTATTTTTGTCACGTTATGACAGTCCCATAAACTGTGACATGAATAGTCACACTATCTGTACGCCTGTTGCAGTTTACAGGAGTGCCGTGACTCTACGTGGCTAGCTGGCTCTCATTATCTCGTAGTGAATTTAAGGGTCCCAACGACAAGAGGGACAGACTGTGTTTGTTGACAAAGTATTGTCTTTACAAGAAATGTAAAATTTAACTGAAAAGTATGCAAATTATACTTTGTTCATTATGTCCCTGCCAGGTAGCGGCACTAGCTAGCCAGCAGTCAGGCTTATGTCAAGAAACACAACTGTGAATTGGTGTAGAGAGTTGCTGGATTTGATCATTCAACTGGAAGCCTGCTCTCTACTTATTTACATCATCTAATACTGACAGTCCTTAGCTGATAACTTGTATTTTTCAATATGCAATATTGACTGTATGACAGTCTTACAAGCGATGCAGGTATTTTCATATGAAATGTGTTTCAGTCAAAGCAGTGCAGCACTAAATGTGTGGCTCTTGTCAAGCTAGCTGACATATCATTTGGTGTGTGCAGCCTTGTGCAACTCCCTTCTAAGATATCTGAAATCCAGTCTGACGTGCTACTGTCTCGTCAAACTAGTTTATGAATCTCGCAATTACTGTAGAGGGCGAAATGTGTCTAGTAAAGTCTGTCTTGACGTTTGCCTTTGTTCAAATACAGTAAGGTCAACAGCAATCCATCACTAAAACCTGTGACTGACAGGCTGACACAACAACTGGAGGAGGTAGAGGTTGTAACGCTGAGTGGTGTCTCTCACTCACCAGCTGATTGATCTGGGAGAACGAGGGGTTCTGGATATGCAGCCTGTCTGTGGCGATGCGATTTAGCGCCGTGTTATCCAACACCACCTGACATACAGGACACACAGACAGAGTCATTATTACACAAATGAAGAGAAAACCAAAAAAATAGATTCTCTCGAAGCACAACAACACGGGGAAAGTCAATATGATGTTGAAGGGTATCGGAGTAATGACGCAGTCAAGGAACCTCTTAAGGAGCAACACAGTGTGCTGTTGTTAGCAGAGCAGAACATAAAAGACACACTGTACAGTTTCAACAGGGGGACCAATTCTTGGGCAGATTCTATTAGGCCTCTGGCTAATTTAATCAACATGAGGGACTTACGCAAGACCCTGGAGGAAGTAGGTATTAGGGAGGAAACACCATTAGACTGTCAGAGAATCTCAGACTAATACAATCACCAATTTAAGACAGAGATTTATTCAGTTGGATTTGTAATGCTGGCACTGCAGTTTGCTTCTGCTGGGCTGATACACAAGAACTGAAGCGACCTAAAAAGTGAGATTCTTAACAAAATAACCAAAACATTAAACTACATCTGTTGTATGGTTTCACAAATGAGACCAGCGGATTTTTGAAAGTGACTAAAGGTAGTTTTTAAGGCTAAGTGCTGAAGACACAATTTCAGTCAGAGACTCCATGTACTGTAAGTTTAAAGCGTGGTGTGATATCAGTTACATAACTTTAAAAGTGACAACTGGGTAGTCAAATTACCAAACCACATACTTAGAGGGTGAATTAACAATCTGCTTCTTCATATTAATACTTTTTTTGGGGTGGAGTATTCCTTTAATCACTAAAAAACCAAATTAAAACAAGCCAAGCCAAAACCAGTCTAGTACAATGTGGATTTATGTTAATAAAATCGTTTTTCATGGCACTGTGACTGCGGTGTGTAAGAGGCCTGAGAGACTTAATCAAACTTCATTCAGTGTTTCACTTCCTCTTATCACAGTTTGACAGGGGTACTGGCATTTACTGGCTACGTTTTGACCCTTGCCATTTACGTCAGCGAACATGAGGCCAAATGTAGTTAACAGTCTGACATCACATCATTTTTGACCACTTCTTTAGTAAACATTGTTTTTGTTTCCTGTGTCTGCTCATTGATAGTGGAACAGTTTAGCTACCGTGCTGTACTTGGACTTTGGTTTGTCCAAATGCCACAATTACAAGCAAACCAGGACTTGTTAAAAAAAAAAAAAAAAAAAAACGAAAAGAAAGAAAAGAAAAAGCCATCTTGTGAGGTTGTTCAGCGTTGCGGCTGCGTTTAGAAGCAGAGAGAACAATGGGATTAATTAACATCCATTCATGAGTGCTGCTGCTCACCACGCAGTCTGCGTTCTGGGTGAGCCTCTTCAGCGTGAGCAGCGAGTTGTACGGCTGGACGACCACATCGCTCATCTCATCCTGGTTTGGGAAAACGGAGTAAGTCTGCACCAGCTTCTTTGGGTACCTGGAGATCAGAAAATATGTAAATTATTCATGAGGAAAATGCTGAGTGAAAACAAAAGTGGCTGTTTTCCAACAGCAGTGTGTTTATGGACCTGTCATTGAGTTTCTCCAGCAGATAGGATCCCAGTCCCGAGCCAGTCCCCCCAGCAATGGAATGACACAAGACAAACCCCTACAAAGACAAAGGGTTACTTATTACTGGCAGTTCAAATTTACAGCTACAGCATGTGCCACGTGTGCACAGAGCTTACTGTAAACTCTACTGATGCAGAAAGCTGAATGTGTGGGTGAGCAAATGCCTCTCTTCCAAGGCGGTTATATAAATGGGAGTGCAGCCCCACCTCACAAATGGGCTCCCTCACCCCCCAGGACAGCCCTGTAATACCTGCCTTCCACACTCGCCCAGCTATTATCACCAGACATTCTACACGCCACACCCTGCCAACATACACATGCTCACGGCAGCTCGGCCCACCTTCCTATCCAATGCACACATGAGTGCACACACTAAATAATAATGTGGGGTCATAATGTGAATGAGTTACAGAAATTGCAGACCGTAGAGGGGGAACGCGAGTGTTATTTCACAGGAGGCTGGCAGCTGAAGAAGGTTTTCCAAGAAAAAAGAAAAGAGAAACTAGGAATAATAGTGAGGCACGGCTGGGGCTTTGCTAGATGACGGGCACTGGCAGTATTTTAGCATAGTTTTGTTCAAGTCATTAATTTCTGCATGCCCTTTACCACAACAAAGACACAGGAGTCGGACTGAAAGAGTGAGAGAAGTCATGTTTGAGTACAATCAAGTACTCCGTGACACTGACCAGGCCAATAATGAAAGTAGGATAAAAAGATTAAATTTAGTACTTCAACACTGGTGGCACTGCTGTAACACAAATACAGTGTGGAGGTGACAAATCAGGGTTCTTAAATAAATTTCCCCATCTACTAAGAAATGGAAAAGCTACAAAACGTCAGGTGATTTCCATTTTGGAAGGAGAAACAAACAAACAAACAAACAAAAAACTAAATTTCACTCCCTTGGGCATCAACAATTAAGTGTGTGTTGCTCCACTTTCAGATCACAAAACTTAATAAATGTTACAGGATTCTGCCAGTCAGTAGTTAGAGATGAGTTTCACCTGCAAAATCTCACAGGGAGGAAAATAACCACAAAAAGACGCAGAACAACGAGGAGACACTTCTATGTAAGAGGTGTGCGAGGGCCATTGTCTCGTAATCAGTTTGATTTAAATGCAATTAATACAGAAAAAATAAAATGGTACCAAGTTAAAAAAACACACATTTTTGATATTTTCTTGTATGTTTGAGGTTCAGGCTCCAGTTGTTCTCTGTAATATTTCTACACACAGCAATATCACATTACTTTTAAATCAGTTTTTTTAAATTCCACACAGTCGGTATGTGGTAAATGGCAGACTTGCCTCCAGGCTGTCGCTGCCATCTGCCTCCCGGTCAATGATGTCAAAGATGTCTTCTTGGATTTTTTTGCCCTACAGGGGGGGAAAAGCCAGGAGCAGAATTTTAGATGCATTCAATTTGTGTGTCTTTAAATGGTATTAACATGGGGCTATAAAAAGAAAAGAGTAGGTCCAGTGGTCACCTGTGAATATCCACTGGCCCAGTTGTTCCCAGCACCCCCACCGTGCTCAGACAGGTAGATGTTCTCCGGGTTGTACAGGTTTGCGTAAGGAGAGTTGAGGATGGAGTGGATCACCCTCGGCTCCAGATCCAGGAGAACTGCACGGGGGATGTAGTGCTCATCATCGGCCTGTGGAGGTTTTTTTTTTTTAATGAATAATAAGTTAAGCTGGTGATACTGCAGAGACTGAGAGGGGGGGGGTCTGAGTAACATCAGTTTACACTACAACTACTCCATCTAGTGGGATAATCATGTTGCTGCACTTTCAACTGCAATAATAATAAAAAAACAGAACATACACTGCATATAATGTGCAGATAAGATGTGCCTTTAATACTTCTTGACCTGAGAGATAACAAAGAGAAGCAGTCAGTGGCTTCAACCAGATACCTGATAGAAGAACACATCCTTTCTGTCGGTCCCTTCAGTTGCAAACTCCTCAACAATCCCCTCTGGACTGATGCCATGTTCTGCACACAGCTGCTTCCAAAACTCAAAACCGACTGCAAATCAGAGAGAAAGGAGCAGGTTAGCGACACGTGGACGTCCGGTGATGTTCATTAGACATTTTGTGACCTTCCAGGTTTTATTAGAGAAAGCAGAAAACGCGACGATTAGCCATGCAAACGTTATCTGAAAATGACGCTGCACACGTAAGCTATAACGTCGACTTGTATTTGGTTACATTTGATCTGATTATCCACAAGTGAGCTGACTTATATTGAATTAAACTATCGTGAAATTATCGCTGTTTATGATATATATATTTTAATTCTCAGCCAGACTTGTCCGTAGCATTTAGCTAACATCGTTACACAGCAGTTGCTATAGCCCGACAGATCATCTTTGTTGTTGTTGTTGTTGTTGTTGTGTGAAAGAGAAGATGGGAGAAAAACCACAACATTAAATTCGTCTTTCACGTACTTTGATTTCCACACTGCCCGAGCTGAAGCGTTATTATTTCCCGCGGCATGTTCACTCTTCAGTCGCTCCGTGTTTACCGAGCCCGCTAGCTGCCCGCTCGGTACTGACTTCTTCTCTTGTTTATTGGCGGACTGCGAACCGACACTCAACGGGGCGTAGCGCCGCCTACTGTATCGGAGTGTGTCGAGTCCTAAAGCGGGCTAATCGATCAGTTCTAAGCAGACAAACGGATAACGTCAACGCCACAAAAGAAGGCCTCCGTTATCGGGTTTGAGTTCAACGCCTACGATAAAAGTTGATAGTTTTATTTTGAATGTCTTGGCCGGAAGTGTGAGTGTGCTTTTATTTCCGACTTGACGTCTCAGTGCAGCGTGTTCAGCGCCCCCCCGTGGCCACATTAGGTAACTGCATCCGTGTAATTTGAATGTTTTATTATTATTATCTTTATTATTATTATTATTATTATTATTATTAGTAGTAGTAGTAGTAGTAGTAGTATTACATTTTGACTTAATTTGACAGTGACAGTAGAGATACGGACAGGAAGAGCTAAGAGAGAGGGGTATTACATGTACTGGGAACTTTATGGTATGTGGTAATGCGACCTTCTGATCTGTGCTCTGTTTGCACAGCATGATAACGGTGATAATCATTATACAAGACAACCCATAAGGACCGTATGGGACCAGATTGGACTGGAAGAGGACTACGTTTTATGTGTTGTTCTGTAGTTTTTTCTCTTTAACTGTGTCATGTATTTAGAAATGCTGCTGCTTCGACAGTAAGCTCATTTTCCTAAGTAAATAATCAACCACTCGCTATAGTCTTCCGTTTCTGTCTCTACTATTTATAGTCGTATTTATAGTCGTGTGTTTTACTGCCACCTGGTGGCCACAATCAGTAACTACAGCTGAATTCCACTAGTCAAGTTACACACAATAGCATAGTAGTACTTCCGGTTAAAACCTTCAAAATAAAACTTAGGCGAGGCTGTGGTTACACACTGTGACCACCGGAGGACACTCAAGGCAGACATTGATGTGTACTGAAACTTCCACCTAAAATACATTAAAATATATTTCATAAGACAATAACGAACTCTTTCATTGAAAGTCCCTTTTAATAATAAGTAATCAGTAATGTATCACACTCTTATTGCACATAAACCAAACTACATATCGAATCAGAACCGGAGTTTTTAAACAAAATAATACGATGTTATACATATTTCCCAACTTCATTTGGTTCATAGAAAGCCAGACAACATAACAAACATCATTTCCCAGCTCTAAAGCGGTTGTCAAGCCGTGAAGGCCCCCCGACGGTTTGACCGTTGCAAAGGAAACAATAAATAAATTCCTGTTCCACCTGAAGGCAGCACGACGCAGGGGCTCGCGCGGACTCTGATTGGACCGCCGAGGGCTCAAGAAAAACAGGTTACGCCATATTGTCAGCTTCCAAAGACAGCGCCGCAATAATCCAGCAAAAATGACAAAATAGTAAGTGTCATCTTCTTTTAAAACGTGTTCACGTTGTCTTTTAACGCGGCTGCTTCTAACACAATCACATATATTTTCCCCGTTTGACGCAAACTCGATGATTCAGCCAGCGGCTCGCTGAGAGCCGTTAGCTGTAGGTCTGGTGTTGTGAGTGGAGCTGCTCCGTGGCGCTGTGCTGACCCGTATCAAGAAACGCTTTACCTGTTTCCACTTAAGTCTTTTATTTTTTTTTTCAGGCTTACTCTACCAACGCTAGACGCTAAGATGGCGCACACCGGGGCAATGGAAGACGCATCCGCGGAGGATTGCTCCTCCAGGCAGGGGTCTGGTGTCTGCCTGCGAAGTCGACCGTGCTCCAGCGAGAGAGACGGTCAGGTACGGGCTGTCAAAGCTGCTCTGCAGTCCAGGTTGGGGCCCTATGAGCCCGTCCTGACCTACCTGCAGTCCGTCCTAGTGTGGGAAAGACCCCTTCAGTGTGTGCTTCTCTACATTGTGGTCAACATCGTGTTCTGGTGAGTTAAACTTAGGAACATGTTGGGTTTTTTTTTTTTTGATACAAACTTGTTCTGTTTCTTCTGTCTGTTTGTTTTGAGGGGTTTATTATAGCAACCTACATTCAGACAATACAGAGACTGTTTGGTCGTTAGGGGAAAGCCAGCGTGACTGCAAGCAGCTGGTGCTTTTACACAATGCAAATGTTTCACCTGTCAATTCAAGACAGCACAGATGGCTGACTAGTGGTACTATTTATAGACAGACCCTAAAGACTACCTTCACTCTGATGTTGCTCCTAACTGAACCGTTTTCCTAATCTTGAAAACAGTGTGGTGCCCTGGATTATCCGCTTTACCAATTTCATTGTTGCTGCATGAGTGTGAGAGGCTGTAAAATTGAGGTTGACCATTTACAGGTCAATGAGTTGTCATTACAGAAGTAAGAGGAAATTCATTTTTGAGTGTTTTTTTCTATTTGTATGCGGCTTTGGTGCAGCAAATCTGTGAGACGTGTCACATGTCAGTGAATAGCAGTGCATTTATATAGGTCTCTGTTTTACAGCTTCACCACTAGGTCAGCCCTAAACTTAGAGTATTTAGACAAGAAACATCAAGAAGAAAGTGCAGAAGCATTCAGTAGGAGAAAGTCTAGGACTGGGACAAGTTTTGGCTAAATTATGTGACCTGGATATTGTTGTACGGTAAGAATCACTGACCTGGGACACAGCGAAGGAAAGCTAGGCTGGCCAGCCTGCATGTGGAGCTCAGGCATTCAGCCTTTATTCGATTAGACCACTGGGCATGTTAGGCCGCTAGTCCTGGCTCCTGTTTACTCGTGCTTCAGCACACACTCAGTGGTGCGGGCGCGTTTCTGCCCCAAGAGATGCATTCATAACCTACACTAACGCATGAGCCGACTGACGACGGCAAGGTCAAAGGAGATGGGGAGTCGATATGGGCAACCTCTCTGACTTTAGGGCACTGGGGTTGTCTTGATTTTCCTTCTTAAAGAACCCAAAGGAAAACCAAACTGTAGCTGCTAATTGCACTGCTACCCCAAATACCATTATACCTCGCCCTGCCAACACATTCTTTGTTAGGTTGATCTCTAACTGCTAACTAATCCTGTAACATTGTTGTGGTCAACAAATTTTGAAGTCTTGTGATTTGAAAGTGCAGCAACACTTTTAATTGTTGAGCTGAAGGAAGTGAAATCGGTTTGTGTGAACACTCACAAACTTGTGATATCATCATCTAGATGCAGCCTGTAGCTTTTTAATTGTGACTAAATGTGAATCTATACTTCCCTGATTTGTCACCTCTACATTTTATTTATATTACAGCAGTGCCATCAGTTCTGAAGAGGAAAATCTAATATTCTTATTCTATTTTACCAAATGTTTTCTAGTTGATTTCTGTATAATAACTAATGGGTGTAACACACAGCACAGGGTGGGATTACTTCCTCTTTTCTTACATCTGAGGAAACAGATCATCACTCAAAAGGTTTTGCGGTTTCATGAATCGTGTATTAAATAGTTGAATAGTGTAACTTTGTTTATCACTTAGTCTCAGGGTAATATGTTTCTGTTAATGTGTTTGCTCTGTTTTTGTTCCCCTCCAGGTTCTTCGCTCTGACCTCACTGCGCCTGCTGTTCCTTCTGGCTTCTGGTCTGGCTGTTCTTGTTTGTGTTGATACCTGGAGAAATAAGATCTGGCCAGAGATTAGAGGTGCTACAAGTTGCTTTTCATGGGGGCTCTTTAGATCTGTCTAACAGACTCTGTACTTTTCCTTCTCTCTCATATTAATTGTACCATTGTACCATTATTCCCAGTTTACTGTGATTGCGTCACATGTACTTTGTCAGAGTAGATATGCCGTCAGTCAGCAGTTCTACACTCTGGACTTTGCAAGTAATTTGTTTTACACATTGAACAGTTATTCTCTTGTTGAACTTGTCTTAACATGCTATGTGTAAAAGGTTCCAAAGAGTGCAAGTAAGTGCAACATGTGCAACACAAGTTGGACTTCTTTTTCTATAATGTAGGCTCAGTATATGTAACACTGATGTGCATTATGTAATGTAATGTAATGTGAGGGATGTTCTCTCTCTCTCTCTCTCTCTCTCTCTCTCTCTCTCTCTCTCTCTCTCTCTCCACAGTCAGAAAACTTGACGAATCAGAAAATGAGAGGTTTGTCACTATAACCACCAGTATTCCCTTAAAGATATTGCCAACAGTAATAGTGGTACAAGTTGAAAGCAGATTCAGGTGTTGATAATCATTTTCTCTCTTCTCTAGCTGGGGTCTGGTGCAGCCTGGCATCCTCAGTGTGCCTGAACTGTGCCACCACATGGCTGAGGCCTGGGTCAGTGTATCAGTTCTTGCATCCGCTATGGTGCAGTACAAACGACATAACCCCGGCAAGGTGAGGACCACACACACTATGAAAATACACATACAGTATATACAATTTTTGGAATTGAAACACACCTTTCAAACTGTGTATGTCACATTTATTTACACAAATATTCAAAATTAAAATCTGAAGTATTTTAGAAATCTTTTGAAGAGAAATCTGAGTAATTTTTAATTTTACTGTTCTCAAACTAGGCACCACATCCCATTATAATTGTAGTAATTATTTATGTGTTGCTCTCTGTCAGTTTTGCCTCCTGACCTGTGGAGTGTTCACCTGTTTGGCTGCGGTTGGGCGCTACATTCCCGGACTGGTGCTCTCCTACTCTGCTGGTGAGTCCCAGAAGTTTAACTGGTTCTAACTACAGATCCAGGCTCCTTAGCTGGACCTTGTTGGCAGGGAAACTCATCCAACTCGTCCTGACTGGTCCTATTAAAAATGCATGGGCGGTGAAACCAGATCTGTGGGGGCCCCAGTACCAGGGCCTAGCCTGTGAAGTGATTAAAGGCAGGATGAGACACACGAGGAAGGAGGGAAGGCAGCCAGGCAGAAAGCTAAGGAGGTCATACTGTGACCAGGCTAATCTCCCACCCTCCAACCAGTGTGCTCCGGAGAGCCAAGGGGGGGCGAGAGCAGCTGAGGCCCTCTGCTCTGACGTCTGAAACAATCCACAGCAGCTTGTACTCTACCTGTTAACTCCCTGCTGCTCCCTCTGCCTCCCTTTGTCTGTAGCTCTACTGGAGCTAACACAGGCGTGAGAGTCTGCACAGAACACAAATGAACATCTTACATGTACTCAATAAGCCAAACAGAATTGCCTCATTCTTTTTATAATAGCTGTTTTTTTAATTTTCCTCTCCCCTAGTGTTAGCTACTCTCCTGGCCCCTCTGGGAGCCTATCACAGGGTGTTTCAGAATGTGTGTGTGAGGCTGGAGCCGGTCCTGCAGCGGCTGGACTTCAGTGTTCGTGGATACATGATGGCAAAGCCTATTGATAATCAGTGTAAGTAGTACATTAAATGTTCTTTTTCCCTCTTCCATCTTCAAGACCGGTTTCCAGTGAGTTTAGTAATCACTTGCATTTGTATGTTTGTTTGGTTCTGCTCTGCAGTCCTGCGGATGCCCATCCACGGTGCAGCGTCAGGCGAAGCCAGTGACAGTGAGGAGGAGTTGGCTGCTTTCTGCCCATCAGTATGTTTATCATCTGTTTATTCTCTCACTAATCCTGTTGACGTGTGATGTAAGTGAATATGGTCATCTTATTTTCTGTTAATCAGTAGTTGGACCTGGCTTACTTGTTTCAATGAGGAACATCAGTCCTCCAATTTGTCTGTCGGAAAATGTGTGAAAGGTTTTCTTCACATTGTGCTCTCACATGGTAGTTGTGACAACATGATGCACTGAAGGCCCCTAAATCCATGATTTACTTTCACTTAATGTGGACATTTGTTCAGTGTGCATAATAAACACTGATGGTTTGTGTGTTAAGAGACATGTCTAAGCTTGTCTACCTAAAATGCCAAGGCACTGAAGGCGTCTGTTCTGTTTGTGTACTGTCAAAACTTGTGCCAGATTGTTAATTCTATGAGAAATGAACTGTTCTTAAGCCTCTCAGTGAAGGTGTAGAAAGGTAAAATGTACAGATAAAACATTCACTGCATACAGTGTTAGTTACAGAACATCTGAGCCACTTCCTGTTGGGGTTAAGAACTTCACATGATGTGCTGTGTCTACTGTGTGTTTGTTGTCACCTTAGTGGGTGTGTGTCTGTATAGTGAAGCTTGCAGGATGTATGAGTGCAAACAGAGAGGAAATATAGCAACACACTACAAGTTTAGCAAACCCTTTGTGGCAGATTGAAGTTTATGCAAAGATTTTGTCACAACTCATAAAATATTTACCTTTTCAATCTGTTGTCTTTGCTAGTTTGATGATGCGGTTGTTGCGAAGGAACTTGCTCTGACTGACTCAGAGCACTCTGATGCTGAGGTGTCCTACACTGATAACGGAACATTTAACCTATCACGGGGCCAGACCCCGATGACAGAGGGCTCTGAGGGTAAGTATTTAGGTAAAGCAAACTTTCTATTCCTTTTCATTTTCTGGTGTGTGGTCTCACCTTGTCCCTGTCGGTATCTTGGTCAGATCTTGACAGACACAGCGATGCAGAGGAATCCTTCGCTCAGGACCTCCCGGACTTCCCCTCCATAAACCCTGATGCCACTCTGATGGACGATGACGACGACACAAGCATAGGTCTGCCAAGTCTGGGTCCGTCTGGGCTAGCTAGTCACCGGGCCTCAGTGCTAGATATAGATGCTCATCTGGACTCTGACCAGGAGGATCTGGATACAGAACTTTCTCTCAGCGGTCTGCCACCTGCCTCTGATTTCACGGGAGACTTGGCTGGAGTCATCGCCAGCAACATGATCCAGGCAGCGCTGTTGGGAGCAATGCAACCTCGGCCTCCTCCTACCCAGCGCAGAGAAGGCCCTCCTAGGGCCGGGTCCCACCGAAGCTACCGCAAGCAGTCCAGCTCTGAGCTGGACACAGACTTGGATGGAGAGGACTTTGAAATGCTGGATCAGTCTGAACTGAACCAGATGGATCCCCTTGGAGGAGGAGGGGGTAGTAGACGGGGAGAGAGCCAGGGGTCTAACTTCTTGTCTAGCTTCCTGGGTAAACCACAGTAAGGTGTGTGTATGAGAGCGTGTGTGTCTGTATGCCTGTGTGCACGGGTTCAGGTGCAGTGTACATGTTAGAGAGCTGTGTGCGTGTGTGTGTGTGTGTGTGTGTGTGTGTGTGTGTGTGTGTGAGAGAGAGAAATGATTTTAGGTTCCAGCAGCCCTGCTTTTGATTGGCATCAGTTTATCACTGTGAAGTACTTTTTCTTTTTTCTATCTTTTCAAACTCTTTTCTCCCGTACTTTGAAACCCTGATCATCCAGAAACTTTTACTTTGTAGGTTGAGCAATAGGACATGCAACAACAAAAATAAAACACATTCAGACATTTAATAAACCAGCATTATTGAGCCTTGTTGCAGTCTTTTAATTGTATGCACCCATAAATTACAAGGGTGCTTGTTAGTGACTATAAATAAAGAACAGCAGTGCCCATAAAGTCTTTTCTACCTGGAGGTCGACACATACAGGGCTATTTAACATGGGACCAAATATGACATTCCTGTTGGTTGAGCTGAGCCATGTTGCTTTGATAATGACATAATGAAACATCATGTTTAGCTTCTTTACTCATTGGATTAATAGTTTCTTCCGTCACATTTTGACAAAGAAACAGCAGTTCATGTTGCTGTTGACATTAGTGCTCTGCTGTCCTTACATGTGGCTAAGATCTGTTAAAAGATTATTTAATGTTACCGCAATTTAATAAACATTTTCCACACAACACTTAAGTAAGCAGTTGTGGATTTGGACAGGGATTATCTTCTATGATGAAGATGACTAATATTTGGATTAAAGTTTCAGTTGTTTCTCTGTATGATTTTCGTAACTTTTTTTCCTTTTCTGCTGTCTAACATATGAAGACATTTTCTTGCATTTCTTTGAGCTTGTTTTATTTTCTTGAAAGAAGGTCACATTACAGTCTTAAGATAGGTATCTGACCTGGAGGAACACTTGATGTTATGTTTGTTGTTCATTGTATTTATGAACTTGTGCCCCAGGTTTGCTTCTTTTTTTTTTTTTTTGTGTGAGTAAGTTCAGAATATGTTTTGATTTTCCTGCCCTTCAAATACAGCTCAATAACATATTATGTCCATGTTTAATACCTTGAATGAGCCCTCAGCTTTGTGTGTTTTTTTTTTTTTTTCTTTTTCAAAAGTAACATTTAAACAAATTTCTTCAAATCTTTTACCATCTTTGTATTTCATGTAGTTGACAGTCATGCTGAACTTTTTAAGAGAGACAAATGCTCTTCAATTCATGGATCTTTTACTATTTTAATGGGGAAACATGTTTACATTAAAATTGGGTATAGAAAGTTATCCTTATATCCTTTCTTTTTTTTTAAAAAAAGTCTTAGTGTGTAAAGGTTTAAATTGGCTTTTCTGTGCTGGTCAGCCTGATTTATTTTTTAAATGGACAAACTTAAATGAGCCACAGTTGAGATTTATTGAAATCATATATCAAAAAGTTTTAAAATGCTGGGTTTTTAGTAGAGGAAAACACATCGCTCTCTTTTAATTGTGTTATTTTGAGAGGAAAATCATAGCTGCAAAAGATTTAGCACAATAGGAGAAAAAAAACTGCTGGATTCACATTCATGGAGATGAAGTAGAAAAACATGTGCACTGATAGGAAATTGCTGGGATTTTGAGGCTATAAAAAGGAGTTGGTCTCAGCTGTTTGACCACCTCAGTTAACCAGAATGTTGCTCATTGCTGCTCCATGAAGAAAGTCAGTTCCTCAGTATGAGTGATCTGTAGTTTGATAATGTAATGTGCATAGTAGTGTATTTTCTTCTCTGTAACTGGTTTTGATATGTTTTGATGTGCAAATCGTATTGAATAAAATGTTTGCAATTAAGTCTGTGTAGGGTATTATTTTATGTGACAGGAGGTGAAAGATGTACAGTAATCAGACGGAGCTCTTGAGATGACAACAACAACAACAACAACAACAACAACAACAACAAAGCCTTTGCAATAAAGAAACTTTGGAAGCTCTTCCCAAAGGAAACCATTCACTATAAAACACTTGCAGACTGAACATTGAGGATTTGTCCTATATTAAATATATTATTATTTTTCTATTACAGGTGGTATTTGTTTGTATATTATTTACAACACAATAACCCACATTTAAACTAAATATTTGTTTGTGCCAGGATCCTAAATTATCTGTCTTAGAGACCAGCCAAAATGACAGAGCTCTCACTCCGCTGTTCTTTCCGGATATAAAGGATATTTTTAAGCCAAGTTATAAACAAATAGTAAATATTTTTGGACAAATAGTTAAACTGTTCTGAGATAAAGAAATCAACACAGACATGCTCATGTGCGAGTGTTGTTGTCCTCACACAACTCTCGAAGAGCAGCGGAGATATTTCTACAGGTGTGACGCATCTTAAGACATAAACGATCGTTTCGGTGACGCATTATTCGCGCGAAACTCGGTTTTAGGAAGCTAAAGTCAAAGTAAAGACGTTTGCGATGAGTAAAAAAGATAACGGTAAGAGTCAGCTCATATGTCAGGATGTTAATGACTGTAAGCAAGCTCAATGTCTTATCTCCCACTTGTATCGACGCTCGTTAGAAGTAACAGACACTTAAAAAGTTTGAAAACGAAGCTATAAGCTAACGTTAGCTACATTAGACTACATAGTAGGATAAGCTACGTTAGCTAACATCAAAGCTTTCAAACCTTTAAATGAGAGGCCACTGGATGTATTATATTATGTATGAATATAACATAGTTGTTCACCAGTGGTCAAAGTGTCCTAAACTCACCAAAAACTAACATACAAACAAATGTAATACGCAGTTACAATGGTAAAGGCAATGATAGCTGTCACTCATAGCTATGTTTAAGATAATAAATATGTTTAAGATAATATTTTAGTATAATATATTAAATGTAGGTACCATTTGCATGTTTGTGTCGGTTCATTTGGTCAGATTCCCCTCCTTTAATCCACAGGAGCTTCACTTATCCTGGCCTATCTGAATGAGAAGAACCGGCCCTACAGTGCTCAGGATGTCTTTTGTAATTTACAAAAGCAGCACGGATTGGGCAAAACGGTGAGATTAACACTTAATAACATGCAGTGGTGTGTATGTGAAGCCTACAAATAAATAAATGTACTTGCTTATTTGTGATTCACTAGGCAGTTGTCAAATCCATGGAGCTGCTGGCGCTGGAGGGCAAGATAAAGGAGAAGACATATGGCAAGCAGAAGATTTATTTTGCAGACCAGGTTAGTCTGTCCATCTAGACATCTGTGGAAAATAGACAGTGAAAGTAACACGAGCACACACAGTTACTTATCGTAATCTAAGATGAAACTGATTGCTGCTAATCTCCCCCTCAGGCTCAGTTCAGTGACATTAATGATGCAGACCTGAAGGCCATGGACTGTCAGATATCAGAGCTCAGTGCCGAGGTGCAGTCCCTTACCCAGAGCTGCAAACAGCTAGATGCAGGTGAAGTACACCAATAATCTCTGCAAGTTTACATGGTATCAAGATATTTGAATTTTGCACTGCTGGAGGCCACTGGATGTTGCTGTTTTGTGTAACACTTCTTTACACTGAAGGCGTTTTCATTGCACTGCATTTCTTTCTTTGAAATGGGATGTTGTGTACATTTGTGTATAATTTCCTCCAACAGAGCTGAAGGAGCTCAACAGCTCCCTGACAACAGAGGAAATGATATCAGAGATACAAGAGCTGAAAGCGGAGTGTTCTGGGTACAGAGAACGTCTGGAGAAGATCAAGTCGGCCACAAATCACGTCACACCAGAAGAGAAAGAGAAGGTTGGGCAAGTGTTGATGCAGAAAATATCTTGGAGACCTATTGCATGTTGTATTTGTTTTCCATTTTCTGTACAGTATGGTAGTACATTGCTCATGATACTTAAATTTACAGGTTTACAAAGAGCGGACTATATACGTGAAGGAGTGGAAAAAAAGGAAGAGATTGGTAATGTATATGGAGTTGCAATAATGAGTCAATTAAAAGAAAATTAATCTGCAGCTATTTTGTTAAATAATTTTCAGTTAAAAATGCCAAAATGTGATGATTTGTTGCTTTTCTTTGTCATATATGACAGTCAATTAAGTATATTTGGGATTGTAAATTGCACATAACAAGTAAGAAGACATCACTTTGGCCTCTGAGAAACTGAATGTCACTTATTAACACACCAAACAACTGATTGAGAAAATAATCCACAGATTCATCAATACTGAAAATAAGTTACTTGCAGTCTATACATTTTAAATATTTCAATTAGTAAATATTAAATAAAGATGTAAGTAAGAGGCAAAAATTCAATATGTTGGTTTTGTGAGTATCACAAGCAGTAGATGGAAACGGAAATATGTAATGTTTTGTTTCTCTCAGGCTTCAGACATGATAAATTCAATCCTGGAAGGGTATCCTAAGAGCAAAAAGGAGTTCCTGGTGAGTGAAAGCTTATAAAATCCCCTGTCCAAAAACATAATTTCATGCCACGACCTATGCGTGTTTTGCTTCACTGTACTATTGAATAATGTGTTGCCCTCACAGGATGAAGTCGGAGTGGAGACTGATGAGGACTGTAAGGTGGTTGTTCCAAGTACTTGAAAGAACAAGAAAACACTTGTTCATCCACTTCATCAATGTAAGCCTGTGCAGTGCTTAGCTAAGAATATGGATTATACATCGGGCGGTCTGAGCCACAGCACAATCTTTATTTATTTATAGCCTTTCTTTTTAACAAATAGTACATCTTTAATAAAAAGTTGATTGGATACACAACTTTTGTAATGCAAAGTATATTTATACAAAAACAGCTGTCATTTGCGAGACACTAACACTATGTCACACCATTAGACAGCAGTGAGGGACGCTTATCACCTCATAGGCAACATTGGTTTATTTTTTTTTCCCCTTTTTATAAAGCCATAAAAAAACAATCCTGAGCCTATGCTGAAAATGTCAACAGATTATTCATTATAGCTTTGAGAACTGTACATTTTTTGTTGTTCTTATTACATGTTCAAGTCCATCTTGCTGACATTTTTTTTTTTTACATAAAAGAGCCAAAATGTATAAAGCATTGACAGTTATTCATGACCTTATGTGTGGGTTGTCCCATTTTTTTACCCTCTCCTTTGTTAATATTCCTTTGTTTCCCGTTTCTTCACTCGGTATTGCTGCCGAGTTATTAAATGTTCATGACAGTAACGTATGATGCTGGAGTGCTAAGTGAATTTCTCAAACAAAACAGCCAAACTCATCTCTCTCAATTATCTTAAACATTAGATTTTACAGGTCTGTCTTTTTATGCAGTTTAACACAATCTATAATCATTTTACTTGGTGCAAATTAAACGGGATGTATTAAAGATATTTCTTTACATAGATTGCCTTAGATGACTTTTATAAAAGAAAATATTTTCCCATGATTAAAACAACAATAAAGCAACTCTTTATCGAACAGATTAGCTGTGTGTGTGACAGATTTTACTTGCTCAAATACTGGAAACTGTCAAAGTCATCACAAATATTTGCTTTATAGTATACGTTTAAAAATCAAAGTATAAAAAACGTTTAATTCAGTACAGCAGCTGTAAATCTCTCTGCGTAGCCCTGTCCAAGTTTCTCAACAGATACCTGTGACTGGAGGGGGAATACAGTGACAGCACGTTTTCCACTCAGCAGTCTTGAACATTCATAAGTGCTGCTGCACTGTTTCGGAATGAACTGTTCCTGATCATAAAAGCCACTGATAATTAAATTTTTTTTAAATGCTTATTGTAAACTGCAATCTGAAAGGTTCATCATAATCAACACTTTGTATTTAACATTATCTCCCAAAAAAACACGTTTCACTACAACTGAATAACTGTATTTAACGTTCAACACAATTTGCAGTGTAGCTTAATTATTGTCAATATATACAATCATTCATAAATCTTAGACATTTATGCTGCCTAAATTGCACACCTGTCACCGGTGAGATTTCAGCATACTGTCACTGCTGTATTATTGAGAACTTCACATTTTGTCACGAAAGGTAGAAATCTTTTAATCTTTCTTCAGTGACAAAATGCTGCAGCGCCACAGAGCATGCTCCTGAGTGTGCGCATAGTTAGGATAAATGAGAGTTACCCTGCAGTAGTGTGTCTACTATGGTTCAGGAGTGGTATGGCTGACTGAAGCCCTTTGGATCAGCATTAAGCTGCAGTTCTGTCAGATGTAAAAGAGGGAAAGGTGTGTTTTTACATGTTTTTTATCACCATTCTCTCTCCTTTTCTCAGTTTCTGTTAGGTTGATAGCTTACAGAAGCAATACGATCAATACACTCAATATATAAGAGGAGTCTTGGTTTTCATTTATCTCAACAAAGGCAACAGCTACTGCAAAGTATAATCACAACTGCACTGTCTTGTCAATCTGATGCATTTAACTTAAAATATTAATTTGTGAACTCTAATTTGGACTTCTGAGCTCTTGTGTTGCCTCTGCATTTCTTGGCAGAATAGTAAGAAATATGAGCATTCAGCTGAGACCGGAAAATACTCGTATCAGAAAGTGATCCTTCTTAAACACACAGCTGCTCGATCCAATATAACTTTTCATCTCCGCCCATGGTGTGGGTTGAGGCAATCCAATCGCAGCCAGGGCAGTCACTGATGAGCTGAAGTGAGTGTAAATACTGTGGCTTGGCGTGGCGTGAGGCTGATTGGAGTTTTTACTCCACCCTGAGAGGCCAGAGCAAGCCCAAAGTCAGTTTCTGGGAGATCAGTCCAGAGGTTTAAATGGATCAATAAAGCTGACCATTGAGCTGCCGGAGCACCCCAACAACAAACTCCCTCAGCGTCTAGGAAAGAACACAAGAATCACAAGGATCACACAAAATGATCTTAACATTAACCAGTTTTACTGTGTCTGATCTGATGTCCACAATGGGTTCAGAATATTTTTTACCTGCGGCTTGCAGTGCTCCTCAATCCAGCTGAAAACGCAGGCAGAAAGTTCTTGGAAACTGCTCACTGAAACAGAATTACTGAAGGACTGGAACAGGGAGTCCATGATGCTCTGAAAGATGTTGAACTTAACCTGGTCAGACACCTGATCCTCTCCCTGCTGTGGGTTGTTCTGGTGGGCCTTCACTATGTGCTCATAGTTCCTATTAGGAAAGACAAACACTGTTCACTGGCATTGCAAATTAAAATTCAATTAATGGTCACAACTGTTCCATAAAGAAATCATTAACTCGAGCCTGTCCTTTCACACACTACATTCATTGATTTTCCTCCATAGCAAGTGTAGTATGGTTGTAATAAAAATCCAAACGCAGCATTTAAAGCTTTTACTTCAGGGTATTTGTTCCATTTTTTTTAATTTATTTTAGAACTGATAGTACCTTTACTATATGCTGTGTCAGGGCTGAAATCACCACAAAGCAACTCTAGAGTTTTCTCTTTTTGCCCAAGATCAGCATTTCTTTTAAAATACGTATTTCTATCCGTCTGCATGCATAATAAGTAGGGAGGTCTTAGTTAGCCAAAAACTGGGTAGAGTAAATTCTGAGAAAGTCTGTAAACAATTATCTTACGTTTTCATAATCTTCAGTGCCATCACTTCTTTCCTTAGTACTGAAACTTCCTCCTCTTGCTTCTTCTTTTCTTTATGAAGAAAATGGATGTAGTCAATTGCTGCAAAAATAAAACACAGAAATGCATCTGTCAGGGATTTTTTCACTGCAAACAAATGTGAGTTTCCATTTTCCAAGAGGTGTTGTCCCTCCACAACCATCTCCCATACACCAAAGTGCTGACAGTTCCTCCTTCTTCTATGTCTTCTTTGTCCTCGTCTTTCTATTGAACTGCTAATTTGCATTGTCAATATATCATGTATGCCTTTTGTTCTCTTCCATTGTATTTTTACTTGCTTTGTGTAATGTGAGCATGTCAGACTGGATGTGTAGTTGGGAGCTATAAGCAGCATGCAGACTGAAGTGAACCAGGTACCTTTCAGGTTTCTGTGCCATATTCATTTAGTTAAGCACCACAGGACTCTACTAGAAAACTACTTAATAATGCCAGTGTTGAAAGTTGGACAGAAATTACTATCTTTCTGTGATAGAGAGTGTCAAATTATGTCTTAGCTACTATTCCAAATGCAAACATTGGTAACCTAGCTGACCTGTAAGTGTTCTTCCAATAAAATCACGTCTTACTTTTCTGTAGTACAGTAGCCTTGCTGATCTTCTGTGCTCCCACTGCAAATTCAGACTGCTGCTGGCAGGTTGGTACTATGGACTGGAGGTCATCATAACCTTTCTGAAGTTAAAAAATACATATAAAATAAATTATAATCATTAATAACTACAGAACAAATGAAAAACTAAAAATATGCAACTTTTCAAAATGTGCGTGTGATGTATCTGCAGAAAGTCACAGAGACCTGAAAACTATTGTAGCCTTACCTTGATAGCGTCCCTACGCTTCTGCTCAGCCTGTGTGTGCGCTTGTCTCCGTCGATCTTTATACGAGTCCTTATATGACGTCTCATGTCTGTAGTCACTGTCTTCATCATCTATTCAAGAACATATTAACACTCAGATTACAAAACATGCCTCTGACCCTCAACTGGGAATACCAGTTGGCATGCTAACAAATGCACAATTAACTATTTTGTTACATAGACGTTTTTGAAAACATAATGAGTATTTGGCAAATTTTAGTTGGTTTAAAACTGTAACAAGACTCTGGCATGAGTCCCATCACAGAAAATATGCCAATGCTGGGCCATTTTTCATGTCAGCAGGATTCAGAGAAGCTGATTCATGCTTCAGTCAAGCTCTATTGATGACTATAATGCACTTTAAGCTGACCTACACAAGACATTATTTGACAGTGGCAACTAATACAACCCTGTTGACAGAGTCTGAACAAAAGCTATAAAGATGGGACACAGTTCTGCACGCACTGCATTTTATCAAACAAAGCATTATATACTGAATATACTCTTCAAACTGGTTTACAAAGTTCTATAAGAATTACTGTCTAAAACTGTACTAAAATAAAAGCATGTTCTGTCTCTGTTTAACAATGAGATTTCACTTTGAATGAAAGGTGGCATAAAAATAAGGCTTATTATGATAAATGCAATTTTATAAAATATTTTACAGAATTTAGACTGCAAGTCTGTGCATTACAGGGGAAGAGTCAAACTTCACATCACAATCTAGGCTAACTGTAGCACAGAATATATCAGCAAAGTCAGATCCACTCTGTTACTAACACATTACCTGTATTTGGTACTGAAGAGGCACTTGTCGAACCAATGCTGTTGGCCCTGGACACAACTGTACCTTTTCTGGCAGTTTCAGCAAAGAAACCTACAGAGCAAGACGGCCAACATCAAAGATCTTTCACTTCAAGACCAGAAACAGATTGACATGCTAATCTAAGAGACCAAAAACACAAGGCCACCATCACATAGCCTAAATATCAAATGATATGACAAACAACAAGATATGAACTGACTGAATACTCACTAGGGTCAAAGCCACTGTCGCTGAAAGCACCGTCTGTCTGCCAAGCCATCACCAGACAACAGAAGATGAAAAAGGGAGAAAATAGAGGCTTTAAAGCTGGAATAACAAGGGGAAAATTGAGCTGCCCAAAATACATTGACAATAGACCGATAACCAGCCTGCCCCATAAGACGGTCTAAACCCCCACTGAGGATTGCCCTGATTTGTCCAATTCAAGTATGCAGAAGGGTTAAAGAGCTGCACCAAATTACTACTTCAATCACAGATCCAGTCTGATCTAGGGCACCCACAACGCAATGGTTTCTTTAATTTGTGGTTCCCAAAGTTGGATCCAGTTTTTTCCAATGATTATAGGCGTCAAAACATTGAAAACTGTGTTTAATTTCAACACTTAGTACGTTTGACAAACCAAAAGTCTTTCTACCTACATTAGAATCAATCAAAATATGATCCCCGACTAAATACCCTATGCCAAAGAGTTTCACAAGTTTATATCAAGTTTATTTAGGAGTCTCTGACATGAGGAAGATTAGCAACTATCTATTTAATGACATATATCACAAATGTGTGAATCTTTGCCACTACAGCTAAGTGGGACTCAGCTCCTTTACAATATTGACAGCCGATTATTGTCAGATAATAATATACAAATAATGATAACACGCAGCCCTGACAAAAGCTTGGGTGAATACTTCTGACAGGTAGTGGGAAATAGACAATTCCCTGATGCTAGACTTGCAGCTATCGTTAGAATTTAACAGCTAACTTAACATTATATATGGTGGGGCTGCTATAATTATCTGTATGTTTACCAACGTTAATGGTTGATTTACTGCACCATCTGCCAGCAGCCTCTTCAGTAAGTCTTGAACTTCACTTTTACATGAACGAAAGAGAGAAACGAGAATGAACGCAGGCTACAAGACGAAGATAAGTTGCCCTTTTCAGCACGATTTGTTTACTTAACTAACGTTAGCTAACGCTATAGCTTTATGACGCTACCAAACGTCACCTCGCTAACGTTAGCTGCCGAGCTAACAAAGCCCTGCTCCTCCATAACAGTGGCAAAACTTCCACTTTTAGACGAAACAATGTTTGCCACCTATGAATGCGGTCACATGGCAGGAATGTGGATCAATGAATGTGAAAGGTTGACGTCCACTAACATCAGTTACTTACTTTCCAGTGGTCCTCGGGCGACGCAGTCGGGTCCGTCATTTTGGAATGCAAAATAACTACTACGTCTGCTGCCTTCAGGTGCTCCACGTAAATTCCCACTTTGTACGTCAAAAAGAAATGCGGATAGGCGCTCCCTTTCAAATATACAATAACAAAACAGTAAGGATTTCTCACGCAGAGCCAGTTGTATGAGAGGTAAAAGCTTTCATACTTTCTGTATCCTTGAATTAATAACTTGCGTCCACGACTAACTTCATAATCAAGGAAACGTATTTGTGTGTACGAGCTATGCCTTTGTTATGAAACAAGTGATGGTAAAAGTTAGTATTTATTAGTATGAATCTAAACTTTTTTTTCGGTTACAGGTGCAAACATCTTGAATGTTATATGAAGCTATATGTTCTGATGTCGCAAATCATGAATAGCCATTTCCGAGGAGGCCATGAATGCAGCAAACACACATGCAGTGTTTGGCTTCAAACACAGAGGGACGCTGTTGGACAACCCTCTCTACCTAGACACTTGAGTGACCTGCCCTTATCTGACTGCCATCAGTCTGGCCTCACGTGGAGAGAAATGACCAAAACAAACTTAAATCCAGGCCGATTCAAGTTAAAGCTGACTTCAAGAGAATGAATGACTCCTGTGTAGTGAAAGTGGATTAATGGTGAAATGGGAGTTGCACTTTACATCTGCACTTGCTTGTTTAGCATATTAGGTTTCCTTAACCTTGGATATTCTTTCTTATTTCTTTCACTCCTGTGCTACCTTATCTTACTCATCAGTCACCTACTACATGCAAGGTAGCATATGCCTAACCGATACCATGTTTATCTTCCACCCTGTTCTCCACCCGAGGTGCTGTTGTCATGCACAGGAAGTTGCTCTTCTGCTTTTGTGCTTCTGTGGTTTTTGTCAGTGTTACAGAGTGTGTCTCACTCCCTCTCCTTCCTCTGACACGCAGTCCTCTGTAGTCACTCACCGGAGTGGTTTTGGTCAACTAGTGTCAAATGAGTGACACGTAGGTGGCTCTTTTCTTAGAGCCCAACAGGCCGCCACAAATCTTATTCTTATAGGTACTTGTAAGCAGTGAAGGACAGGTTGATGAGAGCACAGACATGAGGACGATCTACATTCTTTCATCATCCACCTTGTCCTCAGGACCAAAGCGGATTCAGTAGACCGGACGCTTCATGTTCCTCTACCTGAAGACTCAACAAGTTAGATTTCCTGTTTGTTCTGGTCATTTGTGACCACTTTTTGTCACTCTGTTCTGGAATACACCAATTTCTCAGGGGAGAGGGTTTGTGTAAAGCTTTCCTACTGGATTACTTGTGGAGATTAGTGATGGGGAATGCGGCGGCAGGGGGCCTGGAGCAGGAACCGGCTGAGGGTCGCGAGGCCAGGAACTCAGTCGGAGCAGCTTCTGGAATGAGTGACCCCACCCCAGCTTTGCAGAAGAAGCAACCGGCTCCCCCCAAACTGCCCATGCCCCCAGAGGATGAGCTGGAGGAGCGCTTCAATGGTGTGCTGGTGAGTTGCTGCGCAGGAGACAAGAAAGAACACACCCTTACTCCACATGGAAACTGAGGTTATACATTTGGTGTTTTACCAATACCAACTATGGTTTTGTGGTCATGTCTAAAGGCAGGGATAATTATGCAGGTACATGTGTCAGAGGGACAGAAAAAAACCCACATCTAGTAATTAAACTATAATTTAAAGTTGTTTGAACTTTTTCTTCTGATTTATTCTACCAAAAAAACAATTTGAAGAGAATACAGACTGCATGTGATGTCAGCCTTTTCCCATTTGTAGTCACAATCTTAGAACATCTAAATCTACAGGCCTATTTCTTCACAAAATAACTACTTTAAATTTTATCATATTTGCACAAAGGTCACCGTCAACTGCTCTATTCAAAGTAGGGATGTCACAATTAAAAACAATGTTAGCAACACATTGCCAGATTCATTGATACACTCCATTCCTTCACTGTTAAATTTGAAAATGTCAGACTAGGAACAGGATGATTAGTGCATGCTCAGGCAGCTGCCCCTAAGGGGAAGTTGAGCAACACATTTTCATGAGTGAGACCATAAGACCGGAAAGCAACTGTTTCACCATTCTTTCAACAGTCTTACAACAAGTTGGAAAGCATAAAACTTTCTGAAAACTTTAAGCATAATGTATCTCTCTGCTCACAGGTGAAAAAAACCAAATCCATCACATCTTTAAAATCCTGTGATGCTCCATATATCAGTGTGATATCATGGGTTATGGAATGGGGGGGAGAATATTTTCTCTCTTAATAAACAGCATGACGTGTCCAGGTACTCTGCAGATGTATAAATAAGAAGCAACCAGACACTGGAACCTCAGCTAAGCTCCAGCTATGTAAAGAGAAAAAAACAGTTCACTTGTGTTAAAAGCACAATACACATAAAAAGTCTTATCAACAGCAGTCAGGTAGCTGTTTCCTCTTGTTATTTAAAATAATGTTAGCAATCCACTTTACTTAGGGAGTTAGTTGTTTATAATTTAATACAACTTTTACTGATGTAGGATGGAGGAAAGCAAGACGTGTTTTTTTTTTTGGGAAATTAAATTTTTTGTAGCTAAAATTAAAATAAAGCAAATAGTTTATGAAGGTTTTGACTTTTTATCTGGTAATGCATTAATGATTACTTGAAAAATAACAAACCTAACATACTAATTTCCAAATATTCTGATGAAATTCTGCAATTTATCTCTCTCTGAATTGTTATAGCTCTGTCAAGGAGAGTCATGATCACAGTGTAGTTGATATGTATACATTAAACATATACACTTTCTTTATGTTAACAATTATGTGTGACTGTTTCACATAATTTGACAAATCTACTTCCTTAAATCTAAATGTTGTCATACAAGAAGACATAAAAACCTTTTGAAGCTTTAGGGTTAACTGTTTCATAATGTCAATGTGACATATTCTGCTCACTTGGAAAATGAACAAAGGTGGCCTGTGCCATTTCATGCCTACAACACCCTCTCAGTATTATATGAAAAGAATGACCTCACTTCCTCTTTCAGCAAAATACTTCCAAAGTTAACTTTAGACAGACACCATTCTGCTCTGAGTTCAGCCTTTAACTATGTTTGTGCAACAAACTCAATAAGGAAATGAGAAACACACTTTCATCTTAATTTCTATGTGGTTTCTAAACTTAGGGAAAAAGTCAGTTCATGCAAGTGTACATGCACACAAATGTTTGCAAGAGTCTTCCGTCATTTTTTGGAACCACGAAACCCACCAGACCCCTCCCTTGCCCCACTAAGAATGAAGCTTCATCTCTGAGAAGCAAAACAACGGCCGTTTCTGTTTCCTCTTTTTTTTTTTTTTTTTTTAAGAAACTACAAACCACTGCATGAATGTACACTCTAGTAGATTCTAGATCAACACCCATGTCAACTGAAAGGATTAGTTGTGCCAGTAAATGATCAGTGTGTTTGGAGTCTTGGATCAGGTACTGTGAAAGTGAGGCAAAGTTGTATAAAAAAGATTCTTACTTAGAATTAGAATCAATTCAATTCAATTCACTTCAATTCAATTTTATTTGTATAGCGCCAATTCATAACAGTAGTTATCTCAGGACACTTTTCAAATAGAGCAGGTCTAGACTGAACTCCTTATAACATTATTTACAGAGACCCAACAGTACCACCATGAGCAAGCACTTGGCGACAAGGGCAAGGAAAAACTGCCTGTTAAAAGGCAGAAACCTAGGACAGACCCTACGGCTCTAGGTGGGTGGTCGTCTGTCTCGACCAGTTGGGGTGAGAGAGAGAGAGAGAGAGAGAGAGAGAGAGAGAGAGAGAGAGAGAGAGAGAGAGACAGACAGACAGACAGGTGCACAGCAACAACAGTAGCAACAACTACACTAATAGTAGTGACTGATGATGATGAACATGACAACAGCAACGATGGGGGGAAATGAGCAGTGACAACAGCAACAACAGTAACCATAGCAATAATAATACTTATAATAATATTAACACTAATATCAGTGATATTGGCAATGGCAGTCAAGCAGGACCATGGCAGGAGGCTCCACCAGGATCCATGAGAACCTGCGAGACGAAAAAGCACAAGAACTCCGGGGAAGAAGTGAAGCTAGTAACATGCATTAATGGGACATGAATGAGTGCAGAAAGAGAGAGGAAGAGAGGAGCTCAGTGCATCATGGGAAATCCCCCAGTAGTCTAGGCCTATAGCAGCATAACTAAGGGATGGTTCAGGACTCACCTGATCCAGCCCTAACTATAAGCTTTATCAAAGAGGAATGTCTTAAGCCTATTCTTGAATGTGGTGAGGGTGTCTGCCTCCAGAACCACAACTGGAAGCTGGTTCCACAGGAGAGGAGCTTGGTAACTGAAGGCTCTGGCTCCTGTTCTACTTTTAGAGACTATAGGAACCACAAGTAGCCCAGCATTCAGAGAACGTAGTGTTCTAGTGGGGTAATAGGGTACTATGAGCTCTTTAAGATATGAAGGGGCCTGACCATGAAGAGCTTTATAGGTGATGAGGATTTTAAATTCTATTCTAAATTTTACAGGGAGCCAGTGCAGAGAAGCTAGTACAGGAGAGATGTGATCTCTTTTTCTAGTTCCTGTAAGTACTCGTACTGCAGCGTTTTGAATTAATTGGAGCGTTTTAATGGACTTATTGGGGCAACCTGATAATAAAGAGTTGCAGTAATCCAGCCTAGAAGTAACAAATGCATGGATTCGTTTTTCTGCATTTGTCTGTGATAGGATGTGTCTAATTTTTGTAATATTACGTAAATGAAAGAAGGCCCCTCCTGGAGGTTTGCTTTACGTGGGAATTAAATGACAAATCCTGATCAAAGATAACTCCAAGATTCCTGACAGTGGTGCTAGACGCCAAGGTAATGCCATCTAGAGTAACTATATCTTTAGACAGTGAGTCTCTAAGGTTTTTGGGGCCAAGTACAAGAATTTCGTTTTTTTCTGAGTTTAACATCAGAAAATTGAAGCTCATCCAGGACTTTATCCTCAATCAGTGACCATAGAAAGTGATTGAAGAACCGTTCTTGCCCCAAAAAGATTTATTTTCCTCACAAACTCCCCAATCATTCTTAAGAATTAATTAGAGTTAATTAAACCATTCAATTCATAGCCTATTTGAATAGGGGGATAACCTTTATATCTGGAGTCATTTCAGTGTAGGTTATAGACAATAACTCAAAACGAAACTGCACTTTTTGGGCAGGAATATGTCAACTCCTTTGTCAGTTGAGTCAATTTGCACCAGAGATGTGTGGAGGTGGGAGGGGGGGGTCTTGTTCTATGTAAAAATCACCTTACAGTTAAGAATTATAGTGTGCATTCCACATGTACATGTGCATTTTGTGATGGAAAAGGCACATTATTCTAATCTCATTAGAAAGTCTCTCTATATATAACTATAATATATAACTTTGATCATGTAAATAAAAAAGTGAGAAACAGATAAAAATGGTTGGCAGTAGAGTGGGTTTTCTTTATTTTATATGTGCCTTGTTTCATCAAAATCTTCATTAAAGGTTGAATTGTGGTGTAAAAAATTTGCACAAATGCTGGTTAGCTCAAGAATGATTTATTATGACCAAAAATGCTTATTTTCTGACGTATATGGTCCCTAACAACAACCATTGATACATACATACATGTAAACACTGAGTCATCTTTCCTTCCGGCAGGTAGTCAACGCCCTTCTGCTTTACACAGTGCATTTGTGGTTTGGTAGATTTGAATATTGTTGCGTAAGCAGGAAAGATGAAGAAATTACAAGATTTAATATTTGACATTAAAGGGGGTTGAAATGAATTGTAAAACATAAAGATCCTAAAGTGTGACTAATATGAAATTGTGTTGTTTTTTTTAATCAGTGACATTCTTGCATATGAAATTCATTTGATAACATTAAGATTTTTTACATTGAAACTTTTGCTCTCTTTTCCAGAGCCACATGAACTTGCCTCCAGATAAACTGAAGCTGTTGAGTCAGTATGACAATGAAAAGAAATGGGAATTAGTCTGTGATCAGGTAAGACCTTTTTTAAATATGTTTATATGAGCTGGTTTCCCAGTAAAACCTCATATCAAACTTAACTGGATTCTTGCACCGGTCCCTTCACTCAGACAGAGTAGACACAAAGTACATAAACACCCAAAATGGATACGTGGTTGATAGCAGAGTGCAGTGTGAAAACCCTGCAGCACAGTTTCTGTGGTTGCAACCGATAGAGGCGTTGGCATGGAAACAGAGGGCGGTTTGTGTCTGTTGTGTTTACTAGCACAGGCAATAATAGCTTCAAATGCTGTGCACTGGTAAATTTGTTTTCAGTTCAGTCATCTTTCAGAGTTGTTAATAAAAATAAGTCAGCCAGTCTGTGAATTCTTCGTCCCCAGGAACGTTTCCAAGTGAAGAGCCCTCCATCCACTTACCTGGCCAAGATCAAGAGCTTCTACCAGGATCAAGGAGGGGTGTCTCGTAGGGTCAGTGCCTCACCTTCCTTTCATATTTGACACATCTTTAATTTTCTATTTACACAATGATTATTCTTGATTCTTGATTCTCATTTATTCTCCTTTAGCTGAAAAAACGTATCCAAGAGGCCACCCAGGTCCTTAAAGATTTGGAGATATCCCTTCGTACCAATCACATTGGGTGAGCATATTAAATTGGGGGGATTATGTTATAACACGATTTTTCATCTTAATGTGTTTTAATGTTGTCTGTAATATAATGTGTTGTATTTTAGCACATCCTGCCTGTAAGACACTTTGTATAAACATTATTCAAAGGTTCCCAATGGATTTATCTTGTAAACAAATGTTTATCAAGTTGTGAAGTCTATTACGTTTTCATGCATGTGGACATTGTAGACAAAAAAAGGACCTACTCGTAGAAACATTGCTCCATAGTGCTACTAGTGGTTAAAAACTCAACAAGGTACCTTTAAGATGAATGCTGAACAATTTAAGTTTCGAATTGTTGCCATTATAATGATTAATGGTCAGTTTGAATTCACTGAGCATTACACTATTTAACTTTTAGTAAACACAAGTCCACAAGCCACAATTACAGCATAATTGTTATAAATAAAGAAGGCAGCAAACTGGCCCAATAATGGCACAATAACCATCTACTATCGCCACCATAAGCTACTGGTCACACCAGACCAAGTAAGATTAAACAGGAAAAACCCTTGAGTGTATTGAATTGCAGAAGAGTGCGGTTTATTTCTTATGAATTCAACATTTCTTGAATAAGAGCAAGACTGTTATTTTTTTCTTTCTAGAGTTACATATTCTAATAATTAAGTCCAATATGAGTGGGTCTGTAATATATAATTACAAAATATAGTCCTTATTCTTTATTTTGCTTTGGGTGTTTTTGTAGATGGGCCCAAGAGTTTCTCAATGAGCAGAACAAAGGTTTGGATGTTCTGGTGGAATACCTTTCCCATGCACAAAGTGATGTCCCGTGAGTACCAGCAGGGTGTGAGACTGATGATGCTCTTACAATTAAATGATTTATCACCATGAATGCTTACTTCATATAAACTCTTTAGGTTTGATGCGGACAGTGTTGAAAATGGTGGCACCCTGTCAGACAGAGGAAAACCAACAGAGAGGTCAATGGAAGACTTGACTAAGAGCTCCAGCAGCTCCCACTCACATGGGATGACTAGAGCTGCTCGTGCACTGACTGTAAGGTGAGAAGGTCTAGGCATGAAAAGATTGTGGTACAGCATCTATCAGAAAAGTTCCAGACCCAGAGATGTCTATGAATGATAAGAATATAAATATATAGTGCACATCATGAATTCGTATGGAAGAGGAACTTTCAGCTTTTGCAGTGGCACATGTAGTTAGAAAATAGCATCATGCAAGAGAGAAGTGGTGTGATAGTGGCACGGAGGTGACCAGATGCCATGTCAGATGCCAATCAAGTGCTAAACTATTTTAAACTGAACTCATGTCTTTACTCCCGTAAATCACCAGCTTTCTATTTAGCACATTTAGGTCCAAATCTACACATTTGCCATTAATACAAATGTTAACATAAATAGTACCAGTGATTGAGCAACCAAAAGATTTGTATATTTATAAAACATGAAACAAACAGTGTAGAAGGCCATCAATGTGCCTTTATCATTAATTGTATACCCCTTTGTTTTTGCTGCCCTTCTTATTAGATTTCATGGCCATGTTATTGCTAGACAGCAGTTCCTCTTGAAACTGAGACTTTCCAACCATGTTGAATAACTCTATTTCTCACACCCTTATTCATTCATACCCTTTGCTCATTTGTAGAGTATTTTATTCAGTTTTTTTTTCAACCTGATGCCATATTTCAGCTGTCAGACAGACACAGTGGATGTCCAAAACAATGCTGGAAGGCTTGTTATAATTGGCTAAGGCCTAACTGTGCTCGGTTCTTGGCCTCTACTTCAAACCATTTCCACATACTGTACATTTATTTGTGTGTCCATACACTTGTCATCCCTCTACAGAATAAGCTCCACTCTGGGGAACAAGATGCATAAGAAGTCCCATTCACCCAGCCAGAGAGATGATGTGCATGTGTGCATAATGTGCCTGCGAGCCATCATGAACTACCAGGTAGAACCTCAACATACTCTGCTTCCATAATGGTGCAAAAACCATCATAAAAATGTTTACTTAAAGGAGGTGAAATTTTCTGCCAGTGAGTTGACATAATTCCACTTCACTTTCACTTGTCTAAGTTTTCTCATTGTTTGATTTAAAGTCTTTTAAAAAGCTTGTAATTAATTTGTCTCAAACCAAACACAAAAATATCTAATTTATGCTTTTCTTCTGCTTTAAGTCTGGTTTTAACCTTGTGATGACTCACCCGCGCTGTGTGAACGAGATCACCCTCAGTCTCAACAGCAGGAATCCCAGGTGAGTGCATTTGTGTGTGAATCAAAGTGTGTGTTATCTGTCTCTCTGCATCCATATCTAACCCCTCCTATGCTGTGACAGGACCAAAGCTCTTGTGTTGGAGTTGCTGGCTGCTGTTTGTCTTGTCAGAGGAGGACATGACATCATTCTCTCTGCCTTTGACAACTTCAAAGAGGTGAAATTAGGTTTTTTTTTTAAGGTCATTTTACCACATTGCAATGGTCTCATTTGACTTTTGTCTATTGCTAATTCAGTCATACCATGTTCCAGACTTCCCATATTTTATTACTCATCTTGTGACTGACACAATCCTTCCCTCACATCATGCGCTATGGGCATAATGTTAGCACATGTCATGCCTCTGTAATTCTAAATTTAAGGACAATGTAAGGGTACGAAATATATCCTATTTGTGTAGTGTTGATTGAGATTCAAGATTCAAGATTCAAGAGGTTTATTATCATATGTACAGTAAGAAACACAAGGTTTGTACGTACAATGAAAATCTTACTTTGCCCGACTCCCTGAGGCAACACACAAGTAGAAGAGAACATTAAAATTAAAAATATAAATTTTCTTAATATAAAATATATCTAAAATATAACATATAACTTACAACTTAAAGTGCAGAACATTGTACAGTAAACAAAGAAAGATAGAGTTGAATACTCACAGCTACATTTCAGGTGCTGAGTGACATTACATCACAGTGGGGTGAGATCAGCTACTTCATGTAATAGTTATACCTTGTACCCCATGCTGCCATTTGTGCGACAAATAAAATCCATACAGATAAGTTTCTTTTTTTTCCTCAGGTGAGCAGAGAAAGGAACCGCTTTGAGAAGTTGATGGAGTACTTCATCAATGATGACAGCAACATTGACTTCATGGTAGGTCCACAAATGTATTACCTACACAGTGGCTGACTGTTTAAGAAATAAAGGGACTTTTAAGTTGTGGATGTCCTTCAGATTTAATTGTCATTATGTCTGTCTCCAGGTGGCTTGCATGCAGTTCATAAACATTGTGGTCCATTCAGTGGAGAACATGAACTTCCGTGTTCATCTACAGTACGAGTTCACTCACCTTGGATTAGACAAGTATCTGGAGGTGAGTGTGCATAAAAACCTTTCCCTCAGACCATTGACAGTATATATATGGTAGAGACCAAAAACAGAGCTAAAAGAGAGTGAATATTGAACTTACATTTGCCAGGTGGCCACAAATGCAAATGCAAATTAATAATAATGTTGCGCAGTAATTGCTGGATGTAAATAAGCAATTGTTTGCAAACTAAACTAGTTTGCCATTACAACTTAAAAGGTGATGAGGCGCACAGAAGCTCCCCTGGTAGAGTGTGTGCCCCACGCAGCCTGAGACCTTACCGCAGCTGCCTAGGTTTGATTGTGACCTGCAGCCCTTTGCTGCATGTCGTCCCCCCTTTCTCTCCCCATTCCTATCTATCGTCACCTGTTCTATCAAATAAAGGTATAAAAAGCACAATAAATACCAACTTAAAAGGTGGTAATATGTCAGTGTTGTGCATACAACGTCCTTCCTCTGCCCCGCAAGTGGACAAAAAAAGGTATTTCAGGTTTAAATATATAGAGAATTAAAGAAACAAATTCAGCCCCATAATACTGATTGAAGACTAATTGTAATTCTCATAAAATTCATAAATGTACTTAATGCCCAAGATATTTGAATTTGTGACCTTGAGCACTGGCTCAACTTATTATTTAAATTTTAAATATTAAATTATTCTATATAATACACATTATAAGATATGATTTGTTCCTATAATATGTAATTGTTGTATTGTGCTTGTGTGTTAGCGTCTGAAGCAAACAGAGAGTGAGAAGCTACAGGTACAGATCCAAGCCTACCTGGACAATGTGTTAGATGTAGGAGCCCTGCTGGAGGATGCTGAGAACAGAGGAGGGGTGCTGGAGCATGTGGACGAACTGCAGGAACACAACATACAGGTCAGCCACATAATAAAGAAAAAAAGGAGTCTTGGTGAACAAAAAGAGGCTTTGATGTTGTTGAAGAAAAATCATTCAAGTCCAGTTCAGGTTTGCTGTGGTGGTGTCAGTTTAATAAAGCATGCCGGCATCCTGGTGAACTTATATACACAGAGCAGGTCTGAGTCAGTAAGCGGACCCAGAGCAAATGAAACAAGGTACTTTTATACATGGACCAATACAATAGACAGTATGTAAATGGTAGCCATTGATCAGGCAGTCACAAGACGTTACATGATTAACATCGGAGTTAGAAGGAAGTAACACAAATGGTAGTGATCAGACCAAATGTGATGGAGACAAAGGGCAGGAAAGGTAGGTGTGGGGGTTTGGTCAAGGGGAAAGGAGACAGTAGAAATACCAATGGAGACAAAGGGAAGAAGGGGTGGGTGTGGGGTTTGGTCAAGGGGACAGGAGACAATATGAATATACATTTGAGTATGAAAGGGACACAACCAATAGGGGGGAAAGCCGAGTTGGCTGCCACCTCTCATTTGGTTAGCAAGTATCTATAGAATTTTCTTCCTCAATGTTAAATCAATGTTGTCTGTTTTGCAGCTGGGTGCCCGGCTTGAGGAGATTGAGAATCAAACTACAGAAAGAATATCTGAACTTGAAACTCAACTCATGCAGGCTACCAAGGAGACTGAGCTGCTCAAAGTAAGTGCTGCTCCGTGTCATGTACAATGCTTAATAAGATTAATTATCCAAGCAAGGTGTGACATTATCACAGCGATTATGTTATAATGAGGTCAAAAGAGTGACAGTTCGCTTTATTTTAATAATCTTAATATCAAAAGTAAAATCTAATCACCTTCAATATAAAAGAAAAAGAAAAAGAGAGAATTTTCACTCATCAAATAAATCTTTAAATGACCTTGCATTTTAGCTACATCAGCGGCATGGCAGTGTCTCTTGGTCCACCCCTTTGGTCCAGACTGAAATATCTCGACAACTGTTTGATAGATTGCCATGACATTTTTCTACAGACATTCATGGTTCCAAAAGGATAAATCCTAATGACTTTGGTGATCCCATGACTTTTCCACTTACACCTCAATCAGGTTGCCATTTTTGGTTAAGAGTTGAATATCATTAACATTAATGTTGCCTTGAGCATGAATTGTAACAATGAATTGTAATTATAATGGTGAATTAGCTAATGTTAGCATGCTATCATGCTAAACATTAGTATGTTAGCACTGAGCAAACTGAGAATAACATTTAGCTCAAAGCACCACCAAGTACAGCCTCACAGAGCCTCTTGTGAGGCTCTTAGTCTTGTTTAATATATTATACAGCTGGGTGACAATTTAGGAACTTAGGAAAAAACCAACACAAACCTCCTAGTTTCCAGAACCCTCTCCATACTCCCATAGGTGTTGATTGATTCATTTCATTTTAAATCTCATCAAACCATTCAATGTTAATTCAACCACGTGTTCTGTATGAAAGCATCTGCATTTGTCACATTTCTCCACTCAGTCATTGAGGTTTTTTCTTTGAATTTGTCTGTCTGAATCTCATTTAAAGATAGACTCTGCGTTATTTTTCTTTGTGGCTGCGTTTCTACATTTGTGTTTGTGTCCAACAGGAAAGCCTGCGAGAGTCCTGTTCCCAGGTTAGTGGTTTGCAGCAGAGAGAACGGGAGCGAGAGCTAGATAGGGAGAGGGAGAAGGACAGGGAGCGTCTGAGCACCTCCACTCCTCAGACGTCTTCAGAGCTTGAGCAGAAGATCCAGGAGCTGCAGGACAAGGGGCTGATCCGACTGGGACGCAGTGCCTCTGGAGGTCTGGACATCCAGGTTGTGCCTGTCACAGTGGTTGAATATGTCCAAGCCCCAGCCTCATCCGCCCAGCCCAGTGCTACCGCCGCAGTCGCTGAATCCTCACCATCCAGTGTACCTGCCTCTGGCCCTCCGCCACCTCCTCCACCTCCCCCTCTACCTCCTGGTGTACCAGGGGGCGCGGCCGCTCCTCCTCCACCGCCTCCACCTCCTCCTCCCCCAGGAGGTTGTGGTGCTGTGCCTCCACCTCCTCCTCCTCCTCCACCTCCCCCTGGTCTTGGAGGAGGTCCACCACCTCCTCCTCCCCCACCTGGTGCTGGACCCCCACCTCCTCCTCCCCCACCTGGTGTTGGACCCCCACCCCCTCCTGGAGCACCAAACACTCAACCTGGTAAGGAGGTTGACAGAAGAATCTTAAAAGTACTGAAAGCTGTCGTGAGTTGGTAGCAACAGTAAATATCCTCTTCTTTTCTGTTTCCTTAGGGTTTAAGGGCAAGAAGACCATTCAGACCAAGTATAGGATGCCGTTGTTAAACTGGCAGCCCTTAAAACCAAACCAGGTGTCAGGTACCGTCTTCAACGAGCTGGATGACGAGCAGATCTTAGTGGTAAGAAGATGCATCCTCAATATTTTTCACTTGGACTGTATTGTTTATACTGTAAGAAAATTGCAATTTTAAAATACTTTTCTCAGCTGCCTCTTTCTGCCTCTCATTCCGTCTTCATCAGGAGCTGAACATGGATATGTTTGAGGAACAGTTCAAGACGAGGGCCCAGGGTCCTGCAGCAGACCTCTCCACTATAAAGAAGAAGGTGGTTCAGAAGGCCCCCAGCAAGATTTCTTTGATTGATGGCAACAAGGCCAAGAATCTGGCGATCACTTTGCGCAAGGGGGGAATGGACCCATCTCGTATCTGCACCGCCATAGAGACGTACGTGCTTCATGGAAAATCTGTTGCATTTTTGACATTTCTGATTCCTCTTTCTCATACACTAACACTGGTGTGACTTTCACTACTCTTTTGTACAGGTATGACCAGCAGTCTTTGTCCGTAGACTTCCTGGAATTACTTGAGCCCTTCATACCATCAGATTATGAGATGAAGCTGCTGGTTAACTATGAGAAGGATGGCCGCCCTCTGGAGGAGCTGACTAATGAGGATCAATTTGTATTATGCTTTGGGAAGATTCCTCGTCTGACACAGCGAATAAACACTCTCACTTTCATGGGAAACTTCCCAGACTCTGTCAAACGCCTGCAGCCGGTCAGTTTGTAAAAAGCATTGTATATTGGACTGAAAGACAGTTTTATGTGTACTAATTTTTACTTTTACGTCATCCAGCAACTGAACTCCATCATTGCTGCATCCATGTCCATCAAGTCTTCAGCCAAACTGAAAAAGATCTTAGAAGTAAGTAAAAGAGAATACAGCATGCTGGTGTAGCTTCCAATTGTGTGATTTTGCATCTCGTCATATCATGTGTTCCCTTTCAGATTGTTCTCGCTTTTGGCAACTATATGAACAGCAGTAAGAAGGGTGCTGCGTACGGTTTTCGGCTGCAGAGTCTAGACCTTGTAAGTACCCCTTATTTGTAAATTTACTCTTTCACTTTTTAAAGCAAGACTATATAACTTCTTAAAGAAGAAAATAACTAATTAATTTTCCTTTGAAGTTGAATCTATTAGCAATAAAATGAACCTTTGCTCAATTCAATGCAGTCATGCTTTTAAATGTTACTTGGTATGACCCACAGAATGGTAGCTAGATGGATATTACTTGTTCGTTAGGTTTTACCATTTAGCATTATACCAAAAAGGACTAGTCACCAGTCTTGATTCAAGAAAACTTTAAAAACCAAATAAACAATAACAAAACATGTTTACTTTTCAGCTGTTGGAGACCAAGTCAACTGACCGCTCGCAGACCCTACTTCACTTCATCACCAATATCATCCTGGATAAATACCCTGACTTGGTCAACTTCCACACAGATCTACACTTTGTAGACAAGGCAGCCCTTGGTACATTCACACAAACAGTCACACTGTCCAGTTATGTCAATTGTGATTTAAATCTGGAGCGGTGCTAAAGTAATTCCTTTTTGTTTGCCAGTATCACTGGACGGCATTCTTCAGAATATCCGCTCATTAGAACGGGGAATGGAAATGGCCAAAAAAGAATTCCTGGTGCAGGATGACAGCCTGGTGTTGAAGGAGTTCATCAAAACCAACAGTGAGCAGCTGGAATCTTTGGTCAAAGACAGCAAGACAGCACAGGTTAGCTGGCAACCCATATCAAACTTACACAAATTCCATTCTTTAAGACATACCGTAGATTTTATGTATGTCTGACTCTGCTTGTCTCCTTCCAGGAGGCATACGGCTCTGTGGTGGAGTATTTTGGAGAAAACCCCAAAACCACACAGCCTTCCATGTTTTTCCCGATGTTTGGACGTTTCATAAAGGCCTACAAGGTGATGATGTGTGGTAGGTTTCTGATAGTTACACATTACAGTTGTTGCACTGCATGTTAATCCTTTTGCCCTTGATTGGACACAGATGGCACAGCAAGAGATTGAGAGGAAAAGGAAAATGGAGAAGGAGAAGGAGAGTCATGAGGAAAAAGAGCCATCATCTCCGAACAAGGCTGGGGCACAAAAAGTAAGATATTACACGTCCAATCTTCAAAAATTATATATGAAAGATTTGTATTAACTGGTATAGTTTTTTTTTAGGCTTATGAGTTATTTGAAAGTTAGTCTCTCTGAAGTACTTAATGCAGCAAAACCAATCATCTAAAACAATTTTCTGACTAAAGACCCAGGACACTTAAACCTTTAGGGGGTAGGAAATTCTAAATAACTTTGATTTCAAATGATTTTATTCTTCGACTAGGGTCCCATGATGCCTAAGATGCCCCAGATGGACCTGATAGCTGAGCTAAAGAAGAGGCAGGTGAAACCGCAGGTACGCGAGGGGAAGGACGGCGCCCTGGAGGACATCATCACAGGTACAGTAACGTCATGCTTCCTGAAGGAGTCACATTGTGATGTTTTAAGCGTGTTTTATGTGTACAAGCTGTTGAAATTCGCTTCTTCACTCTGCTTCAGATTTAAGGAACACACCATTCAGACGGACAGATGGTCGGCGGCCAGCACAGCGCCAGGACACATGAGTCACTTCTGGTTGAAGACTTTTTGCCAGTATAGCTGGAATCACCCTCAAGCAAACATTTAAAAAACAAGCTTAAAACAGTTTTGTATATAGAATATATACCAAATGGCAGTGTGTATTTTTGTCAACATTTAAGTGCGAATTTGCTGTAAATAGAATTGAAGTAAAATATTTTCCATGAATTTGATTCCAAAACCAGCTAAAAAAAATCATTATTTTTATAATTATTTCTGCTGTGCCTCACAGTATAGATACACAGTTTTGTGTACTCTAAATTTGTAGTGTTGTTGCCTATTAAGTAATGAATTAAAACCATGACTTTATTTTAAAATAAACCTATTTTTTAACCAATTTCTCTGTATTTGTATTTTCTGGACAAAAGGAGAGCTTTGAACTAACACGTGATGCAATCCAGTTTGTACCCACATTTTCTGTTGCTGAAGACAACAAGTCATTATAAAACAAGATCAGACACCGCCACTGTACAAGAGAGCTGCACTTTATTGGACACACAATCACAGCAAATTATGTACAAAAGAAGGCAGGTTCAACTGCCTTCTGTCTTCTCACAGGAAAAACACACACATTTCTCACAGAATATCATGGCATCCACACTGATAAATTAGTATCTCCAGTATCAGTAGGCTTTTAAATTTATATATTATTATATTATAGATCTATTTTCAGTATTATTTTTGTTCTTATATCACACTACTCTACAAATGGGAGAATCACTCCGTGGAAAGAGTACACCATCACTGGTGACTTCTCTGGTTGGGGTGCGTTCAAGCATTCTGAATCCTTCTAGACATTCAACACTCTCGGCCACTATCGTTATCTTCATCGTCACATAACATCACAGTAAGACTGAACATGCCTGTGTCACAGATACCAAAGTAATGTCTCATTCTTCATGTTTGTTAACCTGCAACATACTGTAGAACAACTTTTCTTTCTCTCTTTCTCATTTTTTTGAGAAAACATGTAGACAACATTTTTTTCAACTGCACCGTGCGATTGCTTGAGACTATACATGCATTGTTTTGTATATACCTTTGTACCCATCGTCATAGTTTATTAATAAAACATCTTCTTTTGGACATAACAATTTGTTGAACTCGCTAGGAATGACTCGGCCTATTTACAAGTCAATTTTGTTTTTCTACTTTTGATGCCAAGATTTTTGAACATCCACACATTCATGTAAAAATCTCATATACATACTATAGAATGTTCATTATAAAAAAAAGATAAAATGGCAAAGGAAGAGATAAAACTTTGAAATCACACAACTCCACATAATTCCCTTACTGCTCCATCTTGGTGGTTTTAACAACTTCTGTGGTTTAGCTTAACTGCTACTTAAAGCCACTCGGTGCAACAACTGGAACGGAATAAGCAACAAAATGTACTTTCACCAGTTATAATGATTAAGAACTTTTTGTCTCTGAATGCTTTTGCACTGAGCATCCATATTCTCATTTCTACCACTCTTGTTCACATGCAAACATGACACAGAAAAATTAAAGCCATTTAACTTACTTTTCTCAAAGCAGCAAGGCTCTCTATGAAGCCTTTGGGCCCATAAACTGACCTTTCACAGTAGTTACCACAATATCAGTGTTTCTGACCATCTCCAACTCATTAATACCAGTTGAATCACAAATACAGGATGGGGTGAAATCAAAAAACAGACCACAGGTACAGAAAACAACCCCCTAAAACAAAAAGATAGTAGCAAAATAAGCCCCTAAGCACAGGCACTGGTCCAGCCTCTTGCACCTCGATAGTGGCCCTTCACATGAGGAGGCAAAGGTGCAGACGAGCTGGACAAGCGTTTTCAGGGACAAGCTTTTTATAAATCAAACTTACATAAAATCTAACTCAGTGTTCGTAAAGAAAATCCTAGAATTTAAAAATGAACTTCAGTGTATATTACAGAGGCTAACTGTTATCTATACAGATATTTTTAAACAAATATAAAAATGTTCTGCGTATGAATAAATAATCTCAGTGTGAAATGTAATATCTCTGTCAATGAATTAAAAAAGAAAAATCTGTACAAAATGGTCACTAATATATAAAACTGAAGAGATGATGACATTTTACAGTATATAATTTAACCTAGGCCTATATATATCACACTTTTCTTCACAATTATAATATCATACACAAACATCTCACTTAGATATATTTATATATGTATATTTCTTCTATGTTTGATTTCAAGTTTGCATGAGTTTTTCTGATTGCCAGGGGCATCCTCTGTGAGTGTCTTCGACATGCCCTCTAAACCTCCAGCCATGTTGAAATCACATCCCACTAACACTTGTCTTGAAAAAATCATTGCAGAGAGCACTGTCACGCAATTCTGGGAGGTTTCATCTCAGACTTTACTTGGGGAAGGCAGCCAAGCGTGAATACTTCCTCCCCAACGCTCACCAGACGCAAATGCAGCAAATTTAACTCGGAGAGTTGTGGATTTGAGTGTGGAACAGCATGAGTAAGTGAATTTCTTTCATTTGACTTCACTCAATATGAAACCCAGGGCTTGAACCTGCCTGGCAGAGCTACAGAGCACCCAGGGTGAGGCTTAATTCGCTGTGCTGTGAGCTTGCAGTTTTGCACATTGTTAGAGCTCGGGGAGTGTTTAGTCAAATGCCACCGCTGCAACTCGACACACACTGCATTTCAAGCGCTGTTTTCTTTTTTCCGCGAAAAATGGGATCAAGCCAATTCTCGCATCCTCTTCTTTGGGTAAAAGTGTTATTCTGTCATTGCTGCTGATCTAATACTGTAATACAAGATCAACTGGGGATTTCTGGCAAGAACAAAGTCTTAGAGGCACTGGGAAAGACATGCTAACAGGTCCTTGCAGACAAAGAGGCCTTTCTCAAAGGCAAAGAGCACTGCCTTGGTAAAACTGCTAGTGCTAGTGTAGAGTGCTAATTACATATTGCACACACAGTTACTGTTCATGAATTGAGGCCCATCAAACTTTATCCTAAGATAACCTCAACTGAGTGGTATTTATTTCACACCAAAGACAAAGCAAAGTGAAAGGGGCAGGGGAAAGAACAGCCGCTTAATGGCTCTCTGACTGTCAAACCCTTCCTCTCATCTCTTTGGGTCCTTTATATCACAAGCACTCTCAATGGAGACAAGGCAAGTCAAAGCCATTCTCATTAAAGTAGCCTTCAAACACATGTCCCCAAACTAATCCCCTCTCCTCAAGCTGCCTACTCTTTGACACAAGCCCCTTTGCACATGTTTTAATCTCAATGCCACAAAAAAAATCTATTTCACACAGACATTGTAGTGAACTGGAAAAGAAAAATCACTTTGTCTTTGACTGTCCGTTGAACGTCATCACCTCCCCAGTGGGCAGCCTTAAGGCAATAACACGGGACAGAGAGCTTCAAAATGGTTCCTTGTGCAGGGCTTACACTGACAGGCCTTTGATGTGCTTTAAATAATAACTTCAACTACCGTCATTAAGACACACCAAAGGCCTAACATACATAGATGTTTCATGTTTTAACGTGCAGGTAATCAAACCAAATGAGGCAACAGCAATATTTATCAGTATTTTAAATATACAGGGATGTTTTTTTTCCTTCGAGAAACACTTGCTTTGTGCTTGTCATGGTTAACTTACTTCACACAGTCAAAATTAGAGGAAAGGGTCACGTGTTTGAGAGGAAACTGCTTTTTATTTCTATATTCTCCTCTCAGACCCTTCAGGGTCAAGCTATATCTGAAGTCTCTAAATACGTGCTGGTTAACATTCTTATATCATTAAAACACTACTCAAGAGTTTAAAGCGGGTCATAGATGTTGTGCGATCAATTTACTGCAGTGAAAGATATATTTTGTTCTTGTTCAAAGAAGTTTTTATGTTTTACAATAAGACCTGCAAATTGCTGAGAACTTTGAAAGCTACTTCACAGCAGATTATCTTTGAAGTTTCAAAAGAAACAAGCGTCCCAAAAGAAACTACTTGGATCTGTCACTCTGTAGATCAGATTCCTTAAAGGGTGAAGTCATTCTGGTCGATGTGGCATATTTAACCAGACTGCTCTTTATCAGTGGTGCGACAGATGTGCCTTAAAGATGAATCATCATACAAGATTTGCTGAAAACAAAAAAGGAGTAGAGTCTGTGCTTCTACAAACAGCTTGGCTTTACAAGTGCATGTGTAACAGAATGTGTGTATTATTAATCACTGTGTGTGCTTGAGTCTTTGGGAAGGTTTTAATGTCAGGTGCTAAGATGCCAGAAAGATGCTACTGCGGAAACATCCTGATTGTCATAATTAACTAGTTAATACACATATACAGAAATTCACCATTTGTATACAATTCCCCCTTAACATTTTTCCCTTCTGTTTGTGTAACTGTACCTCCTGGTTCTATTTTAAATAGAAATGTGCTGTCATAAGACTGCTCCCTACAATGTGCTTTTGTAAATACATAATAATTTGAAAATTACATTTTAAATTGAAAAAATTCTATAATTGTTCTTAATATTTGATGCAAGGATTTAATTTTGTAGGGATGCTTATAAATATTCAAACCGTGTGACATCTCAGACGGTGGAATGTACACTTGAAACAAAGCGCAGGTGAAAGATTGGGGAGTGAGACCGATCATGTAAACTCTTTACACAGTGTGTACAAACGGAGGGGAAAATATAGCACCAGTTCAGAGTTTAAAACACAGGTGATGCAAGAAAATCTACAAATGGCCTTTTAACACAAAACAGCTTGAAACCACATCATCACCTTGATCTACTTTTTTTTTTTTAGTACGTTCTCACATTCTGCCAGGTGATGCAGGTAAGTGAGAGCAATATAATCCTGAACACACACAATTACTGGACTCGCTTGGTGATTATTGCAGTTCTATTTTCTATGATAAAAGTCACAGTCTAGAAATTATGTCTACTCCACTAACAACCCACTGAGTGAGGGTATATATAAGACTGCTACTGTCAGTGAATCCGTCCAGACACATCAGCTTATAGCAGGCAGCTGGTAGGAGGGGAGGCCCATTTGTGCGCTCTCTATCTGGCAAACTGGCAGTATGACTGCATGGGAGGACTGCAGAGAAACTACCGAACCAGATGAAAGTGGAAACTTGTCCCAAGAAGAAGATTGGAACTCCATTTACAGTACGGTAGTTCTTGCCATGGAATATGAAGACTCTGCAAATTGGAGTGAGGCCAAAAGTAGAGAGGAAAAAAAGAAGAGGAAAAAGCCAAAAATTCTTGAAGAAAATACAACTCTAAAAAAATGCTGGAATTTTCCATAATGTAGTCATTTTCTCTTTATGGTTCATGATGTGATGGTGCTTGAATTGTCCCATGTCCTCATCCTCCTCCTCTTCATCACCGAGAGTTGCCAGGGGTGATGTCCTTCTTCACAGGCTCACTGCCACCCTCCTTGCAGCTGTTGAGGCTGGAGCGGTCAAGGCTACAAGCACTGCGCTTGAGAGCCGCAGAAGAGAGGGTAAGGGAACTCGAAAGGGTGGGAGAGGAGGGAGACAGAGAAGGAGTTGGGGTGGTGGGTGAAGAGGAGGAGGAGGAGGAGGTAGCAGGGGGAGTCGGGGAGGAGGACTGGCTGCTGGGCAGGGGCAAGGAGGAGGCTCGCTGCTCACGTAGAAGGCGGTGATGACGTAGAGTGGAAGAGAGGAGCAGGGCCTCAGTGCTCAGGCCGGAGGCAGAAAGGCTTGCCAGCAGGGCCCTCGCTTGGCTGGAGGAGGCTGTCAGGGAGGGCATTGCTCCTTCCTGGGGGTACTTCCTCAGGCCAGGGGCAAACGCTGCTGCAGGAGAGGGCACTCGGCCTGAGAAAATGCCCGTTTGGATACCAGAGAGGTATGGCTCAATACTGCCACTGGTGCTGTTGGTCCCCAAGGCCTTCAGGTAGAGCAGGGACACAGAAGACAGGAAGCGGGAGGGGAAGTTTTCAGGAATCAAAGGGGAAATCATGAAAAATTATAGTCTTAAAATTGGCTGGGCACTGTCCCCCGCAGCGCCCTCCCTTACCATTACAGTCAAACATGCCCGTGCATGCATGCTTGCACACGCAGACGTACTCACTCACACGCATCCACAAATGCACACAGATTGGGGTACAGTGTAGATTTTGAAGTGAACACTGGAGATGTATAAGACGCTGATAAAGTAAAAGGGGCAGACGGATGTGTGTAGGTCTCTAGTCAGGTGAACAGGAGGAGGAGGAAGCTGAAGAGGCTGGACACGGACAGGTCGCTCACTGCTGCAGGGTCACAGGTACGGTAGGTGGGCAGGCCGGGGAGGTGCAGGGCGGCATGGGTTCACACAGGGTGACGGGGTGGGTGAGGTTGGCCGCAGGAACAAGTGTTAGAAGAAACGTGTAGTGGAGGGGTAAAGGGTGGGGGAGTGAGGGAAAGGAAACAGAACAAGAGACAAACACAGATCATTATTCAGGTTGACAACATGTGTGATGCAGACCATGAGAAAGCCATCTACACATGGTGACCAAACCATTGATAAACACACCTTCTGTCGTAGGGTGCAACACTAAGTGACAATGCAAGTTACACTGGGGTTGGCCACCTTTATTTTGACACTTGTTTTAATGATGTTTACTCATTAAAAAATGCAAAATATTATGATGGACAGACAGCATCACATGAGCCGTCCTCTCAGGTAATGCTGGAATGAGTCAGTAGATGGCACTGTTCCAACAGTATGAGACTTGTGGGTAACACATTCACATGTATTCGTCTCTCTTGCAGTTGCAGCTAAGCTGTATGTATCTGACAGAAACATTTATTCAGTTTTATGTGCGGGGCACTAACCAAATAAAATACACCAGAGTGGTGTGAGGACGAGATTAGAGTAAGAATCTGTTTTAAAGAGCCAAACCTAGCTTTTTATTGTAAACCATTCTACTCTACTTTTTTTTAAGTTTTATTTACATTTTTCATAGGAAGCAACAGGAGTAAAGTTTGTGGTGTGGCAATAAAAGTTCTAAAATGTGTTTGTTTAGGGATTATGGGGATTAGTTCTGTATGAAAGGAGAGCAGGTGTGCTAGTCTAGACTGCGCTGCTGGGGGGCTTTCACCTGCTCTGTTGCAGTTCCAGAGCCTGTGCTGCCAACCGTCCCCAGAGAGTGGGGCTGTTCCTTCTGCTTGAGGAACTTCTCTCAAGCCTGGCCGACACATTTATTCTGGTCTGTGAGTGCGGCAGAGCAGCCGCCCTTCATCTCATATACTCAGAGCTGCCTGCCAAACGACAGCCTCCCAAGATAGGACTTCACAACCCCCACCTCATGCCCAGCACCTTTAACTAGCCTGTTTTACCGCCAGAAGTAATAAGAGGCCAAATGGGAAATGGAAGTAGTTTTGCGGCGTGAAAGTGATTCACATTGTCATGCCCTCCTTGATCTGTGCCAAAGCAAACGGGGAGAAATTGTGTCTTTGAACTGTCTGTTCTTATCCAGCACATTGATTTGAAGGATCCTCATGCCTGGAATGCTCTAATACCACTGAGTAAAGCTTTAGTGAGCAGACGGCCCGAGCACAGCGACACAGTGCACCATCAAAAAGGCTCTGTTCATTTTAACACCTGCAATTAACATACACAGATACCATCAGAGCCAAAACTGACATAATAATCTGATGTAGTGCACAAAACTTAAACATTAATGCTACTTTTTTAAGTCTATTTGGGCTAACTTATTTGCAGGAGCATGTCCCAGAGGGCCTGGAAATCTGCCCTTTTGAACTTTAAAAAACCTCTGAAATCTGATTAGACACCCCAATCAGGAAAATGTATTTTTCAACTCCAAAATCCAATATTCTGATTAGCTGGATGGCACAACGTTCTTTCAGCCAGCATATTTTATCTTAATGTAAATTAAAAAAACTTGAAATTGGCAATGTGAAATGCAGGACCCACATGAAACCAAATAGTGGTGCCAATGCATCTTGTTGTAGCTGATTGCAGATGGTACACAGTGATGTCTTAAAATGTTTAACTGTCCCTCCAACTGGCTTTCATAACATGTTAATATGCATCAGCTGGCTTTCATCTGAATTGGTGGGAAATGTCATTGTCACTGTGCAGATAATGCCAATGATGCTAAAGGCATTTATATATTTAGATCTATTCACATATTTGCTGGGGGTGGGAGGTAGTAGATCACTGAGAGGTAAGCTCATTTCTTAGGTTTGTGCGCTGTTTGAAATGCCGTAGAAATGTCAATTATCATTTGGCCAGAGGAAACAAAAGAGAAAACACCAATGGAAACCGGAAAGAGGGTAAATGTTAAGGGGTCACATTAAGGGAATTATATCCAGGAAAGGTTGAAGAGAAGAGAAACCTTTACCTTAATCTGTGGGCCGAGCAGAGAGGTCACCCAAGGTGGGCATGTCTGATAGTCATAACAACAATATCAGTCAGAAATGTAGCAGGTGTATATCTCAGTGTGAACTGTGCACTGTGGGGGCTAAAATAGGGATAGTTCTTAGGTTACACCTCCATAGTAAGCATAATATGTGGCGTGTGAGTTGGATGACTTTTTTGACACATTCTGCACAAACTCATTCTTCAAAAATAGCCTACTTTCTTTTTAGTTTCCAAAAAGTAGCAGCTCATATTTTATTTTTTAGTGGCTATAATAAGGCTTTCACTTCAGTCAGATCACAAGCGCAATGTCAGTAACAGGTTAAAAAAACACTGAGTGGAGGGAACATAGAGTCAGCAAAAGTTCCTAATCAGCTCTTAAAGGCTATATGCAAGTAAGCCAGTCGCCTTGATAATTTGATGAGATGAGCTGCAGATAATCACTGTGTTTTTCCAGCATAGTTCATGCTCAGGTGTTTCATTATACTGAATTTAAAATGATTTAGTTGACAGATTTTGCTCCATCCATCTGTAAGCTTAATTGTAAGGATCTGTGCTGTTTTTTTGGTTTGACATTAAAGACATCAGGAATCTGACCAAGAAGGAGCGATTTCAAATATAACAGCTTGCGGAAACCAATAACAGAGCACTAGATTCTCAGCATCTTGCTTCATTAAAATTTTAACAGGGTGCTGAAATATTCGTGTTGGTATTTTCCAATCTCATGCTATACATGGCACTGCTTGTTTTATGAAATCCCAGTGTTTAATATTAAATACATTAAAAAAACATAAATAATCAAATGAATAAATTGTATCAAACATATAAATGAACCAACAAATTGGTAAATATTTGATGAAATTACCAAAACTCAACTCATTATCATGTAAGGTTATTTGATTATTCATTTTCATAATATCAGAATTTTATTGTATATCTTTTTTATTTCATTATAGACATTTTCATTTCAACATGCCTGTGTTATCACCACCCTCGCACCTTTCAGCCAATCACATGTCCCCTGCCTCTTAAACAAGCAAGCTCAACAACTGCTACCAGATTTAGCCAGTTAGCTCCTGTTAGCTTGAGCAACAACAGAAAGTTATGCAACTAGAGGCTGCAACTGTAAATAAACACAAGACACAGACACAGTAAGTAAACCTCTTAAGCTTGGTAGCTAGCTCCAGAAAAAAAAAAAAAAAGAATCTCAGTCTTTTTGATCTTCACATAATTGTGTGTCTTTCACTGAGGAACACCACTGGGTTCAAAATGTAACTCTGAATTAATCAGCTAATGTTAGCTGCTGCTGACACACCGTCTCTTCACTTTGACACTTTGAGTAATAATAAAGGCTCACAACCCTGTCTGGTAAGTAAGCAAGGTAAGTAGGTTCATAAATAAGGAGATGTGTCTCTGTGTCTTTGTACTGTTTAATTTACAGCAGTAGCAAAATAGTTGAATCAGAATTACAAGAGCTGACTGATATACTTCACAATAATGAGTTCAGTCTTAATAATTGCATAAATTATTTCACAGCATGTATTTTAATTTTTGTGTTTTACACAATTTATTCATGTGATTATAGATTTCATAATTATTCATTTATTTAATATTAACTCTGTACAAGTTTGGATTGTGTAGATGCTTGAGTTGTAATTATGAAACTAATAGGACCACATTGGTTGGCATTTGTATTTTTAGAGTGCTCCCCTTTATTCAAAGATTTCCTTGTACTTGTTTTTGTATAACAAAACCTCTCCAAACCTCTACCTACTAGTATACTAATGGACTAGTTGACCACTCTCTCTTGTTGTACCTCATACATCAAAATGCCACAAAATGCAGTTTTTGGCAATTGTGAAGTGTGGCACAGCTGACAGTTTATTCTATTGGTTCAAGTCAGCTGGTTCTTTGTTTCTTTTTGTTATTAGTCATGCAGTTGTGGTATGTTGCCACCCTAAACAGCTTGGCACCAACTTCCCACACTGACAATTAGCTTTGACTGTCCACTGGCCCTCTGAGGATAGCGCTTTCACACATACAGCTTCTTTTCACAATGACTGTTTCGAGCAGTTTGTGGACAAAGGGAGCGTGCCATCTGAGATAAAGGGTTTAATTTTGCTTTCATTACACAAGTGTTGGAATCCACTCCGCTTCCAAATCACAGGGAATGAGGGAGACTGACAGGGGAAGAGTAAAAAGGAAAAAGGGGCAGCATGTGTAAATTGCAGAGTACAGAAAGCGGAAGAAGGAAAGAGACATAAAGAAGAGGAAACGTGAAAGACTTAATGGTGGGGAAAAGAAAACTGTCCCCTTCATATTGAATAATCAGTGATTGCCAGTGACTCAAGAGGTGATTATTACTGGTGCTGTAAAGATTCCTCCCAATCTTCTCCCAGTCTAAGGCGACCAAAGCTTTATTACTCTCCCCGTCTCTTCAATCTCTCTCTCTCTCTCTCTCTCTCTCTCTCTCTCTCTGCCTAACACATTAATTTGTCTACAATCTTTCAAGACTGAATTTGTGTCTGAGTGCACTGTCAAATTCTGTGGGGAATGGAGGTTTACATTCACTTCACTGCTCCTGATAGTTTTTTGAAATTACATTCACATTAAGCTTTTTCCCCCCTGTGCACTAGCATTGGCTTTACTGGACTGACATGCTTCAACAGTTCAATTTCCTCGTCTCCCCGGAGGCCATCTAGCATCCATATGTCCAGTCCTTTACCTTACTTTATAACACCAAAATGGTTGCAAATGAAAACTGAAAAAAAAAGATGTTGAGCCAGCTATCAGGAAAACATATAACAACAAATGTATATAAGAGGCTTCAGCAGAGAGTTTTCAAGTTTTAGGCAATTAAACTTTAGTCATTTTTTAACGCCTGTTAGACTTAAATATAATAGGCTCCAGACTTCAACTATATATTTTTGTAGGTCTGTGTGCTGATTTCTCATCTAATCTGCCTATTATGCTAATATATATTGCTTAGTAAAGTTTTTTTTTAAGTTTTAATGGGTTTAGAGACTGTAATTAGGGATAGCTTAAGACGTTCAGACATAAAAACACATTTTAGGTAATTGAAGCGCTAATCCTCCACTACTGTAACCTGTTTGACACACGTCTCTCTGTGGGACAAAAAGCCTGCAGAGGATCCTTTGATCTATTTGAACAAACTCATGATAATGAGACTGTCACGATAATGTGACTTTGCCATCAAAGAATGTATGATCATTAGCTAAACTGGTTTTAAATTCAGTTAAATCGTGGCCACAGTCTTTCAAAAACAAAACATTTTGGACGATATATTTTAAAATTACACCTTGTGGGAAATGTGGGCTAAAGAGTGAAACATGAAGGGGATGTGCACTGGTTCTGTGGGGCAAGGAGAGGACTGACTGGAGGTGAAGAGTGATGGTAAAGGCCCATTTATGCTTGATCTGGTGTGATACAGAGAGGCTGCATGGCCATTCTGGAGACACCTTGCAGAGGTTAGGACATTCTTGCTGAAGGTGTGTGATGGTGCCACCACCTTTATAATAAATCATGTTTCAATATGAAGAACAAGGTCATCAAATTACCTTGTATGTGAAAGAAAAATTAAAAACTCTTCCACATCCAAAGAATTGTCTGTCTCATCTTTCTTGATATATAGCCGGCACAGATCATTGCCTCAGAGGGCATAGTAAAAAACATTTTTTTATAATGATCACCATCTTCACTTTTATGATTTTTATACCCCTATTCTGTGCAAGTCTTTTTTAAATGTCTGAAAAACGGTTATGACCTTGGCTGCCACCACCACAAAAGGCAACCAATATATATAATGTGTCTGGAAAGTACCATACAGCCCCATCTGCACACGTGGTGCACGATCAAGCGTGCAATGGCCCTGACAGTGCTAAATATAAAGACGATACCTGCTGCTGGCCCTGGGTCTTCATGAAGTCCTCTCTTTTGCCACTTTTAGTCTTGTCTGTGCTGTTCTGCTGCAGGTGCTTCAGTTTGGAGGCAGCTGATGAGTGGAGAACTTTGCCAACACTAGAAATATTCCCTCCCTGAGAGGAGAGGAGAGGAGAGGAGAGGAGAGGAGAGGAGATGAGAGGAGAGGAGAGGAAAGGAGAAGTGTGAATCAGACCTTGGACACATAGTACATGGTCGTACATTTCATTTCTCCTCTTCAGTGCTTTTAGTTTACGCCTCAGACACACATCAACTCTGTACAGAGTCTGTCTCCTGAGACCAAAGAGGTTTTTAAGATCAGAGCTTGTGGCTGATATAACTGAACAATTCACTTCACAGAGTTTCACTATCTATCAGTAGAAAATGACAAAGACGAGAACATAGAAATGCAGCATCAAAACTGACGTTGCATAGCCTAGCCTCACCGCAGGATCTACGAGACAGTGTGCTTAATGATCTTTCCCGCTGAGTTACTCTGTCGACTGTCTCTAATACGCACAAAAACAAATATATGTATTCAGTCAAATTTCCATCCAACTGTGCCTTTTGTGCACAAAGAGACATTAGCTGAAAGGAAAACTAATAGAAGATTAATTGTAGTTTTGTCAAGTACCCTCCTTTCTCTCCTACAGTAATTCAAGGCAAAGACACCTGGAAAATGCCTCTCTTTCTTCTACGCCAATGCTTGTCTTGATATGAATTTTGAAACAGACATAAAATATACAGTATATTTAATGCTTGATGGATACATTCGTTTTCTAATGTGCTGATTAAAAACTGAACTGCAATGGGGCTTGAAAGCAGATTGCTTGTCAGTGTGAATTTGGTGAGTATATTAGCAAACGTTGGACAAGAGTAGGAAGAAGGGTCATGTTGAAATGATGGTAGTTGAAGTTGGAGTGATGAAATAATGTGTGAAGACTCTGTAATCCTCAGCCATACCCACGGGATTGCTCCCTGGCTCTACATCAGAGGGCTAAAACTCACCATGACAGTGCCACTGTCAAGTATTGCAGCCCCTCCCTGAGTAAGAGGCTACATTCAGAGCAACAGGGAATACTACACAAGCTGTCAAGACACCTCACTGAAGTGGAAGCTGACACAGGAGCGCATTAAGTTTTTTGATCATCACTAATCTTTTGTTGTGTTACGGTCAGTGGGAGGTGAGTTGAAAACAGACCACTCGCTATGTCTGGTAACAGTTCAACACGTGGTCATTGGATATTAACAAGAAATGATATTTGGCTTTGGTATAAGAGACAGATTTCTGTCCTCACACAGGTCTCTGAGTAGGAAGATTGATAATGAAGTTCTTCAAAAATCATTTTTTTAAATATGTTTTTCCCTGAAAATAATGTCTTCCTGTGTTTTGAAAACACAAATTTACCATGTAGCCTTTGGCATGAGCAATTATAATGTGACACAAAGTACATAAAATATGAGCTGTTGAAGCTTGTTTAAGCAGAGCACAACGGCTGATGTACCATCATTATTTTGTTTAAAACAATTTTCTGAGGCAAAGAAAGTTGCTTTCAAGACAGAACAAACAGGACGACATTAATTTCACAGAGATGATGATGTAAAGAGGAGAAGACAGAAGAGGAATTCAGATATATTTGTATTATCTATGGATTTATTTACATTGCCATGTGTGGTGTAACAAAAGGTGAGACTGGTTAGATTTACAGACAGAAAACAAATACCGGGAGCGATAAAAAAAAACAATTGACAACTGTGGACTCAGCAGGATAGCAGCTTCGGCACTAATCACAGAAAAGACAAGTAGGGAGGAAGTCTGTTGTCTGTTCCCTATTACATATTTTTGATTTCAAATACAATTACATGCCGATTTAGTCAGGGAGCAGACATCAGAAGCTTGAAAGTGAAGTTCCAACAGTCACCCAGAGAGAAGCAGTGAAGAAAGAAAATAGAGCATGCTGCTTCAGAGCAGGAATCTGCACAGCAGGTGTAAGAAATGAACCTGGATCGATGCTGGGCTCAAAGAGCATGGCTTGGGTGGGACTGGTGGCTTCTTGGTCTCTGAGGTTGGACTGCCCGTCATCTGCACAGGAGGGCTTTTGGTGGTGGTCTCAGTGTAGAGCTGCTCTGCAGTTGGATGGCCACTGATCTCTATCAAGGTGTTCTCCAGCTCACGAATAGTCTCCTCCAAGCTGTCCAGCCTCCTGTAGGTGCTGTGTCGGATATCTTCTCTTGTTTTCTTCTGGGATAGATTCTTCTGTACCTCAGGAATCGTCTTAGTTCCAGTGTTGTGCTGAAGTGTCAGCACCTTATCCCCTGTCTCTATCCCTCTCCTCAGAGCCTCCATCAGAGAGCTCTGCGGGCCAGAGTGGGGGGAGGATTTTATCCTGGGTTTAGGCACCGGCTTGGACAACTCCAAAAGGGAATGCAGTCGCCTATAGGCCTCCCTGACAGCTTCTTCCTCCTTGAGGAGCACTAGGAGAGGCCGGACACTCAGCTGGACCTCAGAGATTTCTTTGGTCTGTGGTGAGATGGTCAGAGTATGCAGAGCTTGTCCTGTAGTCCTGCTAAACTCTTGGGCCTCAATGGGAGACACCACCATCACGTCCAAATCTGTCAACAGCAGGGAAACCTCCTGTTTTAACTCCCTATCCTCTTTAAAACAAGACTGCTCTCGCTGAGAAGGGCTTTCAAATGCACCCCTTTCTTTTGAAATTTGAGTCTGGTAGACGGTATAATGACCAGTCCAATCTCGTGATGGACTCTCTTCTACAGGGTCATCTGCTAAATCTCTGACAGGGTCCTCTGAGGCAGTGGGCGAAGCAGGCAAACACTCTGTCAACACGATGTGGGGGACAGGAGATAAGTGCCTTCCCTATAAATGAAAGCACTTTAAGTTTAATTTAGACGCAGTGAACTGGTCTTAGCTTTAGCAAATCCAACAACTTGACAACCAACCATATGGCTAAAAAAGAAAGAGCAATTTTATCAGTAATAATGTGGATGTCTAGATAACTTCCTCTTAACATAAGTATCAGTATGTAAACATGTGCAAGCTCATCAGATGTGCTGCCTGTGTGGTCTGTCCATGCAGCTCCCTCTCAAATCTAAACCAGTCCAGTAGGGCACAACTGGGCAGCTGTTTGACAGTGTTTTACTGCTGCTACTCACACATACTAATTCTAGATCTAACTAGCTCTCTCCCAAATCTGCATTAATCAATATTTCAATTCACCCATTAAATCAAATAATAATGTTTAATGTTAAAAAGATGCCAAAATCACAGAAAATTACCATTTTGCCATAACAACTTTTGAGCTTTTTAGTTACTTTTAGTTTTGGCTTTACAGCACAATTGCTTTATGGTAGCTATCCACATCAACATAAGCTTGTTTGTTGATGGGGAGATAGCATGAAGACTTAAATAGCTAATTAGCTAATGAAGAAAGTTGAGCAGATAGCACACTGAAGGCCTGGATACTTTTTCTTAAGTGTTCTTTTACTGCAAGCTGTGTGCGTACAAATAATCACACTGTCAAATAATTACATTTGGTATAAGGTGGTTGCATATGATTATTTATTCAGTCTGCAAACCAGTTTTAGCCACATAATGCAATAACAAAACTGCAAAAGCTGATAACCAACAAGCTTGTGTGAATTAAGACTTTGCTTTGGTGTATTCTGCATATTTGTGGTTGGGATTACTTAAACACAGCATACGTGCACATCAACAATCAGTGAGAAATAGTATCTGGTGAAGGGAGAATAATTTCAGTTTAAAGAGATGGGGGGAGGGCATGAGTGGGTGTAAGTGGAGGCCGGGCAGTAGTTTCTGTGTGTGGTAGAGGGGTTAAGAAGAATAGAGACAGGGGTTAAAGGGCAGCAATCCACAGCACTCGGGTCAGCCAGAGTGTTACCTCAGTGCCTGGGGCCTCAGAGGGCCACAGGTCCAGTCTGCAGGGAGGTACACTTTTCCTGCTGCGAGGACTAACAGGTAGGGGAAGGGGAGGGGACAGAGCGAGCCTGAGCGGGGCTCTCTCAAACAGCTGAGGAAGGAAAAGGGAGGTTCAAAAGCTGTCATAAATTGTAGGACAAAACACAACAGCGACTAAATAATCAGTTATTGTTGACACTGTGTTCAATCAATATTCAAGCAGGCCATCTCAAACACAGTCCAAGCAGCCATCAGGGTCCATCTGTCTGGCTGTGATCTGTGAGCCCTGGGTGATGATGTGTGTGACTGAGCAGTATGTGATCTTTGGGCTCTCCCAGTGCCAGGGGCACGAGGACATATGGCACCTGCTGCTTGAACATGTGGTAATGATGGTGAGCATGTCTGCTTATGAGTATGTGCATGAACAAAAGCCAGTGGCAGATTGTGGACGTAACATAAATGATAAAAAAGAGTACAGCTTATTGAGGATAAAATCAACATAATACACAACCCATGTTTTAGTTTACCTCCAATTCTGCAGCAATTTTCTCCTCCTCTCTCTCCTCCTTGTCCCCAGAGGCAAGTGTGGGTGGTGTAGATGCAGGACGAGGGTTTTCAGACACAGCCCTCCTCAGTTTCACATGAGGCTTCTGGCCTTCAGTCTCTTCAGATTCAGACTTCTGCAGTTGCAAAACACAAAAAAATAATTTTAACATATCTAAGGCCAATTTCTGAAGCTTGTATCTTAAACATTTTATTGACAAGAACAATTAACTTCTCTCTATAAGAGGAAACTAATATATTGATATGTACATCTAATATTTAAAATTTGTCAGTAACTTTTTTTATTGCTTAGTGTACATATTTTTTCTGTATGCTTGTAAATTTTCTCTGTCTTACCTTTATACTTTTTCCAGGAATGAGGGGCTCTCCGCTGCGGGTGGTTATGCCTGGAGAAGAGGGGAAACTGCGTCTAGGTGGTGGAGGAGGTGGAGACTTGGAGGGTTTCTCTGTGCGATACCGTGGTACTGTCAGCTCATCTGGTAAAGAAAGTGATTCAGGTATCTTGATAAAAGAGTCATCCTTGCGTAGTACATTCACAGTGTTTTATAATAAGCTATTAGGCTTTGGTAGGCAGCATACAGTGTGCAGTGTGTAAACTGCTTTAGTCAATACTGAATGCTATGATGAGTGACTTTATGAGAGTAATTTTAATTAAAATGAATACTGTATATCCAGTTTTTCTAATTTCTTGTTGGTTTGGGAAGATGTTATTGAGAAAATCTAATGACCTGCAGGGCTTGTACTACTAAACTATTTCAAAACTAATTGGATTCCTAAAAAAAATACATTGTGGTTACCTTGAAAACACATTTATTTTTCTTAGCTCTTGAAAACAAGACAATTTGAAGAGGTTTTCCCTTGACAATGATGCATGGTAATGATGCAGACTGAAGCACTGAACTCTCCATCTTACCAGAGCCCCGCCTGGATCCTCCCTCTTTCCCAGAAAGTTTGTGCTGTGGCTTAATAACACGGTGCTCTGAGGTTCCTACCCCACTTTGGGGGTTCTGGGATGATGGTGTGTTAGAGGAGGGCTTGATTTGCTTGGCAGCAAAGTCCAAATCTGGAATAGCTTTCATTAACTCAGCCTGGGTCTCCTCCAGCAACCGGTTGATATCCTGGGCACTGTATTGGGTCAGACTGGCCCGCTTCTCCTCCCAGTCCCGCTCTGCTGCCTGTGAAGTGGAGAGACAGATCTAAACACTTCATAATTACACAGTAAATGCGGTGTAGCAGGACTGGTGTAACTATGTTATGTTATGATTTATAATGCAGACTATGTGAGTGGTGAAAACAGAGAAAAAAAGCTGAAAAACAGCAGAAATAATTCCTACCAGTCGAACTTCCACAGACAAAGCTTTGTCAGCAGCAGCACGCCGTTCTAGCTCCTCCAGGGCTTTGCCCTTGTTGGGAACAGGAGGATGATTGTCCTTGTGAGGGCCAGACAGGTTTCCGTGGACACGGCTGAGGCTGGAGTGGGGGCTCCAGTTGGACAGGCTGTTACCTCCCCCAAGGTCATTGATGGTGAGTGGTGGGCTAGTGGGGATTTCAAAGTCTGAAAACTTTCGCAAGTCGTCATTGTGCTTTGATGAAGGACTAGAAAAGTCTTCTTGCTTCTTCCACACACCCCCATTTGCTTGTCTAGTAAGATACGGAAGACAAATTCATTAATCTACTCTTTGAAATGTAACATATATGACCATGACTTGAAGTGAAAACAACTGTTGCTGAATGCTAAAATCATACAAAAAGCTCAAAACAGTGTGAAAGGCACAACCTCCGCCAATGTTGAATAAATACTCGGTTAATTAAACCAGAAAGGGAGGTGCTTTTTTGACACAAGGCTGATTAGGAGATACACAAGAGAATGCTGAAGGGAACATTTTAAAAGTCCAAACTTCAAAATGGCAAGTGGTAATACTAGCTGTTTAAATACATCCTTCAGGACACCTTTTTTCTACACATATCAAGATTTTAAACCATCTTGCGGTCTCTGCTAGTTTGAAGAGCTTTGGCTTTAAACAATAAATGTTTAATGGTGTTAATCTCTGATCTGAATCAACAAATATATCTAATCAATTTTCCTTGGTTAAAGGCATGTCTGTCCACCACATTTTATGAAAATCCATAATGTTCTGCTGACACACAAACCGAAGGGGTGAAAGCATAATCTCTTTGGCAGAGGTACAAACGGAAAGCCTTCCTCGAATTGATTACAAATGGGCAAGTTCTCCGTGTCAGCTAATGTTGGACATATTTCACTGCAAGTGTCATTATGTAAGAATTTATCAGACAAATGCAACAGTGTTTAAAGGATTACTTAGAAAAGTCTATATAAGGACAGTTTATTTACATCCCTCTTCTTTAATTCAACACAAATTGTCTTCCTTTAACTGGCATATAAAGCATACTGATGTACTGTTGTTCAGTCGGACTAAGTTCTTACTTGCGCATGGTGGCGAGGGTGTCAGTTATAGTCTTGCAGCGTTTTAACAGGGCATCGAGCCTGTGTGGCTCCTCTTTCAGGAATTTGACAGCCTCCACCTCCACCCTGAGTACCACCCGCATCTTACTCTGCAGACCTGGGAACTGATCTGCAGCAGAAAGAAGAAGAGTAACACAAGTAGCCAACCATGTTCCCCCAAACAAATCAATTCTACTTGTCAAAGAGGCTGAAAGCCGTGTGTGGTAATCAAACAACATTTTTTTTTAACTACTGTAAATGGTCAGGCAGTTCATTAGGACAATGAGCAATCTGAGCAATCTGAGGCTGATTAAATGTTTGACAGACTGGCTGTGGGTGACTAAAAGATAATCAGTGCCTTGGTGAGTAATTAGCGCATTATAAACTGTCTGCCAGCGTAAAAAACAGTGTTTTCTGTTTTGTGCCTGTGCACAAAATGTGAAATCTGCCAGCATGACTCACTTTTCAGTTCTGTGAGTGTTTCTCCCAGCTTTCTCAGAACAGTGGCCTTCTCCTCCAGCTCCTGCACTGTCACCAGCTTGTGGTTGACAGACGACTCCTTCTGGATCTCCTCCACTGACTTTTCCAGGTCGCTGAGATGGAACAGACAGAAGGCTGAACACCAGGGATTCCTTTGCCACACTTAAATTCGCCTGAATATTTATCTCAGAATTATGCTATTTGAGTAGTCAGTAAAACTACTGCGAATAAACTCTCAATCAACTGGCAGCTAGATCAACAGTTCTGGACAGCTGAACTGGAGGTGGACATGAATGGATAATTAAAAGTTTCGTGCAATAACTGAGGGAAAAAGTGGAACAGAATCTATACAAATGTGAGTTTGTTCAGCTCAAATATTGAGTCTGTGTCTGGTCTGGTCAGATTTATGTCAAATCTGACTTAAGTTATGTAATGAATCAAAGCTCCATGTATAATTAACCAAAATAAATTGCCCATTAGCCAGGCTGAATCACAGACATTGATTAGCAGAGATCATCTAACAGTTCAACCAATTAGTCTGCAATCAAAATGCTGCTCCAAGTGATTTAGGAACTCTTCTGCCAATCGAGGAATCATTACAAGAGTGAACATTTCCACATATGAGACAGAAGCAAGTTATCTGATTATTAAATCTCAAGGTAGCTCTCAGCTCTGGTTTTGCAGTCACTTTAATTAGTTGCAGGACTGTTTCATACCTCAGATCTTAATAAGCATCTTGCTCTATGCCGGGCTTAATTACAGTTACAATTTCATCCTATCACTGCGACACCCTGTGAGTCATCTAATTATAAAACAGATATGAACTTTGTCATGTTTGAATTATATACACAGATCAAAAACACCCATATTGGTACAAATGCATATGTATTTATTTTTATTACCAATGTTAGACTATTATTAATGTACGTACTGTTCTACAATCACTATCACTGTCTGACATTATTGCTGAACACAGTGTCTAATACTTGTTACTGACTGGAGCTGCTGGATGATGAGCTCTTCCTCATTGAGGTACTTGAGTCTCTCCTCCTCCACCAGGAGGCGCTGTCTCTGCAGAGGATCTTCCTGCTTCCTAAGGGCATCAGCCACACGCACGTTCAGCTCAGCTTCGGTCCGCTTCAACAGAGTTCGCACTGAATCCTGGTTCTCTAGCTGAACATACACACATTCAAACACAATACAGATAACATCATTTGCTCTTACTTCAGCGGGGCATGTTGTATACTCGGCGAGTATTTGGAAATGAATCATATCAATGTTAACTATCTAGCCTGATGAAAATAGCTTGTTGAAGTTGTGAATTCTGCCATTGCTGCATTACAACAGGACAATGAGGAGGAGAACTCTGGTCGCCTAAAGCTTTTCCAAACAGACCTCTTTAATTTACAGCAACTGCACATTTTGTTTTGGGCTGTGACTTCTTGTTTTCTGTATGACCTTCTCTGCTTTGTGCCAGAAGAAGAACATTTAGCTCTATCCTTGACTGCTTGTGTTTTTCAGTCATTGTTTGAGAGTTTTTTACCTTGGTAGATGCAGCAACTATAGTTTCCTCTGTGGTGTGTGTGTGTGTGTGTGTGTGTGTGTGTGTGTGTGTGTGTGTGTGTGTGTGTGTGTGTGTGTGTGTGTGTGTGTGTGTGTGTATCTGAACACACATATAATATTTCCTCTAATACAGAAAGATGGGATACCCTGAGGAGAATGAAGGATGTCCATGATAGAAGCACTGAGTGTGAACCCAGCTCCCTCTCAGGGTTATGAATGGAATATTTTACACTGCATGTAATACAACTCCCTGCAATGAAAGCACCTGGTAAGCAAGAAAAATTAATAATTGATCAGCCTTATGTTCCAGGAAGTGAAACAAGACAACAATATCACTAACGTTTAAAATTACCCAGTATTCCCCGTTATACAGCTCCAGGTGAAACACAGGGAATATAATAACATATTTAAAAAATATTAATACATCCAGAAAAATACATTTTCCGATTCCTTTTTATCTTGCAGCACTGTGCTCTCTCTCCCCACTTGCCTGTCTCTCCTGCATGCTCGCTCTGTATAATTCATGAGCCACATGTAAAATTTAAGCTGCTGGCCATCGCCATGGGCAACAATATGGGTCCAGGTGGAGAGGTCACACTTGGGCACACATACAGGTAAACAGCAAACTGTCCTCTCCGGGTACACACAACAGCTTTGGCTGTTTGGTTTTCTGTCTCACTGCTTAACCAGTTCAAGAAGCCCTTGTGACTGCTGTCAGGGAATAAATACAAACACTGGATGCCTATCATCTTTCACTCCTATTACTCTTCCTTTCTCTTCTCACCTGTCTTGACTTGAATCTTCTCCTCTGCCACTGAGAGCATTTAACTCATCATCTCTACCTCACTCCTCCTGCAGTAACCATGGCGGCTTGCATCAGAGATAAATGGAATAAATGAGGCCCTCATCTCCACATTTCTGTTAACCCTTCCTTAGAATTTCATCTTATCCTACATCTATCATGACATTCTGTATCTCTGTAATAAATTCCTTGCATGTGAGCTTTTATCTTTCACACACTGTATTTCATTATTAACCCTCAAAAGATACAGTGCCCTCAATGTGTCATGCAGTACAGCTATGTGAACCTGCAGGTGTTAGTTACAGTAGGTACAGTATTGAAGTAAAGATCAAATAAACATCAAAGACACTGCTCCTGCCTAGTGTTTAAAACATTCTACATCATAAAAATGTTAGATAACGACTGTATAAAATGGAAAAATTCCAAATATTCAAGACAAATTTAGCAGTTTTCTGCAACTTTAGGGCAATCTGTGGACCTCTGCACCCATGAATTGCTTGTAGTGCATCATTCATATCAAAACGATACTACTTGATTCACTGAAAATGACTGGCTACATTTCAACCTGAAACAGAGTCCAAGTTACTCTGGACAATCCACTGAACATGCTGTGAACAGGCAGAAAATGATGGAAAGCCTATTAGTTAATTTTTGTCTCCTTTTCCCCGCTGTTTAATGTTTTATACCATTTTTAATATAGTCTTCTTATATAACCAGCTGGCATTTATAAATGTTGTTGCTAATGGCAGTTTGCATATATGAATGCTGCTCGATACATCTGTGCACAGTGACTGTGAGATGGCAATCTCCAATCAGAGAATAATTGTGTGGAAGCTAAATATGCAGTATGACTATACATACTACTAGAACCACAATTTTCATCAACTGCAATAACCCTGGTTTTAATTTGTTTTTTTTAATCATCCTTTGTTATTTGGGGTATTTATATTTATCTGTTATGTTCTGCTGCTTATAATCTGGAATTTTGCCTTTTTGATTGTATGAACTTGAGTGTTCAATAAATCTTAGTAAACAGTTTCCTAATGAGTTTATGGATGCTAGTTTTAAATCTTCTTCAATATAGCATGATGTTCATTTTGTAAATTATAATCCCATTTAGAGAATAATAGAAGTAAAAGCAGGGTATGCTTTAGGGCATGGCTATCTTGTGATTAACAAGTCACTACCACAGTTAGTGCTCGGGTTCACTGTGAGTCTGTCCAGCACAACGCACCAGTCTCACAAAACTCAGATCAAACTGTCAAACTAGGAAGTGCTGATCAAATATGAATCCGGATATTGTTACTGCATTGCCTATTTCTCACCTCAAATGTTTTCAGGAACACTTTTTAGGGCATTGTTTATGTATGCATTTAATATGTGATGACGAGCCAAAACCAACCAACTCGCAGTATCGTAGACGTTTTGTTGTTTATAAATGCCAGCTGGTGATATGTTAAAATAGGTTTAAAACATTGACCTCTAAAAATGAGACAAATTGTGAATTAGAATATCATATAAATATTTAAAAAACCTGGACAAACAAAAATATCTATCCACATGGCTAGATACCACTAATAATAAATAATATATATTTTTTAATAATTTGGGAAAACAGACTCTGTAATAAACATCAGATAAACTTATTTTCTCCATGGATATACTATATACCTGTGTCTTGCGTAGCTGGGTGAGCTGTTTGCGCAGGTCGGTGGCATTTTGCTGCAGGCCGTGCAGGTGAAGCTGCATCTGCAAGCGGCCGAGGCTGTTCACCGGGGTTGTGTTTGAGGGTGGCGGCGGCATCAGAGCTAGAGGTGCTGATGGTGTATGAGCTGCCAATCACAGAGCAGGACATGGGGGTTCAGCAGGAGGTCATTGGGAAACAAATTGGTTAGTTTGCTGGGCTATGCTCCAGTGAGGCTTGCAGTCAGCCAGCATGACACACAGTACAAACAATAACACACACACGCACGCACGCACGCACGCACGCACGCACGCACAGACAGACACACACACACACACACACACACACACACACACACACACACACACACACACACACACACAAGGCCCAAAGAAATGTACATATACAGAAAATCTGGGCACACACATGCACACACTGGAACAAATACAGTGTGTGAATGCAAAAAAGCGCCATATTCACAAAACTCTAATTGCCCACTGGGAGAAACGTGAGCTCATGCTATTAGTAACCCATATAGAAGTGCAATTAGTCTGTTCAGCAGTGACACACAGGGGGATAACCATGCTCTTATCTTAACACAGAGCTTTGTGAGTATGGCCATTGACTCCCCAGCTATTCTGACACACACATATGCCTCCTGAACACACACGCACTCTCATACACATTTACAAATGAGTGCCCAGTCTGTGACAAAACAACCTTCTTAAATTCCCAGGGGAAAAACCAAGCAGAAATTCAAAAAGTAGAGACAGGGACAGGACGAAGGGGCTCCGATCTCCGGGAAACCAACCAGGAGGAAAACGTGAAGATAGACACCGCCAGCTACCCAGCAACACCACACACCCATACAGAGAGCAGAGAGCCATGAGATATGTCTGATAGGAGAAATAAAAAGGGTGATAGAGTAGGAGATGACAACTACCTTTGTGCTTCAGCCGTCCAGCTGGAATATAGAAAGAGTGAGCCAGTTACCGAGAAATTAATGAGAGGGTGATAGAAAGACAACGAGGGAGAGGAAAGTCTTAAAAGTTCATTTCTACAGAATGATGATCATTTTTATTGACTACAGCAGAGTAAATGACTCCAGTGATGGCTTAGCCTTTTGGCAGTGTATCAATTTGTGAGGAAGTTTCAAAGACAACTGTGTCCTTGCACTGGCCCAATGAAGGTCTGGCGACAGAAAAGGTTTGTTTGTGCCAAAATGGCGCAACAAAATTAAAGACGGGAGAAAAAAAAGATCAGGGATGAGAGCAAGCAGGTAGATCAAGGGCTTTATTCAGTATTCACCTGTTGGAAAATGATTCCTGTCAGTATTTTAAAAATTCTAAGCTGAAAAAATGACTTTTTTGAGAAATACACTTAAACAAAAAATGTGTATCCAGTACAGAGATAGTAAAGTGAAAAAAATAAATCCTCCAAATACTTGGAAAAGCTGTCCTTCTTATTACCTCGCCAAGAAGGTTATATTAACAGTCTTATATGTTTGTTTGTTTCTTTAACACCTTTTAACAGCTCCAAGCTGTTAGAAGGTATATTTTTTCATTTTTGACAGAGCTTGTTTCCTGTTTTTGTGCTTAGATTGGCCACAATTGATGAGATGAATACTTTTCTCATCTCACTGACTAGGACAACACTGTCTTTCCCAGGCATTTGACTGCTCCTTTAAAGTCTTGCAATTGCATCTAACTTTAACAAACCTATAAAGTGGATATTTGACTAGCCATACTTTTTTTTAACAGTGTTTGAGTCATTTGGAATGACACTCTTTAACTTCAGTGTTTGGAGAAAGATAAAGATAGTGAAAGAGAAAAGGAAGGTAAAGGAAAAGAGAGATGAATGAGGTAGAAATGTCACCTAATTCCTCAGTGAGTGTTAGAGTCTGTTCACACGTAGCCTGTTTGGTTCAGTTAAAATTAAACAATCTGGATAAGAAATGTAGGTAATATATTTATGCAAACCAGTTACCATGGTAACATGTATGCACATCAGCATTTTGATCAACCAGACAATCAAAAGCTGATAAAACTGCCATGTTTTGTGTTTGTATCTTGTGCTCGTATTTCGGTGTGACACAATGATTCCACAGTAATATTTCAGTACAAGCCCCTCTTTTTTGTCCTGTCATTATTCATATAAAGATTTGTAAACTAATAACACCATTTCCCAACAATCAGTTATTTCTTTGTTAGCTTTTTGTGACACCAGAGAAAATAAATATACTCATAATAAGAACTAAAATGCTGCGTGACATTGGTCAAAAGAATTTGATTTCCCCATGTGGGTCCTGATGATGCGCTGATGATGCGTGATAACAGCCATCAAAACTGTCCAATCAATGAGTTACCTCTCAGTCTGTATAACTACATGTTTAGTGATTTGGGTCCATTAGTTAAAAGTCTGTGTGAACACGGTTCAGACCAGATGACCAACTCCACAACTCTTAATGGAACCAACCAGGTGATACAGACTGCAGCTTCTGGGCTTCATGACATGTTGTCCTTCCTCCCTCCCTCAAATTTAGGTGAATTTGTCATAAACCAGGAGGTCACCATCATTGCTCATTTGTGTCCAGTATCCTCTGTAAATACTGCTGCATTGTATTCAGGAAAATGACACAGTTAAAGAATTTAACAGTGCAGAGTTTTGCATGGCAACAGTGTTAGTAACAAGAGGGCTAGTGAGTACACTGGTCACAATTACGCAGCTGTACTCACTTCCAGTGGCGGAGCCGTCGCTGTTGGTTTCGGTCTTCTCGCTGGAAGAGAAAGGTAATGGCCGTGAGAACTCCGTTCCTTGGTCCGGAGGGCAGCCCGCCATCATGCAGAGACGCAGAAGGCCGCATCTGAGGATCAACGGCCACAGGGCAAGGCAATTACAGTGCTAACGCTAACAGCACTACTCCTGGGCACTATTAGACTGATTACATTAACAAGTTATCTTCTTGTTAATGAGCCCTTACTGTGTTCATCAGGTGCCATGATAACAATGCTCAATGAGGAACTCTACTGAAAAGCTATCTTACATATCTCTATGTATCAATGCATAAATCAATAGCACTGTGCCCCACAGCTAATGTTTAGTGCTATGTACTTGTGCTGTGCTCACACAATGTAATGTACCACTTCACTGCTATAGAGCTGATAATGGCTCTGATAATAGCCTGCTGCTGTTCCTGTCGATAATGTGTCTAAGCTGAAGCTGTATCTGTGAGTTTTAGAGGGTTAATGGGGTATAATGGCGAGTCTTACGTGCTGTCACTGTCTGGTGCTCTGGTCAGCACACTCTGGACCAGGCCAGTAAGGCTGGCTATCTGCTTCTCCATTGCCTCCATACGCTCCAGACGATGATCCCTGCAAATGTAAATACCACAGATGTGTCACCAAATGTTAAACACATTAGGGCAGACCAAAAAAAATGAAAATGCACATAAAAATGACACAAAATCATTATTCCTATATAAATATGTAACACACTGTGCTGTAGAGTACCTGTAAACTTGGTTTTAAATCTTTAGTTTCTGCTTGTAATGAAGTAGAAACAAATACAGAAACCTTTAATGCAAAATAACTAGTATTTATTTATTTGTATTTATTTTTATGTGTTCATGTAGGACATGTAGGATGTGTGTTCATGTAGGAGAAATAATGTATCAAGGGCGTTCGTTTAACAGTACAACATACCTTAATGAAATTTACCACACAGTCTGGTACTAACCTGCTGTTGTCAGAGTCTTGTCCAGACATTGAATTTCCAAAGCCAGGCGTGGCCCTACCACCATCCCCGGGCCCGGCTGTCAGACACAGAGGCTCTGAACTAGAGCTGGGCCTCGACTTTGGGCTCTCCACAAACACAGAGGAGGAGGCTGAGTCCTTGCGGAAGGTCTGCCTGACAGGTGAGGCTCTGCTGGGTGAGCTAGAATACGAGTCCCTGTCCCTCAACTGCATGTCTGGAATTTTCTGTGGGGATGACGGTGGCATGCGAAAACCCATGCCCAGTGTGGCTGAGGAGTATGTGTCAGAGTAGAGTGAACCTCCAGGCTTGTAGAGGGAGTCCTCCAGGTCCCCCTGAAGAGCAGCGGCTGAGTAGGTGCTGAGTGAGCGCACAGAGCCACGGCGGTACAGGCCACTGGAAACAGGAAAGCTAAAGGGGTCTCCAATGGTAGCTAATGACTGTGTGGAGGCGATGCTGAGGCGGCCCTCGTGCATCAGGCTGTAAGGATCTGCATAGAGCCCCTCGTTCTTCATCAGTGCCATGTTTTTTGCAGAAACTTCTTCATCAGGCTTGACGTCACGGCGCTCAAGGATAGCGCTGGGCGAGGGAGACAAGCCTGCATTGGCAGCGTGGCCGGCTGAAGGATGGTGGGGATGTCGAGGCTGTTCATGCTGGGGATGAGAGCCAGCGAAGGATGGAGGACGGCCCCCGCTGTAGGAGAGGCGTGAGCGGGATGGAGAACCAGAGGACGCTGAGGCTGTAGAGGAGGGGAGGGTGTTGAGCCGGCGAGTTGGGGAGGAGTCACGAGAGGTGTACACCATCTCCCTCTGAAATGAACAAGCAGGGATGAGGGTTACTATGGAGACCTACGGATGAGAGCATTTTGTTTCCCATGTGTTAGTTGATGTGAAGACGACTGAGATCAGACTGACATTAGACAGCCGGTCACAGTCAGCAGATCCCAAAAGACGATAAGGAATGTCTCAAAATATTTGTCAAATTTCAGAATTTAGTCTCAAAAATCTTCTTTGTTGCTGATTGTTTTATTACTTTTTTTATTAAGCCAATGACAGAATGAAATAAAATAAACTGACAATAAAATAAACTGGCCAATTTGGGTAGATTTCATGACGTCACACATCCCTAATTCCAACACTTGTCCTGTATACCTTTTTCTTCTCCTATCCACGAGTTACTAGCTCATCATTACATTACCACAAGTCATTTTAATCTCAAATCAAATTTGTGTTCAGTTTAGTTTAGTCGAGATAGGACTCCAGAGGTGAAGCTACTCTTAGTGAGGACAACTGAATATGTTTATGTCCACCATTTTCGAATAGGTTTTTATTTTCCTTTACCTTTTCAACTTAGCTTTTATCTTCCTCCACCTGCCTTTCTTTGCAGCACATCACAACGTTGTTAGACATGCCCCAATGGTTTTTTCAACCCACCTCTGCCTCTATGTTTCTCCTGCTGTGATTTTCCTCATTTCTGCAGCCTTTGAAAGCCAAATACTCCGTTTTCCCTTGTCACATAACTACTTTTGTTGCCTATCTCATCCTTGTTTTTCTTTTTGCCATTCACTTCTCAGCGTCCTAGCTAACCTTGTCATGCGGCACAATGTAATACACAGAAAATACCGGAGTGTAACAAAGGAATTTGTGCTGCAGAGCTTTTATGCCCACAGACAAATTAATATACATATTGTACATTCACACAGCTATATGAGGTGGTTTGGTTTCCACAAACTACATGGACAAAACAAGCAACAAAACCGAAAACAACACAGCTTAAGCCTTAAGGTGCTCCACAAGACAGCCCCAGACACACAACATGAACAGAACAAATGAATGGCAAGATGCTTGTTAAAATGCAGCCTGCGTTTAGTTCTTAACAGTTATAAAGAAGAGACAGACTGTGCATCTCACACTGACTTTGAAAGATAATGGGTGGTAACTTTGAAGATTTTTTTGGTTTTGCTCAATAAAAGTGTTGCTTAAAATCATGCCATTAAGATTCCTTAGTATCAAACTCAGTTTAGGGTGTATTAAAATGTATATATGCTTCTACAGTTTATAGGTGCTGGTCAGCTCTGTCTTTACCTCTTTTTCCTTTTTTGCTTCTTGTATACACAGGCACAAACAACCATGTAAGCATGCACAACCACGTCATAAAAAAACGTACAGCAGTACAGGTACGTGCCCACAAAATATTCACAAGCATAATTGCCATTTTTCGCTCCCTGTTTGCATGGATAATAGCAGTAGTATTGTCAGTATTGTGTGAATAATGCAGATGGTAAGCAGGGTTTTTTTATAAAATAATTAAAAAAAGGTCTCCCTCAGGCTTCCTTGATCTTCACCGAAGCAGAAATAGCTTCGGATGTTAAAATATGCTCATTTCACAGAGGAACATTGTTCTCTGGTGTCTGCACAGCAACAGATGGCCTACTTGAAGATAAGAAAATACATTTCCAGGAGGAATACCTATTAAATTACTAACCCACATACACTGCAACAGCCTGTCAAAGTTACCATGAAATATAAAAACCACCATTAACTTGCCAAAGAAGCACACTGCTCCTCTTGTAGAATCATACAACTGTAGCGATTCTTACTGACGGCTCAGTTGTCAAACATCAGTCTAGCAGGAGATCAGACAGCATTCTTTCTAAAAAAAAAAAAAAACTGTTTGCCCTCTTCACCACCCCACTCCCCCAGCTCCCTTCTCCTCACCCTCAGGTCTCCGTTAGCCAGGTGTGCAGCAGCAGGGTAGGAAGCGTAGATAGGCTCTTTGCGGTAAATTTTGATGATGCTGCGGTCCTGTATGTCCCGGACGTCCTCCAATTCGTAGAAGACGTTGCGCGCTTCGTCCTTGATCAAGATGGCCGTGTTGGGTGACTTCAGCATACCTGCTGTCAACTTCTGAGGGAACATGTGCACGATGAGTGCGTGCAGTGTGTCCAGACTGCTCAGTTCGTGGGTGATGTGAACCCGACGTGTCTCATCTCCGTACTGCAGGAAGAGCACTCCTAAAAAAGAGGGATATGGGAAAGACGGTTGAGTCAGAAAGTGATGGGTTTAGCAGATGGAAAGAATAACTAGCAAAGAAATTCTGTCAAATCTGGTAGAATTTTTTTTTTGCCATCTTGAAAGATATAGTGTTGGCAATTATGATCCAAATGTTCTGCCTTTTGGTATATGAGATCCAGATAATGAATCAGATATCAGCATGAACAATCCCTGACAGAGTTAACACTATTTCTCTCTTTCTGAATGTGAGAATAGGACTGTGGTTGCTTTGTGAGAATTCACAGCTAAGGTGCAATGGTTGATTTTTACTACTATAAAATAAAATAAAATCAAAACTTAAAAATAAAACTTTTACTTTACTTATCATCAGTAATCAAACACCAATAATGGATATTAAATTGCCCAAAAATAGCTCCATTTCATGGAAAACTTTGTCATATGCTGCAACCCTTTATTTCATAGGTAAAAATGAGTCTGACGCCTGACTAACCTGAAAATTCATCTTCATACACCGAGGGACAAACAAAAAGAACAAACAAAGCAAAGAAAGACCAGTGATTAAAAGTCAAGCAAAATAAGTGAGATATTGCAGATGAGTAGGGGAGAGAAGAAAACAAAGAGAGTGGTTAGTAAAAAGACATGGAGAGGAGAGATTGGGGACTTGCTGTTCTACTTGTGTCTGAACTCATCAGTCACTTCAGTCACTGTCACTTTAATTTTACAACGTTTTTTTTATCTCAGTGTACTTGATGTAACACCACACCTTTGTCTTTATGAGTCTGGACCAGCCTCACACTAATCCTCTCTACACTCCCAAGGCCCTATTGGAGTAAACCTGTCCTTGACTCTGCTCTCTCCGCTGTTTATTCTTGCAGTTGCACAAAAACATACCCTCAGTCCTGTACGATTAACACAGCCATACAGTATTACACTCAAATAAACAGTCACCAAAATAACTACCTAAACAAAATATGTTATTATTATATGTAATTCCATACTATGTATGACATATTTGTATTAAATATAAAAACTATACTATCACACTTTTAGTACAACTGCACAGACTTAATGAAACTAGGTTTGCTTACACATTGTCTGCAAAAAAGTTGTTAGAAGTTCTCTAACCATTCAAGAAAGTTTTCTGTCATAGGAAGACTAACTATTCTCCATTTCTCTGTAGCTGACCAGTTAGACTAAACTAAAACTTTTATGGTAAATGAGGTGAGAGTATAACACTTCCTTCCATTCTCTGTAAGCACAGAGGTTCACATCACCAGCTACATGAAGTAAACAGACAGCTGCAAATCTGCCTAGAGTCCAACTAGCATGTTGTGACAGAGCCTGCCAGCAGAGCTTCAAATGTTAACCTGGAGATCGTAGCTTATTCTGGCTGGCAGAGCGGGACAGAGGCAGGCTCTGGCGAAATCGGTTCATCCGGTTGAACCCGATGGGGATGTCGGCTTCTGACATGGTCTCCAAGGATTCAGCGGAGGCAAAGGAGAGCTTGGCGGCCTGGTCGGCAAGCCCAGACTGGGTAGACTGGGAATGCCTTGGACTGCGGCTCTGCAGGAGGAGAGACACAATAATTTACTAAGAGGTAAAATCAAGGCATAGAGAATGGATTTGACAGGGCCAATGGAGTAAGACCAACAGGAAAAGAGACAGTGAGCACACAATGAGACATCACACAATGAACCACATAACAAGATTAACAAGACCTTGACAATGGTTTAGCTACCAGCCATTCACTAAGAATTACTAGCGTCACAGTATCTGACATCAGTTGAATGCTGCAGCAAAATAACACAATATAGTTGTTCTCAAGTGGCAGAGCTCTCCGGGGCATCAGCCTACATGAATCACCTATGGTGGGTAAGGAGCAAAATTAAGCCGGAAATTGTGCTCCGGCTTAGTATAAATTATGTCATGTTTGCACACCTCCCACACGGCCTCATCCAAACTCTTGTCCCTGTGCTGCGACAAACTTTAAACGAGTGCTTGTGGGATGGGAGGAGAAGCTCATGCAAATCCTGGGCTGTCACTGTGGGTTTATCCTGCTGGCCTATGCCCAGGCGTCTCCCACTGAAAGACTGTTAGTGCAGCTGGGGCTGAGCTCACTGAACTGGCTCCCTGATCCCCCACCGCTGTAGCGTCTCCTCCAGCTCAGAGGCTGCTGTAATGAGCTCCCAGAATGCTGTCTGCTGATTGTTTGGATGGCAGAGGCAGACACATCCTTAGCCACAGTACAGTAGCTGTGCCTGTCTCCTCCTCCTTTCACCATGAACAACATTTTCCCACCCTTTCCAAGGATTTCCTTCTCTTCCTTCTCAGCCTGACTCAAACTGCAGCATGGATCTACTGTGGCTTTCATTAGTGTAGGATTTAATTAATGTGAGAGTCTAACAGAAGCCACACAGAGGGCCATCTCTGTGCTCACTGACTCTCAGCAGAACTACAAAGAACACACTCATACACACATTTATGATTTTGTTAATTAAGCAATAAGACAGGAGGCCATGCTGCACAGTAAATTAGGGCTGCAACTCCAAATTGCTTTCATATAGTTTTTTCAATTAATTCATTGTTTAATTAATTAAAATGTACAAAATGATTAGTTTACAATAATATAAATCAGAGAAATGGATGAACTGAAACCATCAAATGATTTATATTTTCAGCCATGCAAGCGGCTCTATGGATCGCAATGTTAGCATTTAGATAAGTAAAGCCTCACAGAGCCACTAGCATGGTTTTAGACTCTGAGGTCTTGTTGCTTAATAAATGGGTTAACCAACTGTAACTCCAATTGTAACTAACCAAGTGTAACTCATTTATCAGTAAGTTAAATGACTGTCCCTGATTAAACTTCTGTCAATCAATTAATCAACTAATTCTTGCTGTACGACAGTAAACTAAACTAAATGGGCTGTAGCATCATGTAATTACTACTACCATTGGTGATTTGCTCTTTAAATTACCTGCTTTGCAATCCATGTGTGTTTACAAGGCGAGTTACAAACCCCAATCACGGCTGAAAAAGTAGAGCAATCCTTTTTATATCATACGCTCCTTCTGTCACTGTCCTGCATAACTCGGTCACACACACCCACACACAGAATGATAGTGGTGGTGTCCAGCGATAGTGGTGGCAGACACTGTCTGAGCACGCAGAGGGACGGTGATGCTGACAGATAACCCCCACCATGTTTTCTAATAGGGTCATTTATCTAAAGTGTGACCACACCGAACAAAAACACAGCCAACAGCACCACAGAGGAGCAGCACATAGGCCTACTACAGTGTATCATATTCTGGCCAGCTACAGGGGGATATGAAAAACAATAGGGTTTAGATACAGTACTATACCTTTGAATCCCATCTTTTAATTTTAGGAAGCAAAAGTTATGAATACAGTAACTTCATATTCACAGGAGTAGTTCAATAGTTTAAGTAATTTCCCCACGGGATTATTAAAGCATGTCTGATTCTGATTCTGATTCTGATTCTAGTTATTCGCTTTCTTACCAATACTTAAAGGAAGAGATTGATGCCACTCTAATATCTGTACAGTAAATATGAAGCTTCAGCAAATAGCTGGTTAGCTTAGCACAAAGGCTGGACACAAGGGAAACAGCTAGCCTGGTTCCTTACAAATATAAAAGACTGACTATTTCTTGGCTCTAAGCAGTTGCCAGGCAACCACCAGAAACTCCAGGAAGTTACCGGTCTCAACCAAGAAATCATCCGACACATAACCCACTGCCAAACAGCTACTTTACAGCTACATTTTATTTGTACACTTCTTTAAGAATAAAACAAACAAGATGTGACGTGCTAATTAGTGAGTTTTAGAGGTCAGGTCAGGGCCACGCTAGTTGTTCCCCCCGTTTTCACTAGTATAATTCTCTTTTAACTCTAGATAAAAGAGCAAAGTATACTTCCTCAAATGTCATATTATTCTTGTAGAAACTAAAACATTTTTTCAAACAGTCACTACACTATATATCACCTTCTCAGTGCTAATGAAAAAAAAAGGCAGGTAATAATATTTCCCAGGATACCATATTACTCAGGAGAAGTAACACCCAGAAATAGATTTGGCATACAAATGTGCAATAACAACCTTCACAATGGGAATGACTGAAAAGACCACCAAGTCTAAAACATGTCAAAGCAGTTTTTTTCTATGCATATCTGTTCACTTTTCTCGGCACAGGCTGAGACAGAAACACAACTCTGTTTCGAAATCTTGAGTCATTCTACTAGTGCATGCAAGGATTTTATTTCAAGGGTAAATAACCTAGTTGGAGCTTTCTATGAAAAGGAAAAGAAAACTGAGAATATGGTGCTGCATGACTGAGCTCGCTTCTCTGAATGTCTCACAGACTCAAATCTTACATTTCTCAAAAAAAAAAAGTGTAGGGAAAGTGAGTAATGCTCTACTCTCTCAACAACTACCATGCATCTGCTGCTTAACAAGACAATGAAAGCTCAATGTATGTACAGTATGTGTGTAAGCTTACCGCAGCTGTCGTGATATATGCTTTCCTTGTTACAACAGGCTCCAAACATTGACTTCCATATTGGTGTTTTATGTGACATGAAAACTGAAGATATCCCGCTGCAGTAATTTTACATTGTAAATATTATATGTGAACACACCATCTGGTCATGCATCTGGTCCTGCTAGACATGCCAGTGTTATACATGATGGTGTTCACAGCCTCCTTTGAAGGGAACTGGTTTTACCTCCTTCTTATTTTCCTCTACAATCGTCCCTCTACACCTCCCTCCTGCCCTCCCTCCCACTCAACCTTTTCTTTTAGAGTGATCCAGAGTTTTTCAACAGCACTCAATTACTGTGGAGAACTCTACACTGGTATAAGGGCATGGCAAAAGAGAGGAACAAGTAGGGAACAGGATGATCTTACATAGAATAGAAGCGGATGGAATGGAAAGCGGGACACGGCAGCCTGACAACAGACCTTAGGCTACAAACTGCATTAAACTCAACGCAACCTCCCACCGTGTTGTTTCTTGTTTGGCGTGCTTATACACACAAGCATGAGCGCATTCATGCACACACACACACACACACACACACACACACACACACACACACACACAACAAGCACACATCCACTGGGCCACTCTATTTTAAGGTCAAGTAATGGTAACCTTGGTACATTCATATTTTTTTTATGTTTGGGAGAGAATTTCTCATCAAACTCCATTTGACACTTGAGTGTTGTCTCACTTAGTCTGCAAACCTCTTAACCTCGTACAATGGGAAACAGAATTTCTCGGCTTAAAAATTGATTTGCAGTTCACCCACAGAATATTTTGGTGAAAAACACAAAGGAATAACATGAGAAATGTTTTTTAACATACAGTACATACTGTAATGAAGCAGTGCCAATGCTTATTGGACAGTTACATGTAAATGTATCTGATACCTATTTAGAAAAGATGCACTTTACAGATTAGGCCAGATTTTAACCTTTGGAATTGGTGGCAGCGAATAATTTTAGAATCGGGCTGAATTTTTGCCAGATCAGTTGTCATTTGATGTGCAGTTTGAAGGGGCTCACAAGGACTTTTTAACTGCCTGAACCATCATTGATCTGGCTCTCAGACAGGTTTCTAGCATGTCAGAGATTTTTGTTGGCTGTTTGCAATTTGAGCAGTTCCATAGTCTGATTTCCCACATGGCTAATCTCAAAACGTGTCATAAACTATAGTGAGCTTGTTTAAACATTATTATTCAATACTATTATGTAAGACTGAACATATTGTCTCCCTCTCTCATTTTTTCAACACTGGTTGTCTCGTCTGAATCAGCTGTCACTGGACAAAACCGACTGGGGGTTCTCTGTTTACATTCAGCATGAGCAACCATGACACATACAGAGGCAGCATAAAAGTAGCAGGTTCTGACTGTGCAGAAAGGCAGATTAAAATGTACAATATTAAGAGAAATGCAGTGTCTGCCCAGCTTAAGTTAGGGCAAATTTAAGCCGCAAGATTTCTGTATCATGTGACGTTCTTGCACATAGAAGAAGAGCAAGCATGGATGAATTACACTGCCACAAAAATATACTAGCCAGACTGCAAATGTAAAAGTTTTGATTTGGTAAGTGGTACTAAATATAAGTGGGGAATCTTGAAGCCTGGAGGTAAGCTGACCATACAATTGTTGCTGCTGATGTGTGTGAAAATGACAATGAAGTGTTATTTCTGGGAATAACTTGAGAGACAGGTGTTAAATAGTTAATATCACAACCCTCACGCTGTTGTTTCTCTTCCTCAAAAGCTTGTGTCTGTCTTTGCCTCGAGTTGTATGTCTTACTCTCCCTACTATTTATCCTGTCACTCATTTGTCGTCTCCCACCACTCCCAAAGCTCACATGTGATTCTTGCTGAGCTGCTTTACGTCTTTACGTCAACATGTCTGCCTTCTCCTCAGTTTCTAGGGGCAGAGGCCAAACCCACATCCAGGTGCCAATGCTTGTGCTGTTGCTGTCTGCATTTGAGGATTTTGAGTCTGGATTTTCTCCCTCTACCCATAACCTGGCTATTTTTCCACACAAAAAAGTTCCCTTTTAGAAAAAATGGAGAGAGAAAACAGCTCCCTATCATCGATCCATCTCTCACATCCGTTTGTCTCTTCCCCCACTATCATTATTTCTCTCCATTTTTTCCAACTCTCAGGCCAATCATCTGCCTGGACACACAATCCCCAACCCCCAACACCCCCAGAGTCCTCTTTCTTTATAATACCAGGAGTCATCAATGCATGGAACAAATTGCTTTGCCAAATTGCTGTGAATTGTGTGCCATCATTTTGTTCAGAGGGAGAAGAAGCAAAATGGCGTTTTCTTCCAGAGGGGAGATGGTGACTGAGATTGCTGGTAAAGATTCTCTTTTCTGATAGAAAATAGAGAAACTGTCGCCTTAAAACATTGTGAAAAACAAATCCCGACAATATTTTTTTAGATATACATTTAACTGTGCATTGTTCAATGTCTAACACCTGCAATTTTCATCAAAGAGGTTTAAAAAGTGTGTGTATGAAATACGCTACTGATTACACTACATATTTTTTCCACAGGTAAAAACATAAATGCAGTGCCATCCTGATAGTAGTTTCATTTAGTGTTTATTTTGAGCAGGCAGGCGAATCCAGGGAGAAAGTCAAGCTTAGATTAGAGCTGGTGGGATGAGGGAGTAGGATGGGGCTTTCAGAAGCTTTAGTGTGAAATGAAGAAAATTGAGCAGGATGAGGTGTCAACATAAAAGGTGTCAACAACAGAGTGTGTGTTGAAAGCAAATAGCTTTAGATCTATTACCACATGGACCATTTTGGTTGTTTCATTCTACATTTTATTACAGCTGCAGCACCGTGTGGTGCCGATAAATAAATTCTAACTCTTTGCTAGACGATTACATTATATCATTTGATGCATTTTTTGGCTGCTGCAAAACAAAATAAGTGATTAATAGAACAGCAACTCAGTGTACTAATGAGTGCGAGGCATCAATATTTTATCTTTTTTTTTTGAGCTGCAACAATTTCGACCTACTGATTAGTGCACTGGCAGAAAATTAAATGGCAACTATTTTGATAAACAATTCATTATCATTCAATTTTGAAGCAAAAACACATTTTACAGTTCCAGCTTGTAAAATGTGAATATTTTCTACTTTTCTCTGTTTTCTATCAATGTAAACTGAACATGTTTGAGTTTGAGACAAAACAAGACATTTGAAGGCATCAACTTGGCTCTAAGAAATTCTGATGAGCATTTTTTCATTATTTTATCAACCAGTTGGTGATTTGAGAAAATGATCTGCAGATTAATTGGCAATGAAAATCATTGTTAGCTGCAGCAGCGCTATTTTTAAGTGCATTTCAACATTTTGAGTACTGCTATAAAACATTTTTAGAAATTGTTTTTGATGACGTTTAAAACTTCCCTTTTTCTACAAACATACCCACAGTGTTTTGGAAACCACCTGAAAGTCCTGTAGAGTTTAAATTGTTTTGGTTGTGTAATAGATTCATGTGATAGGGCTCAAAATTCTATTTCATATCACTCTTGTTTGAGGTTAAAGTACGTGTGGAAGTGAGGGATAAATTGCTTAGCTTTCCCCATGGGTCAGGGCACATGGCTATTGATATTCACTGACATTTCCACCCTGTCCAAATGATATTGTGAGCAGGGATTCAGGGAAGACTACACTGAAGATAAGCCCTGGGCACTTCCCTCACGCGCATACACTCACACACATCAATATGTTCTTTAACTTGCTCTGTTTAGATAGCATACTTTTCTGCCTGTGAGATGTAATGCCACAACAAAGGGATGCACATTACAATGCATACCAACTAGCAAAAAGACTCAACTCTTTAAATTCAACACAAGTGAAATACACTGAATGTCTTGATGCTGGCCTTCTCCAGTATATACAACCCATATTTCCGCTCTGCAACCTGTGGATAAAACACATTCAGCAGCCCAGTCATGACTCAAGCCTCTGTGCTAATGTCAAAGCATTATTTCAGTAATGCCTCAGTGGCATGTCTGAAATGTCTTCTTAATGTCTCAGTCAGTCTGAGTAATACTTCAGCAAGGTCACATGGCTTCTAGCCATTAATGCTAGCTGACTGAGGTATCATAAATCCGGAGAGAATCGTCTTCTGCAGATTAAAATGGAGCTGGAGAAGTTTAAGCTGTCGCCACCCCTGACACCTCTCTCTCACACACACACACACACACACACACACACACACACACACACACACACACTGCCCAAAGAGCTGAGAGATGCCAAGTGAGCTGGGTGTTGCATGACCCAGAGGACTGAAGAGATAGGCTGGTGATGCCTGAGGAGTCTGACGTGATTCCACAGCACAGAACACACACAGAAATGTTCCCACACGCACACACAATGGACAAGAGAATACCAACACACAGGGACACTTAGACAGGCACTGACCTTAAAGCTCCAGTAGTTGGGCTGTTGCTGTGGAGTTCATGAAGGACAAAAGTGGGAATGGAGGGAGACAGAAGGAGAAAAGTTAGATACTTACTTCTCTAATAATAGCTCAAGTTCACAGGGCAAAACAAACCACTGTAAAAAATAAAATAAAATAAACAGTGCGCAGAACAAGCTGGACTGCAGTCTGAATGCAGGCCTTTGACACAAACATGCAATGCATCCTTCAGAAAAATCATTATCAGCAGCGTTTCATAAACTGTTTTCGTGTAATTTGTTTCTTTTCTGACAGGCTATTTTCTGTAACTCATTAATATTGTTGACAGCTTCATCTAATCTGACTACCTAAACGACAATCATTAAGTCTGCTTGGTGTGATTTGCGGGCGTCGGGTTACAGCGCACCTGAAACAAGATTGTGCTGTTGGCTGTAACTGGTGAAGGGGAGGAAATGAAAAGAGTGAAATTGAATCAAACAGCAGCCCACTCTGTTGTAGCGACATTGACCTCTCTCTCAGACTTCTCCACCACAGGCAAGCAACCGCTCTGTCTCCTCTTTGCTCTCTGCTGTCTCTTTCACTCTTGATGCACCTGCTGTAATCTTTTCATCTAAACCTCACCACCTCACCTGCTTTTTGTCACCAGCCCATGCTGTATCTCTCATCTGTCCATTTGCCCTTCTTGCTGCTCTGCCATGTACGAAAGGGTGCTTGTATGTTGGCCAAGGCCTCAGGAAGTGAGCTTTCCATTTAAACATAATTACCCCACAGTCAAAAGCAGGCCAAGCCACAGATGGCCCAGAAATACCTCAAAATGACATGGAAAATTAAAAAAAGATTGTGCGAGTTCATGAATTTTAATTCTAATCCAAACTCTTATTCTATTTCTTATTCTTATCTGCAGGCAATTTTCAGTCCATTCAGTCTCCCTTCTGTGGAAGCCACATTACTCTCCTGGTGCAGGGATGAAAAAAACGTGACAGGCAAGTTTTGATTTATGATAGTTGGTGGTTTTTCATTATAAACCTTCCATTTTAATACTGTCACAACAAAAGCCTACATTATTTCAGTAAACACCAGCATTAGAGGAAGCATTTCCCACTGATTATTACCTGATTGTAAACTAATCTTTCACTTAATGTTTCCTCATTTGGCCCAAATGCCATTCTTTGACAGTCACTTTCACTTTAAGCTCTTCTCTCACTCTCTTTCTATCTCTACCTCTTTCTCTTCTCTCTATTCTATCTTTGTGTATTGTGGTGCAACTTTGTACTTGGTTTTGATACAATATTATGTGTTATAATTGCAATAATCTGAAGTGTTTTCTGGCCAAGGGGACACTGAGTCATTATAAAGTAACATCTGGTTTAATGCAGTGTAACCATTTACAGATTTTAAAGATGCTAGAACCGTGTCCCAATACTATATTACACACTTACAGGATACTGCATGTAGGCTATACATACTGTTTTTGGCTGTTAGTACAGTATGAATGAAATCAATGATTTTACAGTTTTGTACAAATAGGAGATGATAGATATTCATTTTCAATCAAACTTTGACTTTGGAATAACACTGCTAATAAAACTTCCATTATACTACCAACAGTAGTAGAAGGTGCACTATCTTTATAGTATGCTGTTTTACAGTGAGTATAAAAGAAATCACCATGTTTAAATTGCACAACACTTGCGTCAATTAAACTGTGATTTTAGGATAATACATTTCAGAGGTGTTTCTGGAGTGGTTTTACCACCATTTACAATTGTTTCCCATTTTTTTCGCCCTTTCACATTATATATTGCATCATAGAATAATAGTCTGTACATTAACATGACACTCACAAATCAAGGTTGTTTTTTTTATTTTGAGCATACATTGTTTTGCATTTTGAATGGACTACATATTCAAAACCTGCTGAGTATGGTATTAGTAGTAGTAGTAGTAGTAGAAAAATGGGACACAGCATAGCCATGGTATAATAGTAGTGTGGGCTTGACACAATAACAGAAACATAATGCAACTCATTGGGTTGAATTAACATGTATCTGAAATTATAATCTGCATTGTCAATGGCAGTAGCTATTTCAAGGCATTCTATTGTGTATTATTCTGCCCACCAAATAATGTTTGGACAATGGAGAGGAAACTTGTGCTCTTTATAATTTTAAGTGATAAAAAAAAGTGCATATACCATGGAGTGCCTTGCCTTGCCAGCACTGAGACAAGTGGGACACTCAAAATGATATGGAGCATAATCTCAACCCACGCTTCTTTTTCCCCATGGCATATAAATTTATACCAACATATGTCAAAGCAATTATTATTAAAGACAACTCTTTGATGAGTTGCAGAGGAGAATTTCTGTCTCCTAGCAGGTTGTTCTGTTTTTTTAATGCCATATATTGTCGCTGTCCAGTGAAAACCATGTATGTCTACAGTCTGAAGTATTTAATTCTCCATTGTGGGTCAAAATAATAATAATAATAATAATAATAATAACACTTAAACCTGATTATCTCAGTCAGACTTGGGGGGTGAAAGGTCATGGATAAAGTGGGTCACTTTCAGGGATACCTGAGGTCTTTTTCAGGTTGGACTCATAATGGCCTTGACTACCTGATCATGTGTCAGTCATTTATTCTGTGTAGCCAGTCAGTAAAGCTTCGTCCTTGACAATCTGTTAAACTGACAGCAGCTCAGGGGCACCGTTGGTGCGTCATAAATAATTGCTGTTCACTTGTTCAGACAACGTTAATGATTTTATTTTCTCACAAAGCTAAATGACTCTGAGGCCTGGCTTTAATGGTGCAGAAGTGATTTGTGGTCTGGTGTGTCTATCTCTGCCAGTGTTTCTCTGTTTGTTGCTTTAATGAGGCTTACTCACAGTTTTCAGGTAAAGTAAACACATTCATTCTTCACCGCCTCCTGTTGTTTTAACTGTTGCTCCACTGATAGCTGCAGATACACTGAATCTGGACTTTGAGTTGCAAATACTGCACTGAGAGGGTGTGACAGCAAATTCGTGGGAGCCGTTTTAATGTATGTTAATACTTGTTAACCATTCTCCATCCTGGCAAGCGTCACTGCAATCAATTAATTTCTTCTTTTTTTATACTGTAAATCATTATCACATCTCATTCAGCCATAATCTGAGATGACAGACGAAACTCTTGACAGAGGATCTACTATTTAGCTCAAATGTACATGTCATTTTTAACCTCCTGCTGAATTAAATATGCTGTGAGCCCCAAGGCGACAGTGTTACTATGTATATTTGAGATGTCAAATTAAACTTGAGGCTGAGGGGCTAAATGCATTCTTCACCGCTGAGTAAAGATATACATACATCTACACACAGCCGTGTAAGTGCACTCACTGGAGTTGGCCACAGAGCACCAACAGAAGGATGTAGCCTCGCAGAGTGGAGCGGTGCATTACCTGACCTGCATGTAAAGCAGGCTGCACTCACACCACCCCTCCTCCACCCCTGTTTCTTTCTCATGTCGTCATCCTCTCTGTACCCCCGCCCCCCATTTCAATCATTCTTACGCTTTCCCCCTCAATCCTCCTCCAGTCTAGTTTGGTGACATGACGTTACCGAAGCCTCTCTCCCTTTCTTTCTCTTTCTTTACCTGCACTAGTCTGCACAGCAAATTAACGCTCACCCCAACAGACGCACAAAAGGCTCTGTATACAGTTTACAATATCGTCCACTCAGCCTTCGTCTAGCCTGGGTCTCTGAGCATATGCACACCGTCACCACAACAACCACAACAAACACAACAGGCGTGGAATCTAATCCCGGTTGGTACATCTTTATCCCACACACACACACACACACACACACACACACACACACACACACACACACACACACACACACTATAACAGCCTCCAGCTTCCAGTTACAAGCTTCCAGTCCAGTCTCACCTGCAGTGCACCTGTGCCTGTCCACCACTCCAGTCATCCCAGGCTGTCCGTCAGGTGCAGCTATTCCTCATCGTGTTTTTGCCCGTCTCTCCCTCCCTCTGGTTCTCTAACCCTCCCTCCCTCTCCCTTACTAAATCTCCCTCTCTCTCCCTCTCTCTCTGTCTCGCTCTCCAGTAGCACATGCGGTGGAAACTCTTTATTTAATTCATTACAACACCAGCCGATTAACTCCTTCGCAGATGGGTGGCTGGTTCCTGCTGGTGCTGGCTAATTGAGCAGCGGGCTGCTTGACTGGATGCTGCGCTCCTCTCCAGCTCCTCCCCCCCTCCCTCCTTCCTTGCTGTCCATGCTTCGCACATCCACAAGATGACAAGGAATCCTGGGCATTGCTGCTTCCTCCCCTGTGCAGTGAAAATGCCCTGTCACTTCAGGATATGTCCACTCTCCTGGCTTTTTTTTTTTAACTGTCTGCCTTCAGCTCGTTGTTCCTCTCTCCTCTCTGTCTTCATTAGGGTACAATTCCTCCTTCTCTGCACAACCTGACCTTTGCAATGCGATATCCCTACTTGCCATTTATGGCAGAGGTTGCCACGGCAACTATGGACTCCACCTGTCTTTCACCCGCCCACCCTCACTCACTCGCTCTGTACCTTTCATTTCCTCCCCTCTCCACTGATGTGCTTCTCTTTCACGTCATTACACAGAATTTACCCTTTTTTAAAATACACACACAGCAGTGGTGCTCACACAAAGAGGGAGTATGTTTGTGTACAGCACAGTATGTGCATGTGTGTGTATGTGAGAAAGTTGTTGAGGCATGAAACTGGTCAAAGTATAAACTACATTTGGAGGAGGAGAATGACTGATAAAAAGAGCACAGGAGAAACATTACCCTCAAGTGTTCTGAGAGCTGCATTAGCATATGTGCTTTAAATGTGTGTATTGGTGTGACTTCTCGTCTTTCTTTTCACACCTCAACAGTGCCAATCTTGCCCATCTATGTTCTACAGGTTCTGGCAGCAGGGAAATAAAGCTTGGCTGTGACAGTTTAATGATGACCTCTGATAACACAGATACAAAGACCACCTGACAGCCTTCCATTATTTATTTTCTCTCCCTCAATTATTTCAATGAGCACAATGTGCAGCAGTGTGTACAATGTGCAGCATTGTGTACAGTGTGCAGCATTGTGTACAATGTGCATTAGTGTGTACATTACGCTGTGTTCTCTCTGAATGTTATCTGACAAGAGACTCTTTGTTGCCTATAACACACATATAACATAATACCACAGGAACTATTACGTATATATGTGATGGTCTTTTCCGTCCATATTGACAGTATTGACCAGTTTAATAACACATACGAAACACGTACTGAGCACTAAACTAAGTCTTATGTATCTACAAATGACAGTAAAGTAATAATAGAAAACACAAAACTTATCAATTAATACATTAACATTATTTTAACAATGACACTGGGATGGTATATTGTCAACATTTTTTTAAGGGTAAAAAATCCTCATAATGAGGTGAACCCCATACCTGTTCTCGTGCAGACCGCTCTGACGTACCCCTCATGCTGGCGTGGGAGGGTGAGGGCGATGGCGGGTTGTGGTGCGGGCTGTGGTGCGGATGCTGCAGCTGCTGCTGCTGCTGCTGGTACTTGCTCTTCAGGTGATCCATGAAGGCGTCCCTCTTGCGTTCCATGTCAGCCTTGTGCAGGTTGGTCAGGGCCTCCAGGCTCTGGGCAGCGCTGACGGTGTGGCGGTGCTCCGACGTGTGCACCAGGCCCACATTGGAGAAGCGTCGAGCGCTGTTCCCCAGCGTCCGGTACTCCCGTGGATATTCCAAGTCATCTGTGGAGATCATGTGACTGCCACCACGCTCGGGATCTGAGGGACGAGGACAGAAGGGAAGGGAGGATGAAGGAAAGGAAGGAAAGAAGGGAAGGAAGAAGGAAGGGGTGGAAAATGTGCAAGAAAGAGGTGAATCGCCACCCACACAAGCATGCAGAAAGGTTTCAGGGTGGAGACGTACATACACACAGAGCAGGCACACATAGGTGGAAACAAATGGAGCAGAGAGAAGGAGAGTTGAAAAAATAAGGCAAAGAGAGGAGAGGAGAGAGAGAAAAAGAGAGAGGGGGGAGAGGGAGAGAGAGAGAGAGAGAGAGAGAGAAAAAAATGGGATGGGATGTTAGACTATTTGCCACCAGGATGGAGCGGTTCCTTGCAGAATTATTGATTTCAAGTTCTGAAGGGAAGAAAAATGAGAAAAGTAAAATGCTTCTGCAATAGATCAAAGGAAGAGGCTCAAACTGAATTTGTTTCGCTGGATATTCCATTGTGATATGCCTGCTTGTCACCTTAAGTGGCTTTCATTGTTTTCTAAGGAAACAGAGAAAAACAAAATACTGAAAATTTAGGCGACTGAAAGTCAGATGGGAACATGAAGGAACACTTCTTTCATATCTGTCCTTGTTCTTGATCTTTCTCACCAACTCCTGTCCATCTATCTGAGCTTTCCCTCCATCCCTTGACACCCTCTGCCACTTTCTCTACATATTCTCACTGTCTCTTGTCTGGAGGTTACTGATTCTGCTGTCCGTTTTTAAGGAAGCGCATCACTCTGACAGTCCTTGGCCTTTTATCAGTGCTCTAACTGACAGACAACACAGCCCGAGGTGGAAGGCACATAGGAAGGGAAGGGAGACAGCCAGGAGGAGACAGTATGGTTACACAAAAAATATGTGACTGGAAAAACAAATGAACTTGAAGCGTGATAAAAAAGCAGGGAGCCATTTGTCCGGTGAGTTACCTTGCTTAGGAAAACAGGCCCCGGCGTTGGCTAGAAGAGAAACATGCCAAGGGTTAATTTGTGTGTTTGTGCACAGATGTGCCACCAAACACCGTAACATGACCATCAGAAAAGAGCTATTGTGAAATAATAGCACTTTCTCTGAATTACAATTAGTTAATGCATTATACATGCATTATAATGTATTCATAAGGGTTAACATATGGGGAAATGGTTTGCTATGAATACTAAAAGTGTCTTACAATAGCCCGCAGTACGGTAAATTAATATTGTATATCATGTTTTTTTTACAAAGAAATTGTTCATAGATAATGTTTCTTAAAATACAATACATTTATAATTGTTGACCAAATGGCAAATCAACTCCATATAAACTTCAGACTTTGAGCAGGTAGAAAAACAATCGATTCAGAGATACATAAAAATACTGGTTAGAATAAAAGGTGCTGAAGCTCAATAGGGCTGAATGAAGTGGACCATCTGTACATTAATGGCTCATCAGCAACATCAGGATGAGCTGAAAGGGTAAGCAGCAGAGGGAGTTTCCTCGGGGCAAAAGCAACAAATGGACTGTTAATGAACGCAGAGGAAGAGAAGAGGAAGCTGGCCAGATGGAGGCCCAACAGAGCTACAACACTCTCCAGTGGACAAACCTTAACACAAAGGAACCCTGTTAAGGGCAGAAGGTCTGCAATCATTTAAATGCAGCTGCAATCAAACTGCATGCTGGTTGTAAACCCATTTCTCACTCTATTCATTCTCAGAGCGATATCACACTCAAGTGTGATCTGCTGTTTCAACACCATGCCCTTACATCCACCACATTATGAAGTGCTGATAAACTGAGCAGGGGTGAAGTGAAATGGAGTGACCTCCTGGCTAATAGCATTAGCATTGAGCTCTCCGCTGTGCACCAAGGCCTCCGGCCATATTCATCTGGCCCGCTCGCACCCTCCCAGATCTCTGGTTTACACTTCATTAGGCTGGAGCTTATTGTGCATCAGCTAACAAGGACCTGACTCAAGGGCCCCATTACAATGGCTGGCAAAGCTGAGCATATGCACTATGGCTTATTATTGTGACTGAGCGTCCACAACGACAGTGAAAAGCTGAGTAGGCTATGCTGCCTCTAGACATACATAAAGCTGAATGAAACACTGCATCAACAAAACAATATTACTAGCATTTATAGCTTTACATTTAAGAAAGTTTAAGTCCAAACAGAAGTTGATGGCTTGCAAACACCTGCCTTGTAACGCTGGATGGTAATACAGCCCAAAAAGTTTCCAGTGCGGTTTGTGGATATATTTCCCAAAGCTGTACAGGGTATACAAAGCCCTCATCTTGAACACAGCGGGAGAAAAAGTTGTGTGGGCAGGAGAGTAAGAATAGAAAATGGGAACAGGTTATTCATCTTTACTTTCGTCATTCACAGCCAATATATTTCCACATAAGCTGGCAGACAATAACCCTGACAGCCAAAACAATCTGTGCAAGCCCACGCAATGCCAGCATCATTTAAACCTACATAAAAGAGCCTTCATGGGGTGGGTTTCTGGTGAACACTTTATCACAAGAAAGCAATGTCTGTCAGCAAGTCTGGGTCTGACCAAATTGCAACTGGAAAGATTCAAGGAAGCTGGTGCAGCATGTTGGTCAACAAAATAATAGAGAACCTGAATGACAACAGGAGCCCACAATTGAAACAGATAAGATCTGTGAGCACAGCCAATGAGGCCTGGGCTGCACTGCCAAGATAGAGAGCACAGTCAAGAGCATTAACCTGCCTAAATAAAAAGAGCTTGCTGTGGTGGGCACAGAGAGATAAGACAAGACAAACAGGCAAGAAGAAATCACCTGTGCAGAGAAAAAGATACTGCAAGGCAAAACAAACTAACCAAAAAACAACTTCTAACAACCAATACAGCCCGATTAAGCAGTCTAGCTCCATTTGGTCTGACTGTGGGTTTATGTAAAATAGATCAAGCCTTAAACCTCTTTCCATCAGGTTGGTTCACAGACTGAATACGATCCATGAGAAAGATGGCAAATGGATTTTTTAATGTCATTTTTCTGTCACAATTACGAAGATCCGTCCTGCATTTCACTCAGCCGTATCCTCAACTTCACTTTTTGAGTCACCAGTCTCCACCGCCTTCAGTAGGTTATTTATATATGTAGGGAAATTCAGTCCGTGACATGAGGTATTTGCCAACCCACCCACAACAACTATCAACACGCATACATAATAATATTCTGTTTCACCACAGCCAAATGCTGGACCTCATACTTCCAGAAGGAAAGGTGTTTTTTTTTCTTTCAACTCAAGAAGAGAAGTTGCTGCTCATCATATGTATGGACATATGGTATGAAGAATCAGGAGGTGAGAAGGAAAAGTGGATTGGGTGTGCTTTGATGGATTTGGAAGAGGCAGGCAGCGCAGCTTCATATTTTGGGCCTGTTAAACAACTGGGTCAGAGGGAGTGGAGGCTGTAAGAAAGGCTTCAAGTCTCAAAGAATGATAAGAAAACGACAGACTGCACATACATCAAAATTCACAGGGACTTGAATTTTGACTCCATTGTCACATATGAGGCTACAGCTTGAGGGTTGGGTCACTCCTGTATTAATGTTGTATTCGAAAAGGCATTATTTGAAAGGATGTAAGCATATAGTTTCTATAACACAAAAAAGTAAGGCAGCTAGAAAACACCATGATAAGTGCAATACATTTCTATTAAATTCTTATTTCATTATCAAACCCTTTTAAAAAAACATTTCAGGTCTAATATCAATAAAAATTGGAAAAAGTGGGTGCCCCTGGTAGCTCATCAGGCACGAGTGATTACAGCAGCTGCTGTATATATATATATATAGACAAAACGTTTTGGTAAATTAGTTTCTCAGACATCAAAGAAATGAGGGCTTTGTACCTGAAAAATGTTTTATGTGTATTATTTAAAATACTGTCTGTCTCACGTCTTTGGCACATACAAGGTCTTCTCTAGCTGTGATTTTAATAGTCTCAACTGTGCACTGTGAGACATCAGGGAAAAGAAGTGGCGTCAGTGTATAAATAACCAAGACAGTAATAAATCGAAAAACATATCACCCAGTCCCTGAAACAGAACGTTCCGTCCAGAACATCATGAACTATGAAGTGTGTTTGCACTTCAGATATGCTTATTTTAATGATCTACATGAAATTCTCTAACAGCAATCTTTTATAAGTGTGTAAAATAATATGTTTAGTAATGCCAATAAATGACAATGTGCACTTTTTCTACTTGCATTGAAACCATATAGTTTGCTCTTTTTAATGCCTGCTCTCTGAGGATTGACATAAATAAAATATATGTATTCATTAATTTGTTTATCAACTTTGCAACTAACATTGCTTTTAGCCTCTGTGTGGTTCTGTTGCGGATTTTTTTAACCGACAATTATGTAATGTTAGCAATACAATTACTTTTCTTTCTTCTGTTGTTTTAACAGATAACCATGCAGTGGCCTTTCACTCTTTATTACAATTAAATCAAGCATTCAATAATCTATTCTTCTAATTATCTATGTGTTGTCATATTTTTATTTTTTTCACTTTAAGGGAATTATTCTTGTGACTACTTTTATTCTCCAATGTTGAATCGTGTTATTAAAAGCAGACACTTTTTTTTTTTTTTGTCTCTGATAGTGCAGTGCCCTCCGTAGAAGGTCTGTTGTTATGCAGATGGTTGGGGAAGGCAGGCAAGCTCTTCCCTCTGATACACAGCCTAATTTACTGCAAGCATGGCAGGGCTCCTTGTGGGATGCCGGCTGTGACAGCACAGAGCGGATAGACCAGCTGAATATTAACCAGAGAAGAAGGAGGGAAGAGGTAAAATTGAATAGAAGTAGGTGAAAACAGCAAATCCAGCACTAGCCTATTAAGGTTACAGGCAACAGGAAACAAGTCAATCAGCAAGACCTAGAGCTGTTGGCAATTGTAACTCTATTTGCTCCAGTGGGAACAGTTAAAACAAATAACTAGAAGGAGAAAGGGGCATGGCTGGATTAAATATAACCTTCTGAAAAACCACCAATCAGGCCTCTAAAAAGCCTGCAGGTTACAACTCAAGAACCAACTAGGGGGCTGCAGTTCCACATGTATTAAGTCCTAAAATGACAGCTGAGGGCCATATACCCATATGCCATATGAGGACTTTTATATAGCCTGTAAGATTAACACAAAACCAGCTCATGTGCTAGCTGTTGACTCTGTATGATGTCGTTGCTGCAATGACTGTCCCTGCTACATAATTACTAATTACAAAATTACTAAAGAAACAAGTGACTGGTGATTGACTGCATGCTGTCACACAAACCTCAAATTTCACTACCGCAGATATATTAAAGCAGACATTTGGATTTCAATTAATAGCCAGCAAAAAAAAGAGTCTAAACTTGAAAGAGAAACTTTTGTTTCCATCTCTATTATCTCGCTATATCTTCACTTAAAACAATGAGGCTCCAGGTATAAAAACACATAACCCGCCAGGCATGTGCAATTTACTTTTTTCTCTCCATTAAGGCAATCTCTGAAAGCTCTGAGGCACTGCTGTGTGAGGAGAGGGGAGTTAAAAGGGGTGAAATTGACAGCTGGGCAGTGAGAGCAAGCCATCAGAAGAAGGTCAGCCTGCATGTCTGTATTGCTTGATATAGCCGGCTGAGACAATCCAGGCTGCCTCACACAACTGACAGAGACAACTGCAATCTGTTGCTCTGCACAAGGTGACTGGAACAGCCTTTTGATTATTAAAACATATACAATAAGAAGTGACGTGCCCATCTTTTCACCTATTGCGCTCCTCTGTCTGTCCATCTGCCTCTTACCCACTTACCAACCCTCCCACCTCCAAACTTAGTTTCCCTGGGTAATGCTGGGGAATACTGTGGAGGCAGCCAAGTTAAAATTGCAACAGTAATATGGATCCACTAAAGCACCTGTTAATACACAATAGCACACACTCAGACAATTAGAGCATGCTATGGCT